CCCCCAAATGTGATGCCATGCTACTACGCCACGCCGGGCGGCCGGTCGATGGGCTCATTCCCCCGTCCGTTCATATTACGGCCGAGTTTGTGCTCATCATGCTCGACGGACGCCCATATCGGCCATCGGCATCGTGTCGCATGCGTAGTATTGCATGCGAGGACACGGCGACCACCTCGTACCCTTACCCTCTGCAGGCCCCCCCGCCCACCCGGCAGGGACTGATTGATTGGCGGCATATTCGCTCGCAAAGCCCATCTGTCACTCGCCGCATCTGCGACTTGCAGCGCGCCGCCGGCAGGTCTCGTATGCGGGCGGTGCCTTGTTTGGCCCGATTCCCTGTCGCACACGGCACAAAAATGAATGACAAAGCCGTCGCACAGCCCGTGCCGGTCGGCGACGTTGACTGTCCGTCATGTGTGTGGGTGTGGGTGTGTCATGCCCTCGCATCGCACGTGCCGTCGATTTCGAATCATCATCTTACATTTCTTTCTCTTTTTTTGTTCCGCCTTCGTTCTCGGACTCGGCGGCTGAGCCGAGCCAGCTCGCCCTGCCCTGTGTGGTTACATGCCGCCCGGACTTCTGTCATCGCCATCATAGCTCGTCCCGTCCGTGGCCGCCGGATAGGTCCTCCATCGACATCAGCTTCACCACCAGGCTCGTCCATCCCGTAAAGTGCTGCGTCCGTTGGCCCGCCCCCGTCTCCGGGTTGTACTGCTCCCACGCGAACCCCGTCTCCGCCCAGCTCTTGTACACCGTCTCCACCAGGTTCCGCCGCAGCCTCGTGTACAGGTCTTTCGCCCTGTTCTGGAAGGGGCCCTTTTGCGTGGCAATGTTCTGCAGGGAAAAGTCAGTAAGAGTCAAGCAAAAATTGCTCATCCTGCCGCCAGGAGAGCAACCTATCGGGAGCGTGGGGGGGCTGCTGCCTACGTAGAGTTGCGTCACCGCCATGTAGTTCATCGGCATCCACACCGGGCTGCGCCAGTAGTTCTCGCCAGTGCCATACCCCTCGTCCTGTTGGCTCAGGCTGCGGATGCCGTGCGCGCTAAAGAGATGGCTCTCATCGCCCAGCAGCTCCAGCGTCTTGCCCAGCTTCGGGTCATCCGGCTTGAGCAGCCCTACCAGGAACGGAAACAATGAAACGTATCCCTTGTGGCAGACCAGCTTGTGCTCCTCAAACTCGTCAATCGTCGCGTCGCAGAAGCATCCCTCCTTCTCCGACCAGTGCAGGTCCTGCAGGTTGCGCTCAATCGCCTCGAGGTTCTTTCCGAGCTCTGCCACCTCCTCGGCCATGCCGAGCGCGTCCGCAATGTTCAGGAGAGACTTGGTCATGAGCCCGACCCACGACATGAGGTCCACGTGCAGCTCGCCCGGGTGCGGCGGCTGCGGTCGGGGGTAGTCATCCAGGCCGCTCGTGAGGCAGTGCGTCTCCGTCCGGCCACGCCACCGGTAGGCTTCCTTCGTCGAGAACGCCTCCCTGTCGTACGACTTGATGTCGCCCTTTTGCGTCTTTCGGAACCAGTCGTACTGCCGTCGCAGGAGGGGGTAGAGGTTCCGCAGATACTCCTCTCCGAGTTCCACGTTGTCCAAGTGAGCCCGGTAGAGAGCCTCGTCTTGCGACAGTGTCTCCTTTTCCGCCCGCTGGGTGCCGTTGGCCTTGCGCAGGCGCTCCATGAAACCCTCGATGACCAGGAACAGCGTCGGCGGGTTGGCGTAGTGTGGATACTGCACCTGAAACTCTTCGGGCACCTTGCTGCGCGCCTCGGCCCCCAGAATCTGCTCTCGGGGGATCCAGCCGTCGTCGTCCATGGTCTTGTACCAGCTCTTGATAATCTCGAGAGTCAGGTCCATGTCCCAGTCCGCAATGGGCACAAGGTGGAAGCCCTCGTCCCAAAGGAAACCACGCGGGAAGAAGGGCCGCGATGGGATACTGGTAAAGAGCTCATACGGACCCTCCATCTTCTGTGCACCCCGTGCCCTGGCCTCTGCGGCGTCAACCCAAAAGTTCTCATTATCCTCGTCGTACTCGGGCGCGTACGAGCGGTCGATGACTTGCTCGCCGTAAAAGTAGCCCACGCCGCCAAGCAGGTTCGAAAACATGCTCTTGCCCAGCGCCTTGTACTTGTCCGCTTTGAACGGAGCCTTGAGGTTAAAGACCTTGGCGAATCGTTCTGAGAACGACTCCGAGGTCCTCTTGATCTCGCGAGTGAGGCCCTCCGATGTCATTGCCTTGCCCGCAGACCTCGAGGAGAAGATGACGTCAAACTCAAAGGGACCCTCAAACGTCTTCTGGACGATATGCACGTTGCCCTGGCCGGGGTTGTGGTCGACTCGGTATACCTGCCACGGCGGCGGGGCAGCTGCGTCGCCATAGGTCTCCTGGACGTATTGAGCAGCCTTTTGAAGCTGTTGGAAGAGGATGGGCTTGGCCTGCCACAGCAGGTTATCCGCGTATTGCAGGCTCCCAACGACTGTTGTGTCACCGTGCCGTTTCGTCGACAGGTCGTGGTCGACGGTCGGGTGCTTGCCCTTGCCCTTGGTCACGACAATCGAGTAGTCGCCGAGGGACTTGGAGCTGCCCTTGAGGGTCACGTCACCTTCGAAGCCAAACTCGGTGCCCGCGCCCTCGACGTGCAGGTCGCCCTCGCCGTCCTGCGCAAAGTAGTAGTAGACCGTCGTCTTCTGGTCCTTAGGCGCGCCGTCCCGCAGCGCGCCCTTGATCCGGACGGCCCAGCTGCCGCCGTGGTTGCCGCCCGGGACCTTGACAAAGGACGTTGTCAGGTCGAGCTTGTTGCCCTCGTCGTGGATCGTCTGGACGCCGCCGCTTCTCGCATCGTACTCGTCCCAGCCGTAGCCGCGCATCTCCTCGCCTTGCTCGCAGGTGAGTCGGAAGCCTAAGCGCATCCGTTAGCACAGCAATCCCTCCACTGACAATGCCTCGGCACAGGCTACTTACCGTTCCTAACGTCCTCGTACCCTTCCATGCGACTCCACATGAGCGTCGACCACAGTCCTTCGGGGAGCCTCGGACGGACGCCAAAGTACAGATTCGGCTTGTACGGGCCCCATAGCAGGCTCTGGTTGTTCAGGCGGCCAACCTCGCTGCTCAGCACGGCGTCGTCCCCCGCGGCAGCCGCCCCGGCCGTCAGGGCAGCGGCCGCAGCGATCAATTGGCTGAGTCTGGCCATTCTGCAAAAGTTCTCGCAGCCTATTCAATCATGAGGCAGCGCTTTTGGCGAGAAAAGACGCAAATGAGTGAGGGTGCAACAGTAGAGACCGGGCAGATGGCAAGGCGCCGTTTCGTCGTTGGCGCTCCTGGAATCAAGGAGTTTGGGGCCACGTTTGGAGGGAGTGTGGGGGTGCTGGGCGAGGCTGAGCGTCATCGCCTGCTGAATCAACCCCGAAGCTGGGGGCGTGCAGGTACGCGGCCAATTGCGGCCCCTCACCAGCCACCCCACGCCCCTGCTGAGCCACAGCGGCCCCCAAACCCGGCGCCAACGTCAACTTTCTGTTTCGTTCGCTGGCGATCCATCACAGCCTGACCCCAAAAACGCTTCGCAACTTTCCAGACGAGAAACTCGGCTCTGCGCCTAGAACGACGCCCTACGCTGCGCACAACCAACCGCATACACCACTCTATCGCAGACAACAGACGCACGCACAGCATCTCGCCGGCTTCAACCATGAGCGACTCGCGCCGCGGCCGGCGGCCCAACAGCCACCAGATGTGGGACGACACGGACCGCGACAGACAGCCCCGCGACCGCGACCGCGACCGCGACAATCGAGACCGCAGAGGATACCGCTCCAGATCACGCGATCGCTCGCCAGACAGACGGTACAGAGACCGCGACGCGCCATCAGACAGAGGCCGTGACGGCGGTCGAGGCCGCGGAGGCGGCAGGGGTCGGGGCCGTGACCGGGAGCCACGCGGCCGCTACGACGACAGGGACCGCCGCGACCGCGACCGCGACCGCGACCGACGGGACGACTACCACGACAGAGACAGCCGACGGCGCTCCGCCTCGCCCCGAAGCGCCAGCCCCGCGCCCGCAGCCAACCTCCCCACGCGCTCCCGCCCGCGCGACTCCCCCAAGCCCGACCCCCGGCGCCGCAGCCGATCCCCTCGCGCACGCCACGCCGGCAACCGATCCCCGCGACGCCGCAGCGACAAGGACGACGCCATGGACGTGGAAGATAGAGAGGAGCGCGCGGACGACGGCGAGGTGGACGCGGAGGAGGAGCTGGACCCCGACGCCGCCGCCATGCAGGCCATGCTGGGCTTCGGCGGCTTCGGCACCACCAAGGGCAAGAAGATTGCGGGCAACGACGTGGGTGGCGTGCGCAAGGAGAAGAAGTCGGAGTACAGGCAGTACATGAACCGCCAGGGGGGCTTCAACCGCCCGCTCAGCCCCTCGCGGTGAAGAAACGGAACGCGGCAACCAGCAGCACGTCGTATATTTGGGCGTGGAACTTTGGGAGGTCGTGTTGCAGCGCGACATGGATGGAGCTTGGCGTTAGGCGGCAGCGAAATGGGACATGCGACTTTCCATGCGTGTCGGTTGTTAGTTATATCAAACTCTATAAAACGTCTGTCACGTTACGTGCTTGCGTAATATTACAATGTCGTACAAAGGACTCCTTGGAAATGCATCCAAAGAGCAAGCGGCCCGGCGACCAACAACGGACCATGTCAACGAACGGGTTATGCGCAACTCCAAGACCGGGAGAATTGAAGCAACTGTAAGATACATGCAACTCGCCCCCGCTCGCCACTAAATCCTGCCCACAAATCCCCTGCGATCCCTCGCGTCCGTCCGTGCCATGTAGATAATAAAACATTACGTACTGCAGACGGTATATGCTGACGCTCGCTGCCTATGCATTCGAGTCCGTGGTGATGCTAGCTCTCTCGTCCTTCTCCTCCGGCCGCTCCTCGGCGTCACCTTCGTTGGCGTCCTTACTCTCGACACCCTCCATCTCCTCACTCGCCTTGGTATTGTCTTCCTCTGCGGGAGCGCCATCGGTGCCCTGCATCGGGGTGTCGTCGCCACCCAATGTGCTGTCGTCCCCTTGGCTAGCCGCAGCCTTTTCTCTCCGCCTCCTGCGCAGGCGTCGCTCCTCCTCCGCTGTCTGTCTCCTGGCCTTTCGCAAGCTCTCCCTCTTGTCGGGGTCGTCCCCATCAGCCCCCTCGCCCCCACGCATGCCTTGCAGAAGCGCCGCCGCCCTGTCTGCCACGTCGTCCTCGCCGTCGTGAGGCGACGTGAGCCCAGGGCTGAGGGGGTTGCCTTCTTCGCTGATCGTTTCCTCCTTGTGCAGTCCAGCCTCTACCTCCGGAATCTCGTTGAGGTCGGGTATCTTTTGGCCGGACGCGACGCGAACTTGGTGCCTGTCCTTGAGCCTTGCGCGGCGGCGACGGTCTCTCTGGTCCCGAGCCTGAGGCGCGGCGGCCCGCAGCTTCTCCAGAAGCGAGTCCATGGCACCCGTGCTCGTTTGGGAGCTCGCGCCGTTGTCTGCGAGTGCCGAGACAGCCTTTTGCTGGGCGTGTTTGCGCTTCATGGACGCCTCGTTGCGTCTCCTCGTCTCTTCCAACTGCAGGTTCTTCTCCCGTGACTTCTTCCACTCGCTCAGGAAGGTCGCCAGCTTGTGGAAGAAATCCCTCCTGGCGTTCTCGTCGGTCGGGTCTTCGCCGTAGAATACCATGATGTCCTTGTACGTCTTCATCATCTCGTCCAGGTAGAGCTCCATCTGCTCCGCCTTCCTGCGGGCATCCTTCATGCATCTCTGGACCACCTGGCTCACGCGATCCTGAGGGTGAAACTTCTTCGGGTCGCTCAGGTTGCCAGAGTCCAGGGACATTTGCACATTGCGAATGTTGTCGACATACTTCTTCGCGTCCGTGTTCAGCTGCTCGACGTTGACCTTTTGCGCAGCCAAGACACCACCGATGTCGCCGACGAAGCCTTCCCATTCGGGATACTGGTTTCGCACAATACGCTCCACGAGGTCGGCCAGTGTTGACTCGTTCTTGTCGTCCTTCACCATGCCCAGCCGAGCCAGGGAGCTGAGCTTAAAGCCGCGAGCCTGCTTGTTGGCGTCGTTCATGTAGTTGCCGATATCCAGGATAAGACCCAAGACGTTCATGAGCGACACAGAGTCTCTGAGGCTCTCGGAGACGGTGACGACTTGGCGGATGCGCTCGTTGAGCTCATCATAGTCCGACTCGAAGCTGCGCGTCAGTGCCAAAGCCCTCATCCTGCTCTTCCAGTAGTGATGAAGTTCAAACGCAGTGTACAAGTAGATCTGGTCCTGGCGAGTCAACTCCGACGGGTCCTGCTCCCTCGTCTGACTGTTTGCGTCCGGCCCGGTCAGATCTCGACTGTACGGGGCCATCTGCTTGGCGGTATTGTCGGGGATGTGGCACAAATCATCCTTTTGCAAAAAGTCCATGACAACTTGGTTGTCCAACACGTCCTTGTCGCAGTGAATAATCATCTGCACGATCTTTTCCACCGAGTGCTGCGAGAACTTGGCAAGGGCGATTTCTGTGACTGGTCAGCCTGGTATTCTTAGCCATCCAGGCCGTCAATATCTTACCGTATGCCTTTCGCAAATCTGCAGAGATGATTTGTTTCTTGTCGCCCTTCTTGGAAGCGCCGCCGCCAAGCTGCTTGATCTCCTTGGCCATAAACAGCTTCTCGACCTCGTCCAAGATTCCCTTTTTCGTGAGCTCGTTGTACTTTTCTTCCCTTTCCTCCGCTGTAGGAGCGTGCGCAGCCCAGTGGCTGGATTCAGGGGTATCGACCTTGTCCCAGTGGAGCGCCTTGAGCTTCTTCTTGGGCCTCACAACTGGCAGGCCAATGCCTGGCGAGGCGGCAAAGGCTGGCTTTTGAGGCAAGAAACCTCCAGACATTGGCCCTGGCAACGGCGGAGGTGGTGGAGGCATAGCTGCAGAGCCGGGCATCGGAGGCGGCGGAGGCGGCGGCGGAGGAGCTCCCGGCATCATACCGGGCATCGGCGGTGGCGGAGGTGGCGGTGGAGGAGGAGGAGCACCAGGGACCTGGCCCGGCATGGGAGGCGGAGGAGGAGGTGGAGGCGGCGGCGGCGGCGCTGCGGCACCGGCCGGCTCGCTGGCCTCGATCTTCGGGGTGTCGCCGTCCGAAGGCGTGAGAGGCGTGGAGGACTCGATGCTGGGGTGTGTCGGCCCGGTCGTGACACCGTCTCCGTCCTCCGAGTCGGATCCTTCGTACTTCTTGACCTTGGCGCCTATTTCGTCCAAGAGGCCGGCCTGCTGCTTAGGATCAATGATGGGACGCTTCATCTCAACGATCCTGGGCCGCTCGTAGATGACTCCATCATCGCCCTCGGTCTCGTCGCCTTCTTCGATGACATCGTCGTCGTCCTTAGGCGCGTTGACGGGCTTGCGCGAGATCTTGGTCTGTCGGTTTATGCTGCCAAGCACGCTGTTGGTAAAGTCTCGGGGCGGCGTGCCGCCGCCCACGGGTGTCTGGGGACCGTCGCCCTCCATCTCTTCCCGCAGGGCGCGCAGGCGATCCGAAGGACCGTTCGCCTCGCCCCAAACTCTCCCCTCCAGCTTGTACTGCGTCTTTTGTCTCTCAAGCTGCCTCTGGAGGCGATCCATGAGTTGCTCGCGGTCGAGGATGCCTTGCATCTGCGAGGCGTCCTTGGCGCCGGTTTCGGTCTTCTTGCTGCCCTTGAGTGCGTTGGATGCAGCAATGTCTTGGGCGTCGCGGAGCATCAGGTAGAGCTCACGCGTCTCCAACTCGTTCCTCTGAGCTTCCTTTGCTCTCATAGCTTGCAGGTTCTCCAGCTCAGCCTTCAAACCGTCCGCTTGCCGCCTTTGCGCCTCGATGAAGCGTGATTGCTCGTCTAGCTGTTTCTGCATCTTGGCCACCAGGCCATCCGCACCAAGTTCTAGCCTAGCGCGCATCTCGTCGCGTTCCGCCATAGCGGCGTCTGCGATCTGACGCGACTCCAAGGCTTCATCTTGCGCTTGTCTGGCCTCCGAGTCCGTATGCAACTTGTCGAGAAGGCTCTGTACGGTAAAGTTGAGGCTCTGCTTCAGGTCCATGTTCGGCAGGCGCCGATCCATGGCTACGTAGCTGAGCATGGAATCAACGAGCTGGAACATGCGCAGCCGCTCCTCGCCGTCGTTAGCGCGAATGAGCATGAGGTGCTGCAGCGCCGAGACGAAGTAATCCTGAGCCTTGCTTCCTTGTATGCGCGACTGAATGGCATCGGCGATTTGGACAGGGTCCGTAAGGTCCTTCATCTCCCCCTCGACATTGTCCTTGATGCTGCTGTTTTCTCTTTCGAGCATGTCCTCGTAGTCGATCGCTTCGTTCGTCCGGTAGCGCTCGATCTGCTTGTCAAGCAAGTCATACTGGAAGCCCTCCATCTTGGTCAAGATCCGCTTGATGCCGCAAGCCGTGAACTGGGCCCGGATGTGCACTCTGAGCTGGAGGTCGCGCTCGGGGGAGTCGACGATCATACTGATGAGCATCAACGTCGCAACGGCGTATTCCATGAGCAGGTTCTCCATGCCTATGCCACCCGTGCGAAGCTCTTCGCTGGCACCGACGAGGCTGCCCATCTTGCCTCGCCCGTCGACCGTCACTTCGACCAGTCGCATCCAAGAATCGAATCTGCCATTCTCTCCGGACTGCGCCTTGACCTCGTCGAGAGCCTGAATCACCTTCAGATGCCCTTCGCCGTTCTCGCCCCAGGTACACAAGAAGGTCAGGATTTCACTGACGAGCTTCCTCGTAGTGATGCGCGAAGACGTGAGCGACGTGGCCAGGGCGAGCAGGACCTTGGACTGCATGAGCGCATCGTCGGCGCCGAATTTGTTGTTCATCAGCGCCTTGAGACACTTGACGATGTCATATTCGCGGTCGAGGTTCCTTTCGGCCTTGTTGTTGTCGGGGGCGGGGCCGACTGCTGTCTTGCGGTTGAGCTTGAGCAGCAGAGTCACCAGCGCAACTTGCCCCTGGCACTCGACGAACCGCTTGACCCAGCCGATCTGTTGAGTGCGGAGGTTGACCTCGAGACTCCCCATGCCCTTCGAGTCGAGCCTGTCCTCCATGACCTTCCGCACGTACCATTCGGGCGCGCCCTCTTCGTCGGAGTAAGTGGTGACGTCTGGCGTCGTGTACTGATTCGTTCGGGCAGTCTGCCTGCGCTTTTGCTCACCCTGCCACTCTGTCAAGCGGTCTTGGTGCAGCAGCGTCCACTTCTTTTGCGGTGGGTAGGCCATCATCTGCCTTCTCGCCTGCTCGGGGAGGTTGTGCCATCCTCGCTTCTGCATCAGCTGCAGGAACATCTGTTCGACAACATGGTCGTCGTCGGGTTTCGGAAAGTAGAAGCCGTCGTGCCCACCGCCTCCAGGCAGCTTGGTCAGGCGATGCGAATCTCGGTGTGATGTCTGGGAGCCGTAGGAGCTCTGTGACGATGCCGTAGGAAGAGCTGCTTGCGATGAGCGTGTCGTTCCCCCAACCTCACGGTAGGCCGGATTACCTGAGTATATGCTAAGGTTGTCACCTGAAGCTCGGCCATTGGGAGCCATATAGGAATCGTAACGGGAACCGTTGACGGTGCTGGCGACGCTGCCACGAGGAGGGCCCCATTGCTGGAACTGCGCCTGACGGCCGGTCGAGGCCATGGTAATATTCGAGGCGCTGGTGTGGGGTCGCGTAGGGACATGGGAGCCGGGATGGAGGCTCGACGGGTCAAAGTTTGGGTACTGGTGGAAATCTCCGCCGGCTTTGTTGAGGTGATGCGGTAAGGGATCGCGGCGCACGGGTAGCTGGTCTGGTTTCGGGAGGTATTCGACGGGGATCGGGGACCGCGGACCGGCCGGGACGCTCTCGTAGGGTATCGACGTGACCACGCCCGCCGTCATGTTGATTCCCGGGTCAGGGGACGCGGGCGCATCGATGGAGACGGTCGAAGACTCTCGTTTGTGGCGCGAGATGCGCGAGCTCATGGTGCTGGCGACATCGAGGTGGTCGGTATCGGTCGTCCGCCGGTCCTTGTTCTTGCTCCTAGAGAAGATGGAGCGGCCGCCCGAGGACTGCCTCGACTTGTCTGCGGACGACATGGCCGGCGCTCGCTGCTCAGGTCGTAGTTACGTTAAAGACGAAGAGACGACACAGTTGGTGGCGCAGGGCCGCTCTCATGATGGACACGGGCCGCCAGTGAGAGTCCGGCTGCGCCCGGCGGACTCGAAGCCGGGCAGGCGTCCGGTTGTCTGGCGACGTGCCCGACCCTGTACGGCGGTAACGTGGCCAGATGCGGCCGCTGTCGGGGTCGAGAACTCGCGATGATGTGCGATGGGGTCGTCGAGGTCGTCGAGGTCAAAGAATCGACGCTGAAATCGGCGTCCAGGCTGGTGGACCGAGGCCAAAGGCGCGGTGAAACGCCGCACGAGGGTCTCCACGCGGGTAGGATCGTTTTTGCGCGTTATCGGTGGAGAGGCGAGGCCAGCTCAACGGAGTCGACTTGGGGTCGACGCAGCCGCCATCAACGGACGGGGAATCTCGGCGCGCGACGGCTTGAGCAGTGCCCCAGACGGGTGACGGGCTGCGTATGGATTGCCTGCGGTGCACGGTGTTTGATTGTCGACGCAAACAACAAGAAAAGAGGTGTAGATTTGTTTGGCGGACGCTGCACAAGGCCCCTGACGAGAGAGACGACAAGGGGGGGAGCAGCTTGTTGGCGCTGGCGGAGAGAGATGACGATTCAGGAGAAGTCCGGCGGCCCATCATTTTGCGGTGCGGTGCGGTAGGTAGGTACAGTCCATGCCCGGATGCCAGGTGGGTGCCCGCGAGAGTGGAGCTGGAGCCCGCGCGCAAGGCGGCCGACCACTGAGGTGGGCCGTGCAGCTCCCTGAGACGACCCTCGAAGCCAGGGGGGCTCGAGCCTTGAGGTACCTGTTCCCATCGGTTATTAGCGAGCGCAGCAGCACGGGAGTCCCGTCGTGCCCCAGAATAACTGGAGGTGGGTGGGCTCCAGCTCGGTGACAGGCGCCTGCAGCCACTGAACTGTCGGGGCGCGGGCGTGGCGCGCATCGGGGGGAGCTGCCCTGGCCGCCAGTGGTCACGGGCAGCATCAACTGGCATCCCTTCCCTCGTGCCTGAATGGAAGTGGACGGGGCAGGCTTTGCATGTACGTGCGAGGCATCGCATTGTCCTCTGCCCATCGCATGACCGTTGCAATCCAGCGCATAATTACGTGCAGCACCAGCCGCACCCTGTTTGGCTCTACCGGCTTAAACCGGAGCCGAGACACACATAGAGCCCTGCTGGTGCCCTCCATCCCACTTGACACTCGATGTTGGCGATCAAACCCCCCGCCGCCGGCAGCGAGCAAGCACGCGCCTCGGGCTGGGCACAGGTGCCGCCTCAGCCTCGGGGGTCCACGGTTCCAGTTGGGTTTGTCGCAGATGCTGCGCGACACCGTTGCGGGCAGCACACCCGCCCACCACCCGGGCATCCATCCATCCATCCACCTTACCTTATCCAGGCCACGCGCGCCCGAACCCTATCACGGCAGCGCCCCATCAGCGCGGCTCGAGCGCATCCCGCCTCCATTCCAAGCGGCTTGCGAGCATGGCACGATTCCTCACGTTTGATTTTGTTGTTTTCATAAATAAAGGGTCCGTATTGCCCTTGTCCCGCGAGATTACTCGCAGCTCGGAACCAAGGGTTTGAGAGGAGGGGACAAGGGAGCTTCCGGAGGAGTCCCCCTCGGGGCCAGAACGGTTCTAGGCCCGGCAGAACCCCTGAAACGCTGCTGTTCTTGGCTAGCCTCGCGCTGTCGCCGGAGCTGGGAACGGCCATTCATGGATGATGTGGCGGTGCAGTGGTGCATGTCTCCAGTGGCCCCAACTGCGACCCTGCCGGAGAACGGGCAGCGCGGCCGGGAAGGCAAGCCACACCACCGCCTGGCCGCCCGCTGACAGCCTAACTCGGTCGTGGTCCTCGTGGTGCCTAGACGGTGGTGTCACCGACGCATCGTCCACCGACGACAACTCGCGATAGTCGTCGGCGCCGGCGAACAGCGCCAAGTGCTCCCGTGGCCCGCCCCCACGGATACACCGCGCCGTCAGAGTACCCAGTCGCACTCGGAGCGACTCAGGAGTCTGCCATCATGGGCTCCTCGGCGTCCCTCTTCAAGGTACGCAATCCCCCCGAACCGCTCAACTGTCCACGTCGGATCGACCTCTGACCAGCAGCCCACACAGACCCTCCTCGTCCCCGCCGTCATCTCCCTCATCATATTCCTCTTCCTCACCTTCGTCCTCGTCCCCGTCTGGCGCCGCTACCGCAACCGCTACTCGCAGTACCTCCCGCTCGACTCCATCTCCGACCGCACCTCGTCGTTCCGCCACCGCATCCTCGGCCGCTTCTCCTCGTTGAACCCCTTGGCTCACTTCGTCAGCGGCAGGCAGCAGGTCGTCTTCGCCAGCGGCGGCGCCGGCACCGGCGCCGAGTCGGGCGCGGATGACGAGGACGGGGAGGAGCTGGGCGACGTCGACGAGGCGACCTGGCGTGCCATCGAGAGGCATGTCCCGTCGGTGCATACACCAGATAGCACGAGGCGGCTGAGCAGAGAGTATGCTCCGACTACCTCGCAACCTTCGATTGGTACAGTGTCTAACGTGCAATAGTTTGGAAGAAGGCTTCATGGACGATAGTGACGACGAACCAGACCGCAGACTAGCATGATGCAGCGTGGCGATTGCATTAGAGAGGGCATTGAATCACTATTACCACTCACAGTATTAAACCAGCGTCGTTACATTGGAACCCATGGGCTTCTGTGTTTGCAGTGACGGTGATTCTACGAAGTCAGAAGCACCCTCCCAACCACGACTTCGGCTCGTTGGGCTCGAAACGAAACTGCCGCATGGCTCATCGCTGTCGTCTATTCATGCGCTTACATACAACTATACTAACTCATGACAAAAGTGTCACTCATCCCGCTGGGTTGATGACGCGCTGAGGATCCAAGTGCGCACAGCCGTCATGACGGGCGCCTCATCGCGGACGCTTGCGCAGCCTTGTTCACCTTAACAAGCCGCCGCCCTGACTTGACCTGGTCGTTCGCCTCCTTGAACTCGGCGCTTCCACCTGCAAAGTCCACCCATTTTCGGGCCCACCACTTCGACTGCCTGTTGTTGAACTTGTTTACCGCCCGGTTCAGGAAGAACCTCCGGTACTTGCAGATGACGCTTTGACGAAACTTGGCCACACCGCGGTCCTCGTCCCTCTTCTTGCTGTCCGCCCTGTCCGTGTACCAGCTGGTCCTGTCGACAGCAGCTCGCAGTCTACGACCCTCATCGGTCCCGCACCACTCGTAATCCCAGGGCACAATGGCGGCGTCGGATTCCGTGAACGGGCGCTCTGAGAGGCTGCGCGGAGGCCTATGTGCCGGAACAGTCAAGTGCTCGCAGGCGTGTCTCAGCGGCACGCCACACTTGGGACAATTTGGGGGCGCATGCGAGTCTGCGATCCATCGGAAGAGACACTCGTGGCCAAAGACATGCCTGCAGTGCAGGTACGCATGAACCTCCTTCGGCCATTCCGCACCTCTCTTGTAGTTCTGGCCGTAAATCTCGCCGCAGATCCAGCAGCTGATATGGTCTGCCAGATCACTCGTTGCAAAGAGCGGGATCTTCCGCACAAGGGGGGAAGGCTCGGTGTTGCCAGTAACCTTCGGCGTGCGAGTGCGTTCAACTTCCTTCGGGGCAGGACCGGGAGCTCCCTTGTCTGCAGCGCTGTCTTGGCGGGTCTCCGTGATTGTAGGCCGTACAGGAACCTCCGGAGGGGGGGCGGCCGCGGGCTCGGCCGTGGGATCAGGTCTGGGTCCGGCCGGTCTTTTGCCTTTCCTGTCATGGTGTGCATGATTGCCACCATTGTTCTCGTCGACCGTCGCGGGGTTCTCCTCTTCGGCAGCACTCTCCTCATGATGCTCGTGCTGGGCATTCTCCTCGTCGTCCTTGACCGGCCCGGCGCTTGCGGAGGCCGCCGTCTTCTGATCCGCGGACTCACGAGGGGCTCGGCCCTGGGATGGCTCAGCTGAGGCACCCGTCGAGGGCGACGAGAGCCGGCTCCGATGTCGAAGGGCGTGTTGGCGAAGTGAGTCAGGAATCGATTCCCGGGAGCCGTCGGGTCCAAGACCCGTCTTCTCCTGGAGCTGAGCCGCACGGCGTGTGAGACGGCGAAGGCGTACCAACTGTTTGATCCGGTAGGCAACGTAGCGGGGAGTTTCTTTGAGGGTATCCATGGTGGGCAGGCGGCTGCGAGGAGCTGCGAGGAAAAGCAGGGCCGCTCATAGCGAAGGCGATAGGGGAGGAAATACGCCTGGCGTAAAGATATGAGAGGTGCCTGGGGCGAGAGAAGATGAATGTCTCGTCAAAAAGGGTGGAAGCGGTATAACAAAATTGTCGGGCGGATGATGGGTGAGAGAGAAGAAGAACAAGCAGCGTTGGCCCTTGGGCCCGGAGACATAATTATGGCTCTTGTCTGACCTGGCAACAGTCTGGCTGCGACTGCTGAAAGTGCAAAGCCAGCCTCCTTAGGAAGCTGTGGACCTGCTGCGGTCGTACGTGTGCGTTCGTCTTTCCTTTTCCTCGCGGAACATGTAAGTGAGGTAGGTTCGGCGGGTGGTCGGACATGGTGGGGCCAAGGAGCTCCTTGCCGCTGATCGACGCTGGTACCGAGTACGCCTGGCTGATGACAATCGTGTCGCCACGATCTATCGTGTCAAGCTCCGCTCACTGAAAATTGCCTTCCTGTTGCCCAGTCGGTTTTTTTCTTTAAAGAGAAAGAGGCGATCTGAAAGGCCATCCATGTCGTACTTGGAGTTGGCGGGAGCAGCTCAGGCAGGAAGCTGTGTCGTCCAGGCCAGCCACCCCACCTTATTACCTACCTTCCTTCTGTGAGCAGCCGCCGGTGCATCGCGACCGCGCTTCAACCTCACACAACCAGCCCTCGCAGATGGGTAACTCACCGCCGCACACCGCGCTCGTGCCTGCAGCGAGTCTCACACGATGCGGTTCCGCACGGAGCTAAAGAACATTCGCACGTTTGCAAGTAAGTCGCGATGCACCCAATGGCGCCATTCCGGGCCCGTTCCTTCCAAGCTATCGCCGGCGCCTTCACCGCAGTGACTGACGCTGCCCAAGAACTCACCGCGGCGCTCTCCTCTCTGGAAAAGATCGCGTGGGTGCGCCTTAGCGATGACACGGCGCGCTTTACCGTCATCCCCGACATGGGATCCCAGGTCTGGGCGTAGGTGCACACCCGGTGCCCCAGTCGCGGGATCAGCCCTGTTAACGATGCCCTTCCCAGCTCCCTCGCCATGGACTTCATCTTCGAAGGCTACCACATCCAGTCCGCCGAGGCCGGCAACACCATAAACCTCGAGCTGCCCCTGCAGCCGCTGCAGCGCGCCCTCAAGTCCGCCCTCAACAGCATCTCCGCCACCCTGCGCCTCACCAAGAAGGACGGCCTGCCCATCCTCTCCATGACCATCACCACCACCACCTCCAACGCCGCCGCGCCCGGGGCCAAGTCCTCCGTCGCTGCTGCCGCCGCAGCAGCGGCTGCTGCTGCCTCTGCGGGCGACGACCCGTTTGGCGATGACGACGACGGCATCTTCCAGCAGGAGCACCTCGAGACGTCGCTCAGGCGCGAGCACGAAAAGATCATCACGCAGGACATTCCCGTGCGCGTCCTCCACCCCGAGACGGTGGAGATGATCATGCAGCCCAAGGTCAGGGAGCCCGACGTGCACATCCAGCTGCCGCCGCTGCTGCAGCTCAAGGCCATCTCCGACCGCTTCACCAAGCTGGCCCTCGCCTCGGGCAGCACCCAAAAGTCGCCCAAGCTCGAGCTGAGCGCCAACATGCACGGCGGCCTGCGCCTGCGCATCGCCACCGACACCACCGACATCTGCAGCGTCTGGTCCGACCTCGAGAACCCGGAGCTCGATCCCGCGCAGCTCGAGGGCCCCGTCGAGGAGCATCCCAGCACAAAGTTCCGCGAGGATGGGCCCGACCGCTGGGCCACGGTGCGCGTCGACGGCAAGGATTGGAGTAGGGTCCTCAGCGTGGGCAGGCTGGAGGGAAGGGTCATTGCGTGCTTCGCCGATGACCATGCCTTGATATTATACGTTTATGTCCCCCATTACGACGACGCCTCGGCCGAGGATTCTGTCGTCACGGTACGTGCTTCCCTTGCCCACAGTGTACCAACAACACTCTGACAGTCGCAGTACTATGTCCAATCGTATAGTGCATGATTTAATGAACTTTGGGACATTTCTGGCGTTGTGGCTAAAAGCGAGCTTCGGGGCTTAGAGGCACCATGGCGGAAATCACACAGTCTGAACGCGGCGCATCATGCGCGAGGAGAAAGAGATGGCCTCCTCCGTCGGTGCATGCATTAAGCAACGCCCCTTGGCAGACTAAATATAACATATCTAATCCCGTGATGGGACCTCTTATCGGAGAGCGATCATATTACAGCTTTTGATACGAGCCGGAAGAACATCTATCGTACAATTGTCCATCCCAGGCATGGTAATTCATACACATCTATAGCAAAAAGCACCGGGGGTCGAAAGCGGTGCGAGCTCCAGCGCGGACGATGGTTCCGCCCATTAATGCCGAGCGGCCCTCCATCGTCATCATGCATTCCCGTCCCAATGCGTATCAATCATGCTCATTTCGCCATGACATCAACATAACGCCCGGCCTTCCTCGTCTTCTTGGCCCCGCCCTTGCGCGGGCCCGCGGCGCCGAGCAAGTCGTCGATACTGCTGGCGTTGCTCATGCTAGTCGTCGGCCTACTAGGCGGCGCGCTCGGCGGCCCCGAACCGAGGTTGGGGTTCGATACCGAGTGGTTCAGGGTCGGAGGAGTGGTGAGGCTCTCCGTGGAAGCCTGTGGCGCGAGGCTTGATGCCGGCCGGGGAGGCCCCGAGGGAGGAGGGACGCTCGATCGGCCGCCCGGAGGCGGAGGCGTCACCTCGGTGGGCATTGGCGTGCCGCTCACAGATCGAGGCATCGCCCTCGGCGGTGGCGGCGTGGCCTTCTTGGCCTCCGTGTTCTCTGCACCAGATTTCTTGTTGATCCAGCGCTTCAGCTCGGGGTCGTAGACAAAGCTGCTCGCCTCGCCGAGCTTGGCGCGGATCGGCTTGCCAGGGGACGCTTCTCCAATGTTGCCCTCCTCCTTCTTGCTGCCACCAAACCAGTTGGAGAAGCCCCAGCCCTTTTTAGCCGCCTGTTGCGAGGCAGCACGCTTGGCTATTCCGCATGTCAGCAAGCCAAGTCCAGTCAATCGAGAATTCAGAGAACCTTACCATCTTCTTCGGCGGCCTTCCGGAACATTTCCTCGTTCTCCCTGTCCTTGTCGGCCTTTGACTTCTCCTGGGACTTCACCGCGGGAATGTCGTCGTCATCGTCATACATAACGCCCTTCTTCTTGGGTTTCGAGGTATCATCCTCGCCTTCGGCATCAGGTTGATAAGATGGCGGCTCGTAGCCATACGGCTGGAACGATGGCGGCTCATACCCTCCGTGGCCGCTGTCTATCGCCTGTTCGTGGTTATCCGCATCAGCCACGGGAGCCGTGGATGGCGGCTCGTAACTGTAGGTCTGGGGCTGGTATCCCTGACTCTGAGGGTTCGCCGGTTCGCCGTTAGACGTAGCGCTGGGATAGATGCTCGGCGATTCTTGCAGGCCGTACGGCTGGTAGCCGCTGGGTGCGAGCTGCTGAGGGGCAGCGGGCTCATGACTGGCCACCGAAGGTATAGGTGCGGGCTCTGCCGAGACTGGTTGGTAGACAGGTGCGGCCGGAGCGTAGCCCGTGGGAGCGTAGCCGTTGCCGACCGGGGCGGCTGAAGCACTGGCTTCGGGATGAGCGGGCTCGTAGGGGTTGTGCGAGTACTCATTGGAGTTGCGACCCGACGACGTAGGGCCTGCAGGATAGTGTGATGGGGCGTACGGGTTTGCCGATCCAGCTGGTTGAGTCGGAGCCGGTGCGTACCGGGAAGTCGTCGCGGAAGCTAAAGGGGCCGGTACGTGAGGAGCAGCGTTCGGAGCATATCCCGGCGAGGCGACTCCGTACACCTCAAAGTTGGACACGGAGGGCGACCTGCTTATGTTCGGCGAGGAGGCGATGCGTGCAAAAGGCCCGTTCTCGGCCTCTCCCGTACCGTTGCCATTACCATCGGCGTCGTCTCCGGCCACAAACTTGTTGAACCGGTTCCACATGCTATCGGAGACCTTGTTCATGCTGGGCTTGGATATCCACGACGAAGACATCTCCTTGGGAGCCTGCTTGAGCCTAGTCATGAAGTCCTCGACGGCAGCCTCCAGGACAACATGGTAATGCGGCGACCTCTTCGTCTGTGAAACCATTGCGGCAGCAATCGCATCGCAGTACTGTAGTGCCTTGTCACGGTAGCCGTATTCCGCCAGAGTAATGGCGTACTGCAGCTTGTACGCGGCGAGATGAGGCGCACCGGCGGCGGCTGCGACACTGTGGCCCAACGAAAGCCCGTATTCGTAGACCTCGCTGAGTTGCAAAGCCTCTGTCTCCTTGGCGAACTGGTCAGACTGCCGTCTGTGATCGGAGCCCAGCAGCACAAAGTCCACGTTGGCATCGTCGAGGCCACCAAACACGGACAGGCTGCGGCTGAAGATGAAGCAAATATGCGCAGCTTCCGCCCTGCCGTAGCTAGACAAGAGTTTTCCGAGCGCGTTCAGGCCACGAACGTCATCTGTACTGCGATTGCTCAGAATGAGTGTGACCGTCTCGCGCCACTTGTCCAAGCCATCAACCGCATCCCGCGCCGGACCCGAAGTGCTCTCCGTTGTCATCAACTGCAAGCCAGCGCGGGCATGTGACGGCACAAGTTCGTCTACGCAGTCGTCGTAATTGCCAGAAAGCACCTTGTAGAGGGCTCCGAGGGATTCGTTGCTGTGGCCTGGGTGATTGACTTCCTTGCGCACGAATTCCTGGGCGACTTGCTTGTACAGGTCGGGCGAAACGGTCTGAGAGATCAGCATGGCGTGACCCCAAAGTCGCTTATCCACAGCCGACCACACGGCTGTCTCGCGATCGCCTTTGAGGAGGTTCAGGCGTATCTGTTCCATCGCTGCAGGATCAGCACCATCAGCCTGCATGGAGGATACCGGTCCACCTTGCGCTCCCAAGGAGGCGGCAGTAGGGAACAACGCATCGTTGTCGGCAGTGGGAGTCGCCGTGCCTGGAGAAAGGATGTCCCTAACAGCCTTTTCCACAGCAGGAGTGCCCTCGAGCGCGCCGTCATGTTCCACGAAAACGCGAAGCAGTTTCCACAAAAGCAGTCGCTCGACGCCTCGTTTGGCTTCGAGTGAGAGGTGAGCGTGGAACGAGATGTCTGGCAGCTCCTTTTCCTGCGCGTCGATTCCTGCCGCCAACCAGGCAAGGGCCTCCTTCTTCTTCGACTTGCCTCTCAACGGACCAGGAAATTTCGCCAGGCGGTCTTGCAGTGGCTCGATATCTTTAATATGTCGCACCTTGACCTCGCCGGCCGTTCGCACAATGGTTGGCGCCGTCTGGTTCATGCTGTACCGTGGGACGCTCTGAGGAAAGCTTGTGACAACTGTCCCGCCCACACCCCAGGCAACGAGAGGAACACCCTTCCACCGCCCCAAGGGATCTTGTTCTCGCCCGTCTGTTGGGGCGACCATGTTCATCGTCAACGACTGGCCGCGTGCCCTCGCGGGAACATGAGCGGCGGGTGTTGCCTTCGTCATGGATGGGACTCCTGACGAGTGAGAGGACGAAGGCCGTGGTACCGCTTCAGCAGGCTTGTACTGCCGATGCACCGCAGTCGGAGACTGGGTCGATGCACGTGCAGGCGGCGCCATGCCAAGCTGCGGCGCTGAGGCTGCGTGGGGCATATAATTTGAGACTGTCCGCTTCGGCGGGGAGAACGTAGCCGGTGCATGGTGGGCGGAGGGCAAGGGGGGAGTGTGACGAGCGGCTGGCGGAGCGGCGGGACTGTACTTGGATTCCGCGTGCGCGACAGGAGGTACGGGGTGGCTGGCGCTGAAGGACCTGTTGGCGGGCACAGCATCTTCCTCGTCCTCTTCGTCGACTTCGCGAGTAGGTGGGAGTGAAGAGACTCGGCTGAGTCGGGGCTCGAACGAGGAACTGGATCGACGGTCGACGTGATGTACGTCACCGTTCGGGCCATGAGCAGCGCTGTGCATCTTGTCGACGCTGGAATCGAAGTGAGCCAAGGGACTGGACGTCCTTGGTAGGTGCGGGTGGGCGCCTTGCGACGGAGTGGCCGGCCCAGAAGGGCTGTATGAGCCGCCGGCACGGGGAGCGGGCGCTGGTGAATAGCGAGAAGCGGCGGCCGGGGGCGGAGCGCTTTGAGAGTTTGGCTGGTGGGCGGGAGCCGGGGAGTACCTCGTGGCGCCAGTAGAAGGCGGCGGCATCGGCGGAGCGGATTGGAGTGCTGCATAAGGGCTGACCCTCTCGGGGGCGACCAGATTCGTGATGCCAGGTGTATGCGGGGATTGTGTATGCGGGGATTGTTGTGGTAGAGGTGCGCCCGTCGGGGGAGGGGCTGAGCTGACGGAGGGCGGGAAAGGGGCAGATTGCTGGCCGGTCGGTGTGTATGGGCTAGGTGATGGTGCCCGATTGCTCTGTCGTGAACCCGGCCGGGGCTTCGCTTGCACGGGAAGGTCCTCGAAAAAGCCGCTCTGGCTCCGGAGAGCCGGAGCCGAGGCCTTCTGGTTCAGAGGCGGGCCTGGAGGCGCCGCGGCGGCAGACGGCGGGCCAGCAGAGGGTGGTCGGTTCGGGGATGTCATGCTGGCGCTCCTGGGCGGTGCCGGGGGTAGTTCCTTGGGAAGCTGCTGCATGCTCGCCCGTTTCCTTGGCTTGATCGTTGTGTTCACAAGGTCCGTCGGCAGGTCATATGGGGACGCGTAGCCACCCTTGGCTTTGTCCGCAAAGCTTTGAGCCTTTGTGAGTTCTGGCCGCGGGGGCGCAGGTTGGCCGAACGGAGTTGGCGCGGCCTGCTGGTATGGGAAACCCTGCGTTGGAGCAGCAGCCATCGGTGTGTACGCTGCCGGCGTCGGCTGCGGAGGGACTGCAGCAGGGGCATAGGGGTTTGATGCGAGCGACTGTGAAGTGGCGACCGTCACCGGTCGGGTGTCTGGCGCGACATCGTCGTTCTCGTCGTCGAGGAATCCCTCGTCATCGCTCCCGAGGAACGCGGTCGCGTCGATGTCCTTGGTCTCCGTCGCTGAGTCTTCCAAGAGAAAGTCGCCCTCGTCGTCGTCACTAGCAAAGGCCTCTTGCCACTTGGATGCCAGATCTTCGGCCGCAGGCTGCACCTCGTCACCGGCCTGCTCTCCCGTGGTTTCCTGGTGCTCCTCCAGCGTTTCCTCCAGCGTGCTCTGTCGTGACAAGGGTTCATGGTCCAGCGACCCCAAAACCTGCATGGTAGACTTGCGCTCGATAGGGTGGATCTTGTCCGCATGGTCATCCGGCTGCGTATCCGCTGTCTGGGGTTGCGAAAAGAAGCCGTCGTCGTTCCCATCGTCATCAGCGAAAGGGTCGGTGAAGGCTCGCTGGCCAAGGCCTTGTGGTTCGTCATGTCCTCCCTCGACTTGCGAAATCAACGGAAGCCCCTCTTCATAGCGAGCCTCGGTCGCATCGGGTTCCTGTATCTCACCCCCAATGGATCGGGATGCAGCGTGCTTTGAACGACCGGAGTCTGCCTTGTCCAGGGGATCCGGCTCTTCCGTTGTATTGCCTGCGAGGTATTGCTGCTCATCGAATTCGGCTTCGCGCTCGGTTTCCTCCAGGAGATCCAGCGCCTGTGTCGCCGGAAGGGGCTGGCCGTTGGGTTCATTTGAGGTGGTGGTCATGGGAGGCACCACAGGAAACGAGTTGGTTCGGTCCGACAGAGGCATGAAGCTGAACGTGTCTACCTCGGATCGTGTTGGGCTGAACTCGGTGCCGTCGTCATCATTGAAGTTGATATCGTGGGACACGGTCCGCGCGAACGACATGGAGCTGGAGTGTTTCGCCGCCGGCACCCAGGCAGGCTCTGCAGGTGGCGGAGCAGCATCGGCTTCCTGATCCGCGGCGTCGTGTGGTTTCGCATCGTCTGACACCAACCAGGCATCGCCACCGTGGTCATCGTCATTTGTGAGCCAGGCGTCGCCGCCATCTTGTGTCTCTTCTGCGTGTTCCGGCGCCGCGACTGGCGCTGCTGGCGCGGCTTCAGTCTGTGGCTCGACATCGTCCGACGCCAGCCAAGCGTCACCGTCCTCATCGTCGCCGTCGTTGGCAAACCACGCGTCGGCCGGATCCTGCCCATTTTCAGGGTCGGGGGCGCCACGTGACGCGGTCGGTTCTTGCGTGCTCTCGGGTACGGATCCTGTGGCAGGCTCGGTCGGGGCGTCCGAGTCGTGAATGGCGGCCGCGGCAACATCAATGCTGTTGGGCATTAGTGCCGGGTGCCACGTCGAGCTGGGCAGCTCGGAAGCCATGGTCGCGACACAAGGAAAGGATGCGATTATTAGGTAGGAGGCCAAACACAAGATGCGATACCTGCCGAGGACGGTCAGTGTCCAGCACCGGAGATAGGGGCACGCGTGGATCGAGCGCAAAAGCCGGCGCGGCGCAACGAGACCGGGGAGTCGCACTAATACAAAAAGGCAAGAATCAAATGCGGTTGATTAGTGCACGCTCCGGCTCGCCATATCAGGGGTGCAGCGGAAATCGGGTATCGAGGAGCAGTCGAGGGCGTCGGGGCTCGAGGGGAGCGTGAGGCGAGCTGAGGTGAGGTGAGGTGGATTGCAAGTGCAAGCTGGCAAGTAATGGATGGGGCGAGCTCGAGACGTGCCGTCAGGAGAAGAACTGGGGCCTGGGGGTCGTCGAGAGGCGTTGCCACCAGTAAAAAAACGTGTTCTGGCGCGGTCTCGACAGCCAAAGTGGGCACGCCAGCTACCAAGCAGCGGCCCGTGTCAGGAAGCCGTCGGCGGATCCGTAAGCCAAGCAAAGGTTGTCTGTCTGCCGGGCGGTGGACACCTGGCTCTTGGGGGGGGGGCTCCTTCTGAAAGCTGCAGCACGCCGTCGTTTAGCCGGACGTAGGCTATCGTACCGTCCCTTTCCTCAGGCTGAGCGCTGGATTGTCTGTCTTATTATACTCTGTGCATAGGCATCAACTAAAGGAAAAACCGATGCTGCAACTTTGTGCATCGGCAAACCTTGACCCTCGATGCCATGACTCCAGAGCACATATGTTTGTTGTGCGCCAACCGTCGACTCGCAACTTCGCAAGCCTCGGCTGCCCCGCGGATCTTCCATCCAATGTTCGCGCCGGCGCGCCACTGACACCACAGTCAAGTCAGGCGTGACCGCCGCCGCGCAGCCGTCGTGAGGTTGTTCCGTCGCCCCGCGGGTGGTGCCAGCCACGTTCCCATTCGCCGCGACGTCGCACCTCCGACATGGGCATACGATGACGTCGGATCCTAACAGCCGTCCGCCCCGTCATGTATTGTACTATACGTACGGTGTCACTGGGGGATCAGCATGTTACTTTGTCCCGTCCACCGGCCGCGTGTCCGCGCAACAGGCCATCGCGGATAATACGGAATTCCGTCCCAGGTCCCCAAGAGCCATCGCACGTGAGCCTGGCCTTGTGCCTGGTGTCGACTATACGCTGCATGGGACAGCTATGCGTCCGGCACGCCAACCCATCTACTTCGTACCTAGGCCCGAAGTTGTGTGACCATTGAGTGTGGCTCATCCACCATCATTCTCCGCCCCTGCATTCAAAGCTGGTGTTTGTAAGAACAAAGGGAGGTCGCGCCAAACACTTCTGCTTCGTACCGCGCTTGCGGCAATAATGAAATCCAATGCACCGCACGAAACCTGTATGTATCTAGTATTCGCGAAAGAAAGAGAGACTTGTGATGCCATCGCAAAAGATTCCGTCTCATTGTGCCGTCACCGGCCCAGGGTAGGCGGACTGTTGTTTTTGGGCACATCACCGCAGGGCCACTGGGCGAGCCCTGGAGGCCTTGGTGAGGTGGCTCCTGCAGAAGGCTCCACCCACTGACGTTGGTTGCCTGGAGCTCCGGAGAAGCTGCCCGAACCCCTGGCGCCATCTGTCACTCAGCCTTCGACGTTACGTATCCGCATCTGCAACCGCATCTGCAACAACCAAATAGCCAGGGAGACGCCTGCGTCACGCTCCTTTCCACCGACAAGGCCACAACACCACATCGCAACATCCTTACTGACCGCATCGCTTGGCGCGCCCGACTCGAGTAGCGTCCATTTCGGCGTTGCCCGTGGCGAAGCGACCAGACGCGCCCGCAGCCGGCTGATGCTCGCTCGTCAGCACCCGTGACCCGCCGTTCCCGTGCCGCATCATACCCTATCCATCGCAGCCGTCCAAGCATGCCCAGCAGACTACGCCGCCAGCGCACCCGTCAACAGTACCATCACGAGGCGCGCGGCGGAAATTGATGCGGGATGCCTTCCACACCGCCGTACCGACCGACCGAGCCGCCCGATTCGCCCACCCACGACTCCGACTCCGACCTCGACCTCGACATCCAGGAGCTGGACCCCATCTCCTCTGAGCCTGCCCGAGGATCCCAACACGAACCGCCGGCTCCCGAGCCGCGAACTGCGAGAATAGCCCTGAGGAACTTGCGCATGGGAGGTTTGCGCCGTGCCAGTAAACGAGGCCGCGGGTACGGGGATCTGGGCGCTGACCGGGACGACTCCAACGACCACGCCCGTGGGCTCCTCGACGAACACGATGACGCTCGCCAGCCCTGGTCAGATGGTGGCGGCAATGGGGAGGACGGCGTGCCCCTCCTCGGAGGGGGACAGAGATCTCATGTTCGGCGGGCGTCGCGATCTAGCCTCCGCCTACCGAGCTTCATGACGGGCTCCAAGAAGCCCGATGACGAAGCCCCTGACGAGCAAGAGGAGGACGACCCCTCGACGTCGAGGCACGTTGCCGTCGGATCCAGCCAGGCCACCAAGTTTCCGACGAATATGGTCTCCAACGCCAAATACACCGCTCTGACCTTCCTCCCAATCACACTCTACAACGAGTTCTCCTTCTTCTTCAACATGTACTTCTTGCTCGTCGCGCTGTCGCAAGCCATACCCGCCTTGCGCATCGGCTACCTTTCTACTTACATTGCTCCCCTAGCTTTTGTTCTGTGTATCACCATGGGCAAGGAGGCGTACGACGACATTGAGCGACGACGGAGGGACACCGAGGCCAACTCGGAGGAGTACAAAGTGCTCTCCTTCGGTGACCCTGAATCGCGTCCGGCAACCTTGAGACCGCGAAAGCCTCTGAGGTCGGACAATTTGCGACGGAACTCTCGGAGAGGGCAGGGCAGTCGTCATGACTTGTCCGACATTCAGGAGGAAGACAGCCATGGGGAGGACGTCCAACCATCCTCGTACGTGCAAGAGACTAGTCGCAAGTCAAAAGACCTCAAGGTCGGCGATGTGTTGAAGCTAGCAAAAGGGCAGCGAGTGCCGGCAGACGTTGTCATCCTGCAGTGCTATTCCTCAGACGGCATTACAGTCACTCCCTCAAAGGAGCCGGCGGAGGAGGAGGCGTTGCTGGCCCTTGACGAGACGGACGACCCCAAGGGCAAGCAGCCTGCAGCCGAAGCTATCAAGCACGAGGCAGAGACCGGCTCGGTGGGAGAGGCATTCATCAGGACGGATCAGCTCGACGGCGAGACGGACTGGAAGTTGAGGCTGGCCTCACCACTAACCCAGAACCTCGCACCCGAGGAGTTTGTGCGCTTGCGTGTGACGGGTGGCAAGCCGGACAGAAAGGTCAACGAGTTCATCGGAACCGCCGAGCTGCTTCCCACGAGACAAGATGCCACGACACACCACTCAATGGTACCTCACGACGAACAACACACACAATCAGTCGCTCTGTCCATCGACAATACGGCTTGGTGTAACACTGTAATCGCTTCTCAGGGAACGACGCTCGCGGTCATCATGTATACGGGTCCGCAGACAAGATCTGCCCTCTCGACAGCGCCCTCCCGCTCGAAAACCGGCCTGCTTGAGTACGAGATCAACTCCCTGACCAAGATCCTCTGCGCGCTCACTCTCGCCTTGTCCATCATCCTGGTGGCTCTGGAAGGGTTCGAAAACACCGAAGGGAACGTGTGGTACATCAAGATCATGCGCTTCCTGGTCTTGTTCTCGACTATCGTCCCCATCAGTTTACGCGTCAACCTTGATCTCGGTAAGAGCGCATACTCGCGGTTCATTCAGCGGGATCCTGGCATTCCTGGTGCCGTGGTCCGCACAAGCACAATTCCAGAGGATCTCGGCCGGATCGAGTATCTGCTCAGTGACAAGACCGGAACTCTAACACAGAACGACATGGAGATGAAGAAGATACATGTTGGCACTGTGTCCTACGCCAACGAAGCCATGGAGGAAGTTGTTTCCTACGTCAAACAGGGGTTCCACATTCAACCAACCACGGACCCGGCATCCCAGACTGCGTTAATCACGCCATCATCAACGTACTCGGCGACGGTCAACGTGGGTGCAACTCGCACGAGGAGAGAAATAGGCTCGCGCGTGCGCGATGTCGTCCTCGCCTTGGCCCTGTGCCACAACGTCACACCGACGGTTGATACCGAGGATGGCAGAGAAGTCACCTCCTATCAAGCCTCGTCGCCAGATGAGATTGCCATTGTCAAGTGGACTGAGTCTGTCGGCCTGAAGCTGGCTGCCCGCGACCGCAAGAGCATGACTCTCGAGTCGACCGACGGTCGGGTGGTTGTCCGCGTGCGCATCCTCGAAGTATTTCCCTTCACGTCGGACGGGAAGCGAATGGGAATCATTGTTCACTTCCATGAGAATTTGCACGCCGCACCCGCCGACCTGAACAGCGGAGAGATTTGGTTCTACCAAAAGGGTGCCGACACAGTCATGGGCTCCATCGTCGCTGCTAACGACTGGCTCGACGAGGAGACGGCAAACATGGCTCGAGAGGGGTTGCGGACACTCGTCGTGGGCCGCAAAAAGCTCTCGGTCAAGCAGTACCGAGAGTTCTCGGCCAAGCATCAGGAAGCCTCCCTGGCAATCACTGGACGCGATACCGGCATGCAGAGCGTGGTTGCCCGCTACCTAGAGAACGACTTGGAGCTTCTTGGAGTGACAGGCGTTGAAGACAAACTCCAGAAAGACGTCAAGCCGTCCCTCGAGCTGCTGCGCAACGCAGGCATCAAGATATGGATGCTCACTGGCGACAAAGTGGAGACGGCGAGATGCGTGGCTGTCAGCTCGAAGCTTGTCGCCAGGGGTCAGTACATCTATACGGTCGCCAAGCTCAATAGGAAAGACAGCGCGCAGGACCACCTCGACTTCCTCCGCAGCAAGACGGATGCGTGCCTGCTCATCGACGGCGAGAGTCTACATCTGCTGCTGACGCACTTTCGCATGGAGTTTATTTCCATCGCGGTGCTGCTGCCGACAGTGGTCGCCTGCCGTTGCTCGCCGACGCAGAAGGCCGAGATCGCCAAGCTCATCAAAGAGTATACAAAGAAGCGCGTGTGCTGCATAGGAGATGGCGGAAATGACGTGTCGATGATCCAGGCCGCCGACGTTGGTGTCGGCATCGTGGGCAAGGAAGGCCGCCAGGCAAGTCTGGCAGCCGACTTCTCGATTGAGCAATTCTACCACCTGGTGAAGCTGCTTGTTTGGCACGGCCGAAACAGCTACAAGAGGAGCGCGAAGCTGGCGCAGTTTGTCATCCACCGCGGCCTCATCATCGCCGTGTGCCAGACAATGTACAGCATCGCGCTCAAGTTTGAACCCGAAGGCTTGTACAAGGTAAGCACCCCCTTTACCTGCGTAACTCGAGCATGGCTAACACGCATAAGGACTGGTTGCTTGTGGGGTACGCCACCGTTTACACCGCGGCGCCCGTCCTGTCTCTGGTCCTCGACAAGGACGTGGACGAGAATCTGGCCAACCTGTACCCGGAGCTGTACAAGGAGCTGACATCGGGACGATCGCTGTCTTACCGCACGTTTTTTGTCTGGGTGTTTGTGTCCATATACCAGGGCGGTATGATTCAGGGCCTGTCGCAGATCCTCACCGAGGTCGACGGTCCGAAGATGGTGGCGGTGAGCTACACCGTCCTCGTGCTCAACGAGCTCATCATGGTGGCAATCGAAATCACGACGTGGCACCCCATCATGATCATTAGCATCCTCGGCACGTTTGTCGTCTTTGTCGGGTCGATCCCGTTTCTGGGAGGATACTTTGACCTCGAGTTCATCATAACATGGTGAGTCCCCTACCGCGCCATGAACATGTGCTTGATCCCTCGTCTAACAGAGAATAGGGGCTTCCTCTGGCGGATCTTGGCGATTGGCGCCATTTCACTGGTGCCGCCGTACGCCGGAAAGCTGATTAGGAGGGCCATCAAACCTCCGTCGTACAGAAAAGTGCAGAATAGATGACGGGCCTAGCCTGGCCGTGGAGTATGGCGTTTTGCGCATTGCGAGGCGGAGTCCTGTCCCTAGATAGCTCATGCGTGCATTGCTATACACACTATCTTGCTTCTCAAGGCGTCTCTTCGCCCAAGAACCCCTTACGGAAAGCTGGTGCAGCGACGATTGATCAGCATGCCGTGTCGTGTCTTGTCAGGATAGGCCGGGTCACTTACCGCCCGGTATGAGGGCCGCCGCGTACATGACTTTGGAGATGGGCCTCAGGTCGTCGTCTTCCCCTCCCTGGTGCCGCTCCCAAAAGTCCAGCACGGCGCGCACTCTCTCCTGGAGCGTCTCGTCCGCGGCAGCTGCATCGACGCACCTCACGCCGAGACAGGCGCCGAACTCGCGGAAGGCGAGTCTCCGCGAGGGAGACCGCCGCATGAGCTGCGAGTCTGGGCCCAGGAGCACGCGCGCCAGCCTGAGGGCGTCGGCGATGAAGCGCTGTGCCCAACCACCATCATCACTATCACTACCACCACTTGTACCAGTACCTTGACCGATGCCGCCACCACCGGCTGGTGTCGCCGCGCCGTCGAACTGGCACACCCACAGGCCCATGCCTAGATCGAGCGGGTCCCCGCTCGGTGCGAGGTCTGATCGCCTCGTCAGGCCCGCGTACTCGGCGACTTCGCGCGCGAGGAGGCCTTCGCCGCGGCCCTGTTGTGCGGCTGTCCGCTGGAGCAGCGCGTAGATGACCAGCCCTGTCGCGGCGTCGAGGTGGCCCTCGGAGGAGACGAGCACGCGACGCATATCCGTCGAGATCTTCCACACCATTTTGAGGCGTCCCTCGTCTTCCTCCCCCCGCTCCTCCCCCTCGTCGCCGTCATCGCCGTTGTGCTGATGATGTCGCCGCAGCCGCTCAGACGACGAGAACAGTGCAGAGGGCATACGCAGCACAAAGTGCGGGTGCACGGCCTTCGCCAGCTGCACCGCCAAGTCGTTCCAGCGCGGCTCCCCGGCCGCCAGCGAGAGGCGGTTGAGCGCAAACATCCACAGCGTCAGGTAGTGGTGGTACTGGCCGTCGGCGTCCGGGCCCGAGGCGTCGAGCTTGCCGATGCGCAGGCCGCCGCGCAGGGGCTCCGCGTCGGTCGCGCCGGGGAGGCGAGCTGGCACACGCGCACCTTCTCCGCCCTCACCATCATCGTTGTCGTTGCTGTCACCGCCGTGGGCGTGGTACTCGCGCTCGCGGCCGAGCGTCTCGTGCACCACATCCGCGAGGCGCCGCGCGAGCGCGATGTACAGCGGCGAGGACGTCTCGCGATGCAGCGTCAGCAGGTCGAGGAGCCCGAAGGCGTCGGTCCAGAGGTACCGTCCGCGGTGGCCGCCTGCGCCGGGGTTGGTCGGCGGGTTCCATGTCGGGGCGTCGGCGGCGGCGAGGTCGTCGAGCGGGCCGTAGACGGCGCTGAGGGCGGCGACGAAGCGCTGCAGCGTGCTGTCGTGTGGCATGGTGCCGGTTTGGGCTCGTCTCACGGCTCTACATGGAATTTCTCCACTTGAGATATCAGTGCGATGTCGGATGGAAGGCGTGTGCTTGATTGAGGGCTGTGATGCTGAGGTGGTGATGCTGAGGTGGTGATGCTGAGGTGGTGATGCTGAGGTGGTGATGTTGAGGTGGTGATAATCGGGATCGCATGCCACATTACGTCACGTTGGGGACGAGCTGAACAGCGCCCTCTGGGACGCCATCGAGATCATATATGAGATAAACGTTGTCTTGAAAATGTTCCCAGACCGTCTATGTGGTCCAACGCCTTCCGTGGTATAAATACACTGTTCATCAGTAGACGAGTCTTACACGCACACATGTGCCATCACAGCTTTAGTACAAGCCAGTCACTCGCTAGCTTCCCATCCCGCCTCTGGAGCTCAGCCGCGACACCGCCCACGGGCCCCTGCGTGAGCGTGCCACCCAGCCAGACCTTGGGGCCGGCGTAGTGCGCAATGAAGCCATCCGGGCCGGAGACCATGAGGAGATTCTTGCCCGCTTTGGCGTCCCCGGAGTCGGGGCACTGACATGCCGCTCCGGGCGTCTCAAACTCGGATGCATGCTCGTGCAGCCGCTGATCGTGGAGTCGGCATCCCGACCCTGAGCTGTGTTCCGTGGCTGAAGGACCGGCGAGTAGTGCTTTGCGGATGTCGCTGTCGCGGAATTTTGTGCCCTCCTCGTCGACGGCCACGCGTACATCCAGCCGGTCGCCATACTTGGCCTTCATCTCCGTGAGGTGCGCCGCGATGTGGCTCGGCTTCTCCATATCGGCGCGTAGCTCCGTCGGGCTCTTGGACGTCCAGAGTTGCCACGACGGGGCTGCCGTCGGGGGCGCAGCGGCGGCCTGCACCTCCTCCCTCCTCCTCACCGCCCAGAGCAAGCTCACCTTTGCGTCGTCACTTTGATCAAGAACAGCACTCGCGGCCTGCATGCCCGGCACAAGGCCCGTCCCACCAGCGAGGAAGACGACGCGCCTGCAGCTGCCCAGCCTCGGCAGGACATCGAACCCCGCGTGCGGACCCCTCAGCCAGACGTCCCGCCCAACGCCGAGACGGCTCAGGTAATTTGACATCTCGCCACCGCCCACGGCGCGCACGTAGAAGCGCAGCGTTCCGTCACGTGCCTCATCGTCGGTGTCTGCCTGGAGGGGCGGCAGCGGGGTGTAGTGCCGCGCGATCTGCACCTCAGGCTGCTTGAACTCGACGGACCAGAGCGGGTGCTTCCAGCGGGAGGGGGTCGCACCGGGCTGCAGGTACGGCGGGGAGGGGTCCCGGACGTGCGGCGCGATGGTGAGGACGACGGAGGTGGGCGAGATGGCCTCGCGGGCGGTGATGGTGTAGGGGATGAAGGTTTCGCTGTTGAGCGTCTTGGGCTTGGCGGGGGGTGTGGCGAGGTAGTAGACGGTGCCGCCGAGGAGGAGACCGACGATCAAGAGCGGAGGGAAGGCTCTTGCTTGCTTGGGGGTAGACTGTGCGCTGGACCGTGTCGTCGTGGAGTGATGTTGACGGAAGCCATTCCAGCGGGCGCCATGAGGCTGTGAGGCCGAGGGCTGAACTGCGGGTTTCCATGATGTGTGGAAGGTATGCTGCTGAGCCCTCGGGCAAGAAGCCAGAGCGCCCTTCAATACGCTCCTGAATTGGCCGTGGCGCATCATCCTGCCTGCCGGATCACAGCGTTTGGTGAGTGAGAGGAGTGACTCTCGGGACAGCCGCGAGTCAAGACGTGCTGCAGGGGATCTGCTACCGTGCGACGACGAGCATCGTTTGAGATGACGCCAGCGGCGCTGTACCAAGCAATCGCCAGTAACGCGGTAGAAATGTGACGCGAGGCGGCTGGTATTAAGCTTGTTGGCGCTTCGTGTTGTTGTAAATGGTCATCGAGGAGCGACACCGAAAGATTGGCGTATCGCGAGGTCACGTGCGCCACTTGTTGTCTTCAACACCAACCTCGAGGGGCCCCGAACGTCCAACACCTGGACGACGGCTCTATTCTATACATTTGCCGTAAATATCGCGTTTTATAGTATTGTACATGGTATGTGCTTCATGCGGCCACCTTCCCCTAGGCAGCACCTGTAGTTGAGCCCTCCATCCCATCAGAGCCGCATTATCCGCCGCTGCGCGTCGATGCCCCCGCGGAACATGTCCTCGACCACCCTCCCGCGCAGCACCGTCTCCCTGACGAGCCCCTCGACGTGCCGCGGCTCCACGCGCCCATACCAGATGCCGTACCCCGCGAGCGGATGTGCGCTCCCGTCCTCTAACCGCTGGCCCGGCGGCACGTAGACGATGACGTTGCCGGCAAACTTGTGGCCCCCGATGTGACTTATCAGCGCGACGCGCGCCGTCGTCGTCGTCTGCGCCGCCGCACCGCCATCCTCCTCTCCCGCGCCGTCGCCTCCTGGCGCAGCCTCCAACCGCCTCGCCTCACCCGTCAAGTCCACCTCCACCGGCCCCCTCAGGACGCTCACGCCCTCGCGCTCGAGGCACCCCTCAAACTCGTCGCGCAGCAGCGGGCCCATGACGCCGCAGCGGGCGTCGCGCCCGCCGTGGCCGCACACGAGGACGAGCACGTCGCGCACGTCGCGCACGCCCGGCAGCAGCGAGCGGTAGGCCTCCTTGCGCGTGAGCCGGTCGCGGTGGATGGGCGACAGGCCGTCGTGCGCCGAGTGCAGCCGCTCCGGCAGCAGGTAGCCCTTGGCGAGCGCCTGGACGCTGTCGAAGGACACGCGCGGCAGGAAGGGCACGTACTTGAAGCTCGGGAGGAGGTACGCCGACGTGCTCTGGACCTCGGCGCGCGGGGGGACGGAGCTCGGCAGGGAGGCGTTGAGGACGGATATGTTGTGGAAGGGCTGCCGTTGGGTCAGTTTTCGCTTTGGTTGATGTTATGAGATAGACAGCCATCGCTGGGTAGAGCAGTCAAGGGGGCAGGACAGGGGCAACGCACATCGCTGTAGACGCCGCCGCGGCCAAACAGCTCCTTGAGGTCGGCCGCCAGGTTGTCGCCGCCGCTCTCCTCCTCGATGCGCGACGGCCAGTCGTCCTCGCCCGTGCACACGAGCACCTGCTCCGCGTAGCCCGACATGACGCCGTTGAGCGGGCTCTTGTGGTCAATGTCCAGCCCCGGCGGCATGGGCGCGCACGCGCACGTCGGGGACGGACATGTCGCGACGGTCGGGAAGGGCGGCGGGCGCGGCGGGCGTGACGACGAGGTCGACGACGTGGACGATTGTCTCGAATCCCGTGATCTTGATGTCGACGACGCGGGGGCCTGGCACCGCCGGTGGCGCAATGCCAAGCGGCACAGCAGCCCTCGAGCCGTCGCCGTTGCCGTCGGCCGCAGGGGCAGGGGCAAGGGCAGGGACATGTCTGGGCTGGCTGGGCTGGGCTGGGCTGGACCGGGAGACGCGCGCGCGTGATGCTGGGCGAGCAGCCCGCCTGATCAAAGGTTTCGCGCGATCGACTTATAAGAAGCGCTGGTGCTGGTCAGCAGTGGTAAGCTTGGTCTCCGAGCGTGGCTACTGGACGGACTATGACGACGGCAGTGGGCCGGCAGCAATTCCCCGGCCCGCGACCCCCGGAACGTGCCGCGGAGCTCCACTGAGGGCTCCAGGGCTATCATCTCCATCCACTGGAGGCATTTCGAGTACCATCATCACTCGTCCAACCTGTTCCTGATCCCAGCTCGAGCCACAAGCCAGAGAGCACGGCAATGAGATATGTAGTATTTCGTAGTATCCAAAGGCTAGGCACGTTGAGTGCCATCTTCGTCAACCCTTCTGTTCTTACAACCTGGCCCTGAGCCACTTCCTATTGCTTCTATGTGCCGAGCGCAACATGCACCTCCAGGAGACAGCAGCGCCGCCGATGTTGCCCCATCGTTAGTACCGAGGGCCGGCAGCGCTGTAGGTATGATATGATGCTCAAAAGAAAAAACGACAGTCTTCGCAGTAAACCCAGTCTCGACACAGAAGCACCCAAACGCGCTGGCAAACGCCTCCTCGCAACAGCTCATTCGCCCTTGTCTAGATATGCCCGCCTCTTCTCTCGCAATAGCCCGGCGGTTTGGGCTCCGAGTTCGCCCAGCTCACAACCGTCAAGCTCGTCGCATACGCCATGGCCACAAAGCCAAAGATACACAAGGCAACGTCCGCCATCTTCCATCCCCTAGTCCGCGCGACGGCTCGGTAATGCAGCAGTGGCTGTGTTCATCATTAGTGTCTTTGCCCGTAGTATGATTGCCGATACAGGACTTACCGGATAAATGAAGACCAGCGGGATGCAGGCAAAGTTGCCCACGAGCGCCACGAACTTGTCGAGGTGGTCCGCGCCACCCCATGCAATCGCCGCGCAGAGCATCACCACGAAGAAGCGGAAGACGTTCTTCTGCCACTTGATGTACGGATTGTACTTACCGCTCCGCGTAAACAGCTCCGTCTCGACGATACGGATCGCCGGGAAGATCTGGAGCGGCGTCGACAGCAAGATGGCCATCGAGTACAGAAGCTGCACTCCGTTGACCAGCCTATTCTCCTGCGGCAGGTTCAGCAGCACCACCGTCTCCGTCTTGGACCCGTACGCAGCGTACGAGATCGCTCCCATGGTGATGAAGACGACCGTGATAATGATCATGACGAGGAACAGGACGCGCGGGAACTTGGTCGGGTGCTTCATCGACTCCTGGATGGGGATGATGAGGCCGATTCCCTCAAACGTGAAGATGGCGGTGCCGATGAAGAGCGTCCAGTCCTTTTTGTTGAACATGATGATGTCCGCAAGCCCCTCGGTGCTGAGCGTGAGCACATCATAGTAGAATAGGTATGCCAGTCCAATCAAGATGAAGGCGTCGGCGATGAGTGCCGTGAACCCCAGCTTGCCGATATCTCGCAGCAACGAAAAGGGCAAGAAAATGACCATCTGCATCAGGATGAGGACCGGGATGCTGATGGAGCTCTTGCAGTCGGAGACGGCGTGGATAAAGGCCTGGAGGTTCTCGGCGGTGAAGACGGTATAGGCGGCCACGAACCCAATTTGGCTGATGACAATGGAGGAGAGAATTAGAGTCCGCAGCCACTTGCCGTAGAGGATGCCTCCCATGTCACCGAATGACCCCTCGACCTTCAGCCGCGTCGTCACGAGCAGCACAAAGGCGTAGTAGCTGAGGCCGGCGACGCCAAAGAGCACGAGGTTGCTGAAGAGCATGCCTCCGTTGAGGTACGCTCGGGGAAGGAAAAGCACGCCAGTGCCCACAAACGACTTGAGCAGCAGCAGCGCGGCGTTCATCGGGCTGTTCTGGCCACTGCCACCTCGCACCTTGCGCTTGCGCCGCTTTTTGGACGGGCCCAGCAGGGCGCTGTCTTCCATGGGTTCCCTGCCGTCATCGCTGCCTCCTTCGTAGTCCTCGCCAGACCAGAATTCCTCGTTGGGGCCAAGGGCCTCGTCATCCTCCTCGAGCTCTTCACCGGCGAAGTGGCCGTAGATGGTCAGGAACTCGAGGAAGCTGGAGGTGAACAGCCGCGGCTCGGTATGCGGCGGCGAGTCGTGGCCGTGGTCGACGCGGTCGGCAAGTCCGCTAGGGCTCATCGCGTTGCGGCGGAGGTGGTCTCTTCGGAAGCCTCCAGGTACCTTTATGCTGCTGATGTCCAAGACCTCAGTCTCGGGCTCTGGCCGCGCCTGCTCAAAGCTCTTGCTGCGCTGGAGCCGGTTCTTAGCCTCTGCTTGCTCCGTCCACTTGTAGATGCCTCTCGTGACGTCTCCTCCCTGCAAACGTAAGCTCGAGAACTCCTCATCATCGAGGCCTGCATTGGGATCGACGGGCTGCTTGCCCCTGGCGGTCCCCGCAGTGGACGATTCTTCTGAGGGCGGGTTCTCGGCATCGCTGGGTTGGACCAGATGGCGCTTCACAATCTCCGGGTCCTCGTACGGTTTTCTTGAGTCGAACGAGCCGTAGTTGGTGGGTGTGTCCGGGCGTGGTCCGGGCGCGGGCGATTGCGTTCTCGGCGGTGTGCTTAGGCGCGCCGCGGGCGTGCCATGACGAGGCGGTGACTGCCCGAGCGAGTTGGACAGGGCGGCAGCCAAGGCAGAGACGCCCGGTCCTTGAGAATAGGAGCCGCCCGTGAATGGCGAGTCGTTGTTTTCAGGTGATCTTAGGCCGGGCAGCGGCGAGCCAGTTCGGGCCGGCGATGAGGAGGGGATCGGTTCGGCGAGGCGGGCCGTCAGCTCGTCTCTGGGCAGCGACGAGGAGAAGGACCGCGGCTGGCCTGGGGCGGGAGAGGCCGCCCGCGGCGCCAGGTTAAGCGCGCTTCTCGGCGAGGCCATGGTCGGGGGAAGGAAACGCAAGTATGAGAAGTCCTATCGCATGCCGTGGTGAAGCTGAACGGGCTGCGGTATATAGGCAAGTAGGTAGGTAGCCGAGTGGTAAGCGCTGGGACGGGCGCCCCAGATGTGGCGGCAGTGATAAGGCGGTGCACGGATCACGCGGCGGCGACGTCAATGGCTGAGCAGGTCGAGGGACGCGGCCGTGGGAGAAAATCGACGATTAGGGCGGACGGGATCGAGTTCGCAGGCCTCGGGGCCAGGAGAGACAGCCTCAGGTGACTGGGTGTCGCTGCCTCAGCGAAGGGACGTCTGGACGTGGAGTTGGAGGTGTGGGTGTGGAGGAGCGTGAGGATGCGATAGCGAGCTGGTTTTGTCTGCTGCCTCCCGACTCAGTCATCAGGCATGCCAGGGGCCCGCTGACCGGACGGCCCTAGCACGGGCACCTTGCAGCCTTTGACCGGGCGGGCACGCTTTAGCTGGAGTGGAGGCTACAGCCAGCTAAGGAAAGTAGCTCGGCCCTCACATATTCAGGGCAGGGCATAGGTATTGGGGCCGTGGCAGCCCAGGCGGTGGCTGTGGGTCCTGTGACGGAGCCCTTCAGGCGTCGCCCGCGGTGTCTACCCCACTATAACCCGATGCCGCAGCGCGTCCGCCCCGCCTCGCTAACGGGCCTGCCCACAGAGGGCCCGGCTGCCAGAGCTGCCCAAAACGGAAGCTCTGCTGGGCTGGCCACATTGGCCATCTCATCCTTACCAATGGACGAGGTGCCGAGTGCACAAGACGTCCCCGAGGCTGCGAATTCCCTTTGCGCCTTGCAGTGTGACCGGTCGTCATTCGCCGGACCCTATCACGTCCCAGCGATTGGCACGGGGGATTGGCTCGGGTGTGACGGCCCTTGATGATTTCGGGTCCGGGGTGCCTGTAATCATCAATCGGAGGGCGACCGGCCGGGTGCCGTAGCCGGTGCCGGAGCCCGACCTCGACGGGGGACCGCCTCCTCTATCGCTTGACGAGGGCCACTCTTTAAGCATTCGCATTGATCGTTGTCCTGACGTTTGGAGGGACTCGCAATATTCGGGCGTGTTATGAATAGGCGTGGGTACCGTGCTGGCGCCGCGGGCGACTCGCAGAAGCAAACAACGCCGAGAACCTACATATCTGCCTAGCCGCTGTCTCAGAGTCGAAGATTGGCGCTCCTGCATGCCCTTTGCGAACATCGTTTCCGACTGAATGCACCGCAGGTCCAACGGGCCCGAAGCGAAACCCGCTGGCCATGCCTTGTGGCCTGGACTTGCATTGGCGAGTCCTGTTGGGTGACGGCCGCGGTCAGATTATGCGCGGTGTAGGTGACACAGACGTTGCACGGTGGGACCCAAGGGCTCCCTCGGGTGTCACAACTCTATCAACGAAAAGCTCGTGGACAAGGTGGTTTCTCGGTGGTGTCGGGTTGCATCCGACATCTCCCGCCGGCCGCGATCGTGGTGTCTCGTGCGCTGGGGCGATGGAAGCTGGCCACTGTCGCCAGCAATAAAGACATTCTCGTCCTATCTTGCAATTGCTGGGCACTATGTCTATTCACTTGGACAACAAAGAGGTGGCGCGTCAAGGACGATTGCTTCCGAGGGCGGCCAAGTCGACCAATGTCTTTGTAGACACGGACACACGTCCATCAACACCATCACGGCCAGACGATGCCGTCCGAGGCAGCAAACGCAACCCCGCATCCCACGCAGTCACCGAGAGTCGCTCATCTGCAGCACGGTCCCTCGCTTCGAAGATCTTGTCGCCTTTCCACATGCTTTGTGGGTCAGGATCCAGCGTCAGGGCCCCCCAACCCGACGTCACCAGACGGTGGCACTGCGGGATCACCCACCCGCGCCGCCCAATCATGGGCTCACCAGGGCACACAGCGGCGGGTGGACTGGGACCAGCAGACGCCATCTCGCATCGCGGCTCGTCACGACACCCGCATCCCAACGCGGGGGGGATGCCAACTGTTGCCGGCAAGATGAGCCCTGTGCGGTGCAACGGGAGGCACGAGGCGCCTGGGCTTCTGAAGCGACATGGAGGTTGTTGCAACCGCTCAGGCCAGCACTCGCTGTCTTACCACTGCGTGGAGTCTGTCAGGTCACAGTCCGAATGTTAGTCGAGACTCTAGACCTGAGGGCACGGATAGAGGTCGAAATGAGCCGCATCCTGATCTGCGGTGACATCGTTGTCGAGGTTTAAACGGACGACCATCTGCAGTGGGCGAACGCATACCTATACAGCGTGCGTGCTGCAAGACGGACAAGCTCCCAGCGGGCGATGGCGCTCGCCTCCACCTGTTGACGGCCGTCTAGGTACAGGCCGGCAGTGCAGGCAACCGCTGTGGCGGCCCCCGGCTAGCACCTCGTGTTAGTGGGCCGAGGGCGACCTCACCTCACTGATCGTCAGCTCCATCCCATCACGTCGCTGCCTTGGCGCCAGGCTGCACTGACCGCCCCTCGTCAATGGCTGGAATGTCGATGCACAACAAGCCTCATTGCCCATCACGCCTCCGCATCACTGCACGCACATGTCTGCGCATCAACACCTCTACGCCCGCATTGACGACCCCGAAGCAGGTATTGCGTTTGATCGTCCCTGGCCTCTGATGTAATCACCGTCTGTCTTGCAACATCTCGTTCTACTTGTTCGCTTCCTCCGCGTCCCTCCTTTACCGTCAAATGGCCGTGGTAGCCATCGCAAAAGGGGGTCGGTAGAGGACCGTCGAGCTCGCGAATCGTCGCCGTCTTCAACAGCAGACGCAAAGATGCCTTCGCCCGGCGACGACAAGGCCGGGCTCCAGCCGTCGGCGGAGCCCAAGAAGGACACCAAGCTAGGCCTCATTTCCGGCGTCTATATCCCCGTGTGCCTCAACATCATGAGCATCCTCATGTTCCTGCGGTTCGGCCTCATTCTGGGACAAGTTGGTTTCATGGGCATCTTGGGTAATGAACACCTTTATTGCGCGGAAACCACCACAGCTGACGCCTCCCAGGCTTGCTAATCACGGCATATTGCGTCGACTTGCTAACCACGCTATCGCTGTCTGCCATTGCCTCCAATGGCGAGGTCAAAGGCGGCGGCGCGTACTACCTCATCTCGAGGTCCCTTGGTCCCGAGTTTGGCGGTTCCATTGGCATCCTGTTCTTCCTCGCCCAGGCGCTCAACACCGCCATGAATGTCGTCGGTCTCATCGACTGCATCCGCCTCAACGTCGGCCCCGGCTTTCCCGAGGGATACTGGGCCGGTTACGGCTTGCAGACGGCCGCTCTCTTGATTTGCACCGGTCTCTGCCTGCTCGGCTCTGCCACCTTCTCCAAGGCCTCCAACGCATTGCTTGTCATCTTGTCGCTGGCCGTCATCAGCATCCCCGTGTCTGCCGTCTTCAAGGCGCCCTTCCAGGACGACGACACTGGTGTCGTCTTTACTGGCTTCAGCCTTCACACCCTGGCCACCAACTTTTTGCCTCGCGCGGGCACCAGCGAATACAACGGCCTGTCCACGTTTAGAGATCTCTTTGGCATTCTGTTCCCGTAGGACAAACCCCAACCACATCGCTGTATGCTATCGGCTAATGATACGCCCGCAGAGCAACATCAGGCATCTTTGCCGGGGCATCAATGTCTGGTGATCTCAAGGATCCGAGCAGGTCGATCCCGAGCGGGACGCTCTGGGCCATGTTGACGACATTCATCGTCTATTTCATTGTCGTTCTATCCATGGCCGCCAGTACTACGCATGAGTCGTTCCTCGCCAACGCAAACGTCATACCCCTAACCAACCTGTCTCCGCCCATCATCCTCGCTGGCGAATGTGCAGTAACATTCTTCTCCGCATTGATGGGCATCATCGGCTCCGCCAAACTGTTTCAGGCCCTCGCGAAAGACAAGCTTCTCCCAGGACTCGCCATCTTTGGCAAGGGGACGAAGAAGGCTGACGAGCCCATACTTGCCATTTTTTTGACCTATTTGATAGCTCAAGTTGCCTTGCTTGCAGATCTGAACCAGATTGCGACGTTCATCTCCATGGGTTACCAGGTATGACTTTCCTCTCTTCGCCTTTGGACTTGCATGTTGACCGCTCTAGATGACCTTTTTCGTCATGAACCTTGCCTGCTTCTTACTCAAAATCGGATCAGCACCAAACTTTCGGCCGGGGTTCAAGTTCTTCAACTGGCAGACAGCTTTGGTGGGCAGCTTGCTCTCTGCCGCTGCCATGTTCTTCATCGACGAGACGTACGCATCCATTGCTATTTGTGTCCTTGTCCTCATCTTCCTCTTGATTCACTACCTGTGCCCGCCGAAGCGGTGGGGAGATGTCTCGCAGAACCTCATCTATCACCAAGTCAGAAAGTACCTGCTACGCTTGAAACCGGAGCACATCAAGTTCTGGCGGCCGCATATCATCCTCCTGATCAACAACCCTCGACGCCAGGCACGACTCATTCAGTTCTGCAACTCCATGAAGAAAGGCTCGTTGTACATCTTGGGCCACGTCATCGTCTCCGACGACTTCAGTACTGGCGTTCACGAAGCCCGGCTTCAGCAGCAGGCCTGGACAAGATACATTTCCGAGTTTTCGCGGATCAAGGCCTTCGTTCAGTTGACTATGTCTCCGTCCATCACCTGGGGCATACGTAATTTGATCTTATCGGCAGGCCTCGGCGGAATGCGGCCCAACATCGCTGTCTTGGGGTTTTACAACATGAATGACCTGCGCAAGTCTGGATCAAGCTGCGTGATACCCGAGATCCCCGCATCACCTGCTGACAAGATGAGACGGCCCCGGAAGGCGGAGGATAAGGCACCGATGACGCAGCGACGTCGCGGCGATACTTCTGCGCGGCTTCTAGAAGGGGTGTTGCCCACAGACGCGATGCGAACAGAGGACATGATGTCTCCCACCGAGTACATGATAATGCTGGAGGACCTCGCCCTCAAGTACCGCCTGAACGTTGCGGTAGCTCATGGGTTCGACAAGTTGGAATCGCCTCGGAAGGATGGTGGCAACGCAAAGAGATACGTCGATTTGTGGCCGATTCAGATGTCTGCAGAGGTGTCCTCTGATGGAAAGAATGTCATGACTACAAATTTTGACACTTGTAAGTCACACGGCGGAACGGAGTGGCGGCTGCTGAACAAACCGTCGGCTAACTTATCTAGATACCCTAATCTTGCAATTGGGTCATATTCTGCAAAGCGTCCGCACATGGAAGCGAGCCTTTGCACTTCGCGTCATGGTGTTTGTCGAGTACGAAAGCGAGGTTGAAGAGGAGAGGGCCCGCGTCACCGCTCTTCTCGAAAAGCTACGGATTGATGCCCAAGTACTCGTCTTTTGGCTCGCTTCTGGTCACCTCAACACGTACGAACTCATCGTCAACGGCCACACAGACGACATCGACACCGAGATCATTGTCAGTGATGCGCTCAAGGACGAAGACTGGTGGGAATCCCTCCAGAGCTTCCGCGGGCAAGCGGAGCAAATGTCAGCAAGTCAGGAGATGACCCAAATCACCCAAATAGTGGGCGCTGCCGCCGGGCGAGCAGACCTAAATGGGGACAATGGCTTCGACCGACGTCGCTCCAGCGTTGTCGAGCTCGCCAATGTGCTCAAGAAACCAGACATCACAATGCTTTCCAGGCTGGGAGTCAATCCGGGTATTCACACGCACCACCTAGGGGACGATGTGTTCCAAGAGGAGCCCTCAGACGACGAGTGGTCCACAGAGTCAGAGCTGTCAGACGCAGGAGATGGGTTCGACTTTGGTGTTGACATGTCCGAGAGTAGAAGTGATACGGAGTTTGGAGATCCGACGAAGCAGCCCTTACTAGTCAGGGATCAGCCAGGGGGAGAAGCTTCGACAAAGGTATCGCGAGGCCGCAAACCGCAAACTGGACCGGGTAGCGCTCCAGCTCCGTCATACGGCACAATGACGACTTCTCAAACATTGACCGACAATCAAGACGAACACGAGTCTCGTCGCGTTCCCGAAGTCAAGAAGACCGATGCAAGTCCTTCGCCCCACGGAGGCCGAGGTCGCGACGCAGGAGACGCGCGAGAGAGATTGGAGACATTTCCCGCACTCGCTCCTCTAGGTATACCGCACTTCCCTCCCGATGCATCTCGACGATCCAGATCCATGAGCCCGTCGGCAACGGAGAGGCAGACCACTCGCGACGGGACAATGACGCCTTTGCGACCATCTTTCTCTCGGCAGTCCTCGGCGGCACGGTTCTCTAGTCGCCCAGTTCCGGAAACAAGAATCACGACGGAGGCCGAGGGGTCTAGGATCAGCTTCGCCCCTGCGCCCCCTGGGTCGACTCCAGTGACGCCGCGAGTTGAACGGCCCACGCACTCTAGACAATCCTCGTGGGGGAGATTCTCGAGCCGGCCGGTTCCAGAGGCGAGAGTCAGTGTCGCCGAAGAGGTGCCGCGGACGATACATTTTGCAGAGCACCCTGTGAACAAGTCGCACTCTGGGTCCCACTCCCGGCACCACTCGCGTCAGGGTTCGCAGTTCTCCAACTTTGGGCAGGGCGACGTGAGCCTGAGTATCCCAGAGCTAGTAGAGTCTTACAAGCAGGACTCTCACGCGGGCGAGCCCGAGGCTGGGTCCACATACTCTACGCAAGGAGTGTCTCTATCTTTCAACGACCTCCCGTGCCGGGCACAGCACCTGATTCTCAACGAGCTTATGCGACAGCACTCGAAGGAAACGGCAGTTCTTATGAGCACACTGCCGATTCCTTCCGAGGGGACGTGTCTCGACGAAGCTGAGTCGATTCAGTATCTCTCCGACATTGAAGTTTTATGCAACGAACTGCCACCGATTCTGATGATCCTGAGCAACAACATGACTGTGACGGTCAGCCTGTGAGCGTGGGTGCTTTGATAGCGGGAACAGCGACGTTTTACGCAGATTGTCTTTGTTGCATCACAGCGAACGCATAGCACGAGTCTTGGTAGCGCCATTCATATCATCATGTGCACGGTTTCTGCAAGCGCTGCTTGATGCTGCATAAGTGTTTTTCGGTTCACACCTACACGGTACAGGTTGCTCGTGGCTGGGCCGTTGAGCAAGCGCCTCGATAGAGTTGGAAACTGCACCGCTCTGCGAGGTAAAGTGAATCAGGAATGCGCAGCAGCTGACGTCTGACTCAAAGCCTTTTATCACGTCCGAGACCCTCCTTAAAGACTCAGTCTTTCTAATGCAGCTTACCTTACCCTTTTATCAGCGCCCATTGAGCATCTCTGTCAAGGGATTGGGTTGGGGATGCTCAGCCGTGCCTTTTGTTTGCTCGACGGCTCAACGAATGGCAGGCACCAAGTGCCGGGTGCAAGGCTCGGGCCAACTGCGTAGCACAACTCAATGAGCTTTGTTTGGCACCACTTCTGCAGTGAATGATATCACTGACGACTTTTTTGGTGTGCTCCGCCGTGGGTCCCCCCATGCCCATGCATGAGCTGACGATGTCCAAAGCTCGCATGCAGCATCAAAGCTGGGGTGGAGGGTCCACGATCGACAACGGCATGCAAAGGGAAACGTTCTAACCTTGACCTTGGTCGAGAAAGCCAACCCGTTCAAAAGACATGGGCGTGCTGCCAGTCACTGGCCCCCGGCGAAAGGAGAGAGGTCCCCCTCTCGTCGCCTCTTCGTATGTATTAAATGACCGACCATCGCCACATGAGGCACGGAGTGACGCCACTGCCAAAGTATAACCGTACCCAGGAAAGGGGATCCATCAATCTCAACCTCCGCCCGCGAGAGAGAGAAGAGCCGCTCGAGGGGGTTCGAGAGAAACATAATCACACGCGTCGTCGACATTCCCCCCCTACTGCTACTACTAAAGAAGGCGAGGAAGCAGCGTCATTCATGGTCGCCCGTCCGCCCTTCTGTTGGGCCAGTGGTCCTGGCGACCTTAACCCTCCTCAGACGCAGCACTGCGAGCTTCCCCTTACGCACCACCACGCGCCCCGTCCCATGGCCAGCCCCTCGCAGCCGCTCAAGGACGCTTTCAACGCAGGCCCTATCCGCTACACCAGGGACGTGCGCGGCGCGCCGCCCACGCGGGCTCTCCCCGCGCTGCCGGTCGTGGAGAGGCACGGGCACGGTCGCGGGCGCGGGCACGGGAACGCGTACGGGCGCGGCGGGCCGGCCTTGCCCCCCTCGTACGCGCCGAGGCCCGTCAAGGCATACCGACCCCTGCCGCCGATTCGAATAACCAAGTTCGACGTTGGGGGGTTCGAAAGGGGGGCGAACGGCGAGTCTTCGGCGCTGCAGGACGACCCGCCAGATACGTCGGCGCTCCTGGGGTTCGGTCCCCGGGGCACGCTGATGCTGCAGCCGAAGCGCTCGCCTCCGCCTCCCCTGCCCCCTAAGAAGCCATTTCACGACAGCGGACTCCCGTCTCCAGCGTGGTCTAACCCACGCACGCCAGCCGGGCCCAACACGTCCCCTCCAGTTCCAAACCCTCCAGCAACTCCTCCCCTGTCCGCCGCGGACAGCGGCTACGAGTCGCAGCATGTCGAGATGATCGACGTGTACATGGCCCCTGCCTGCGACATATGCCACCAGTACGACGCCCTCAGCACGGGCTTCTGCTTCCGCTGCGAGCACCTCTGGCAGAGCGCCGTCACGGGATGCAGCACCTTTATCCCGCGAGAGTCCGAGGTTCCCAAGCCGGATCCTGCCGCGGTTGCTCGCGCCTCCAAGCGCGCCACTGCGGTGACTGATGCGCGGTCCTCGGCGTGGAGCAGCCACGTCTCATCCGTGCTGTCGCTTTTCGGCGAGGAGTTCGACCCGGGCCTGCCCATGCCTTATCTCGGCGACTTCACGCACTACTCGGTGGAAAGCACCAGCTTGATGGTTGAGCCTCTGCGGATTCCGAGGACGCCGGCTGGCTGGAAGGCGGAAGGCAGCAACGTGCCGACAAAGGTTGCTTTGCCTGGAAGTGGGAGGATGGAGGGTGTTAAGAAGATGGAGAGTAACAACATGCCAGCAAAGGTTGTTCCGCCGGGTGGCGGCAATATGGAGAGTCGTAAGAAGATGGACGTTGACAAAACGCCCACAAAGATTGATTCGCCGGTCGCCGGGAAGATGGACAGTGGCAAGAAGATGGAGAGCGACAACACGCCGACAAAAACTGCTTCGCCGATTGCGGGGAAGACAGAGAGCGATAAGATGCTGAAACCAGGTGCCGCCCATGTCACTGAGAAGAAGGAGAGGGGCAAGGTTCTGGCAAAGGGTGCCAATGCCGCGCCAGTCACCGGAAAGATGGACAGCGGCAAGGCTCCAACAAAGGGTGTCAAGCCCTCGGGCAAGAAACAAGCAGTCTCAGAGCCCGACTTCCGCCGCCTCGTCGTACCAGAGCGGCTGCAGAAGCGCTCCCTCGTCACGCCGCCCAAGACCTTCGACCCGGATCGCCTGTCAGAGGCGGCTCGCTCCCTGCTACCGGGAGCCCCAACGCGCAAGCCCGAACCACGCTCGGCCGAGAGCCACCTCTACGCGACCATGTCGTACTACTTTGACGTGGCCAACTTCAAGAAGGCCGGGCCCATCAAGGTGGTGGACGTACGCCCAGTGCCGCCCATGGTCGTTCAGGGCCTGAAACGCATGATCCACGGCGGCGCCAGGAATTGGATCTAACTTGGAGTCTAGTCCCCACGACGCGAGATATCTTCAGATGCGCATTGGAAAAGAAAACTTGGTGGATGGAGCGTGGCGTTGAGAACCGGCCCGTAATATTCTATATCCTGAACTCTTTAGTATGTATATGTTGAAGCTCTTAATATATGGTCGTCTGCACATTCCAGTCTTGACTCGTCGCTCGCCGCATGCATCTATGTCCCGGACACACGTCTATAGGATTCTCTTGACGCTCAGCTCGCCTTTATCATGGCCTCCGAGCTGCACGAACCCGCCCGCCTCGATCCTCTTCTTCCACTTGCCGCTCTCGTAGCGCCCTAGAATCATGGTCATGCGGAGCACCGACTCGCTGCTCGACGCGTGCTCCTGCTGTGTCGCCGCGACGGGCGTGAAGATCCACCGCCCAAATGCCCAGTTGAGAATGTAGCGGCCCGAGGGACTCGGCCCGGGCGCGGGTACGTCCGGGTCCGAGTTGGTGGGCGGGGAGGACAGCGTCAGGACGGCCTTGATGCGGTAGGCCTCGTCCTTGGGCGCGGCTTTGAGGAGGGAGAGGAGCTTGTCGGTGGAGACGGTGGCGGAAGGGGTTTCGCTCGGGGCACGTAGCTCTATGGACAGAACTTCGACTTCTTGCTGGTGGCTGTGGCCGTGGTCGTGTCCGTTTGTGTGGTTGTGACTGTGCTCCTTGTCGCCGTTTTGTGCGTTCCCATTGACCTCCTCCTCGGTCAGCTCCTTTGCCAGCCCCCCGTCGACGCCAAACACAATGTCCATGTCCACCCAGCCCTTTGTGCTCTTGACCTTTGCGACGTCGACGTCCAGGTCGCCCACCCTGTCGAGGCACTCCTCGTAGCGGTCCTCGCCAGCAGCCTCCCACTTATTGAAGACGATGAGGTCCGTGTACCGGGCCTGAATCTTGGCGGTGTAGCTCGTGTCCTCGTAGCCCTGCCAGTTCTCGACGTCGACGACGCTGATGACGCCGTCGAGGACGTAGCGGCCCGAGTCGCGCGCCAGGCGGTTGACCTCGAGGGCGAGGGTGGCGGGGAAGGCGGAGCCGCTCGTCTCGACGACGATGCGGTCGGGCGTGACCGTCTTCTCGAGCTCGGCCAGCGCGGGGCCCAGCTGGCCGACGAGGTTGCAGCAGATGCACCCGTTGAGCAGCTCCTGCACGCCCGAGATGGCCGAGCTCGACGCCAGCTGCGAGTCGACGGCCAGGTCGCCGAACTCGTTCTTGAGCAGCGCGAGGCGGTAGTTGGGGTTGCGCGCGCGCAGCTGCGGGATGAGGTTGAGTATTAGCGTCGTCTTGCCCGAGCCCAGGAAGCCCGTGATGATGGTGATGGGTATCGGCGCTGCTGGCGACGCCATGACGGGCGGTAGAGTCTGTCTGTCTTTGTCTTTGGATTGGATTTGGCGACGGGAAAAAGACGACGCAAGAGCACGGAACGATGGAACCGCAATCAGAAAACAGAAAACGACGTAGGGAGCGAAGGTGATGCTGCAGAGTCGGGCGCCTCGAACAACGGCGGTGACGATGGTGGTGGTGGTGAGAGAGGTGCGACTTTTCTTTTCAAGGTGGCCCGATTCCGCGATCGACAACCTTAAAACGCTGCCGGTTTCCGGCGCGCCGTTTCGTTATCTTATCAGTGGCTTGCCGGAGCCGCGAGGCCGCGACCATGATGCGCCCGGCCGGGTTTGACGTCATGCCGTCCGCTTGGCGCGGCGGCTGTGCGCGACGGGAAGTTCAGGTTATGAAGTAACAAGCTAGAATAAATAACAACCTTTTCGTCACCGGCCCCTCTTGATATAATCTTGCTTCCACTTCCCGTGTAGTTCACTTTCACAGCATCCGTATCCATCTCACGAACCGGTGGCTTCCAACCAGACGCATTGAAAATGGCATCTGAACGCACCAACAAATCCGAAGAAGAGCAGCAGGCTTCCTTCAAGGAGCAGCTCGATCGCATTGCCGTCGCAAGCCGAGAAGGCGACCAAGAGTCCAAGCCCAACCCGATCATCGAGAAGAGTACGCCACTTTCTGCTCACTTTGACAGCACACGCGCATTGACAGTTTAAACGCAGTCACGGAATACATCCCGGCCGCATCCGCCATTCTGGGCGGCGGATCGCACCAGCAGCCGCAAGAGGAGACGAAGCCAGAGATTCCTGGCCCGCCCAACAGGCCGGACCACGACCACAAGATTGAGGAGTTTGTGCGGGACCAGCATCGCAGCAACAAGGGCGATGGAGATCTCAGCATGGCGAAGGGATCGTAGGGCCTCCTTGGGCGAATCGCACTTGGAACATTGAATCGCACTCTTGTAGATGGACCTAAGACGCATTGTCGGATACATCTGGGTACTGCAATTAAAGCCGGCGTTTTGCTTCTCTCTCTTTATTTTTGTGCTGATGACAGGGTCGCTGCAGGGTGTACCATTCTCTCGTTCAATGTAGAGGCGGGTTGGCCGTTGACATGCAAAGTGTCCATTGTGCCAACTCTTGCAGACGAGACAATCGCCAGTCCTCTTTCCAACTTGTCTATGCCACGAAGTGAATAGTGCAGCGACATAGGGTCTTCCGCTATGGGAAGGATGAGGTGTTTGTAGAGGCCTCAGCCACATTTTCAATTGCGAGAACACTGCCCGTGCTCAGAGCTCCCCTGTGCCGGGGGGGCACAGGGCAGCTTCATCGTGGCACGGGCCAGGACTCAGCGCTCAGATCCCTGTTGGGGGCTCAGGTCAGATCCCTGGCTGGGGGTAAAAATCCTGGCTAGGCGCTGAACTCAGCGCAAGTCTTCCAAAGCTCACCCGTGCCCCGGGGCACAGGTCAGCTCTTTCTCCACGGCATAGGTCAGATGAGATCCCTGTACGGGCTGATCTCTGCCGTGACCGCACCTCTGCCCCAATTGATGGCACAGATCAGGTTTACCTGCGTTGCACAGCTCCGGACGGATGTCCTGGTAATTGAGCCGCTGGTACATAATAGTGCAACCGAATCTATCGCCTCAGACTGTTTACCGCCAGAAACAAAAAGCCACAGAACCTGCTCTCAGCGTGTGGACTTCTCTCAGGCTCTCAATCACGAGGTGTCAGGCTACCCGTCGACCACGATGGTCTACTTTGAGATGCTGCAGCATCAAGTGTGCCTCTTTCGGCTTCTGGGACTCACCACCACAACAACAACTACGAAATACCGGCTTCGGGGCTGGCATTAAGGATTGTTGTTCAGGCGATCATTGATTCCGATGAGCACGTCTCTCGTGCAATCGCATCCGGTCTCTCGTGTCACATAGTGCTGCTTTTCCCAGTCCCTCCGCAAAGTCTCGTCAGCACCACACCTTCAGGTCGCTGATGACAGTCGCCCAGGGTAGATAACATTGAAGAGAGGTCGACTTCGGGACGCATTGTCATGTTATGGTGCGGCGACACCAAGATGTGCAAAGACATGGGGGTGAGATCGTATTGTGGCATAGCATGTTCGTGCGATGGTGGGATCTTGGATCGGGAGGGTTTGAACGGGACCGCAGATGCAAGATCTCTGATCTCTGACTTCGTCTCCTTACTGTTTTTACCTCACCTGTGCCCCAGGGCACAGGTCAGATCCTTGAGGGGGGCTCAGAACAGGTCCCTGAGGGGCACAGGTCAGATCCCTGTCGGTGGCTTTGGGGCGGGTCGGATGAGCGCAGCAAACGGAGCTCACCTGTGCCCCCTGGCACAGGTCGAATAGCTTGGGATGACACCAGATGGGTTCTGAACTTCTGAAAGGCAATCAACCTCGGCGGACAGAAACGACAAGCCTCAACGCCGCATTCATTCACGATACCGTGAAATGTAAACGCCGACTAGCTGCTCATTTCTCAAACGAAACATTCACTAGCGATTGATTAATTTGTTTCCAAGTTAACAGCCATTTGCTGCGCTTTAGATGCTGGGCAAACGAAGTGTAAAAAAGCCCACGCCCTTGTCATCGCCGGGGCTATACCAGTGTGCTTATTTGCAGGTACAAGGAATAAGCCGGAGGAATTCTACACGTTCGGGGCGGGGCTGAATCAGCCTTCGCAGGAGAATTCATAAACGAAGTTGACAGCGCACTGTTCATATAATCCGCGCCAGGACGGGGCTTCTTGTCAGTAAAGTCATGGCATATTCCAGCGCATAAAGGCATCTTTTCAACTTCAATTCTACCCGCTACAGTGGGGATCTCGCCCGCGGCAGTCGCGCGCATCATGCCAGGCCTCGTCTCCCTCCCCCCAGAGTTGCTCCAGGAGGTGTTGTCCCAGCTCGACGAGGACGCTCTGTGCGCACTCTGTCGAACATGCCAGACTCTTCATGCTTATGCTGAACCCTTCTTATACGAATCTATCACGTATACGTTTTACTCTGACAACGACAAGGATATTCCCGGCCCCCCTTCGATTGACGGCTTATTCACGGCGATATGGCGGCGCCCCGAGCTCGCTGCGTACGTCAAGCGCGCATATTTCGTCGTGACCGGCGACTCTCTGTACTTCGATACTGAGCTTCGCGAGTTGCCTCCCTCCGAGGAGCATGTGGACAGTTGGGTGGAGGCGATACTTGATCTGGATGAGTCCCTCCAGGACCGCATCTCCGAGGAAGTGGTTGGCGGCAACGTCGGCGCCTTGACGGCAGTGTTGCTCTCGCGCCTCCACAACTTAGAAGTCCTGGAGATGGATTTCACCGTGCCTTGCTCGTCCGACGCGATTGCTGATGTGCTGAAGGCTTCGGCGTCACCATCCACTTCGGGTAACGCGTCTGGTTTCCAGCAGCTGGAGGAATTGAGGGTGATCAACAATCGTGACGGCCGAGTGCTGCGCTACGACGACTCACAAAGCATCCCTGACGCACTTCTTCATCTGCCAAATTTAAGAGAGGCGGAGATAATTCTCCAAGAACCTGTCGCCGCTCCATCGGCCGAGGACCCCATCCTTCTCAACAATCTCACAAGGCTCAGCATCCTGAACGCTGGTGCGAGCCCAAAAGACCTCGCGAGCATTCTCAAGTTTACTCCCCAACTTGAGACGCTAGAGTACTTCTTGGGACAAGACTTCGAGGAGCTCAAAAACGACCGGCGCTATAGGTGCGAGTATCGCAACGAGTGGGCAGCCTTTGCAGAGGCTGTGAACACTGTTGCGGGTTCGTTGAAGGAGCTCATCATCTCGGTCGATTGGGCGCACATAGACGACTACCCGCCCGAGGATATGGACACCGACTGGGTCAATGGCATCTGGGAGCGGCGGGGTCGGGTAGGCTCACTGAAGTCCTTGGTCTGCCTCGAGCGGCTGGAGGTACCTATTGTCGCACTCTTGGGGTGGGAGCCGAGCACTGCACCTGACAGGTTGCAAGACATCCTGCCGATGGGCCTGCGCGAGCTGTGTCTAAGGGATGATCTTATAGACGAGCACCACTATCGGTGGACGAGGTGGCAACACTTTGTGATAGGCCGCAATTTGGCCCAGTCCTTCCACGACACCTGCAACCCAACGGATCTACTGGAACGGCTACGGCGGTATTTGGACGCCGTCGGCACGGAGCTAGAGTCGGACAGCGCGCGGAAGTTTGGGCTTGAGAGCCTTGTCCTGAAAGCCCAGCTGGATCGGGTGTGGCCAGACAAATACCTGGAGCAACTCAGGATGATGAGCCAGGCCGCAGGGGTCAGTGCTGCAGTGCGGATGCGCATGAGCGGCTTTCTCACCAGCTATGATTCTTGGAATGACGAGGTCAAGGAGATGATTCTCGAGGCCATTCCTGGTCAGGACATGGAGTCGATGGAAGGGCGGATTCCGTATGAATGCCGGTATTTCGATGAGCCTCGCCGACAATTTCGGTCCAACGACTAGCAAGCGTATCATTATCTTTTCAGCAACTCAAGAGGCTTCTTAGTTTAAAGGTCTCAGGCTAGTTGGGCAGGTACTGATATGCTATGACAGACATGGCATGGACCTTAGCTGTGTCCCACGGCATGCTTAACTTTCTTCTTATGATGCGAGGGACGGTCATACACGGGGCCTGTAGCGAAGCTTCATTTACAGAAACATTGGCTGCATCTCCATTCAGAAGTTCACCTACGTACTTTGCAAGTTTGTAGGCTATGACATGACCTCACCGCTGCCCTGTGCCATGGGGCACAGGTGAGCTCAACTAGCTTGGTGTGGTACGGGTCAGGTAAGATCCCTGTAGGGGCACAGCTGAGCACGGACTTCAGATCTAACGGCATTGGATCATGAACACGTTGTGGCCGACGAGAAAGGCAAGCCCTGATGCTCGCATCCTGTGTCCGCACCCGCTACCACTAAGATCTGGAGTGACGAGCTGTGCCACCGCCGCGGTCAAAGGGCCAACGTCGTCGGCTTCGTACTTGTGTAGCATGGTGATTACTTGCTGCCAATTGCCCGCTCGTCCGCCTCAAATGGGCCGCTTGTTGCTGTATCTGACGCCCATGAGCATAGGAGGAGCTGCCCTCGTCAAGAGAGAGGGCCTCATCCTGGATTCAAACAGGGAGCGCATGGAGATGGCTGCCGCAGGCCAAATGTCTCCAGACCAACGGCAAGGCGGTAGGCTATAGCCATGGCATTGAAATGGCAGTCTTCTGCTGCGTTCCATGCCGCCGCAGCTGTGCAAGCGGTCCGAGCAGCATTGAAGCTTCAACCATGGAGCTTGGGCATTGAGCTTGGCTAATACAGGTTCGAAAGCTCGCCAGACTGCACAGATAGACAGAGAGCACATTCACAGCGAACGCACACGCCGCTCGAGTCTACATGTTACAGCGCGCGCATCTCGACGCGCTTCTTCATCAGGGATGAAGAGATGTCCCCCCTTCTTGGCATTGTCCCGCCTACGGACATCGGCGAGGGCGAACCCCCGACGATCTTGCGGGAAATTTCCTATATCCAAGGGTTGTTTCTCTTCTGAGCGTATTCCCGAGGGGAATGGCAACGCATCACCGTGGGTAAGCTGGGTGAAGGTCGTGGCGGCTCAGTTGGCTTTTTGATGAAGAGAAAAAGAAGAAGAAAAAGAGCAAAAGATTTTGGCAGCCGGGCGAGCAAGATAAAGGGCGTGGGTGGTGGGATGGCGCTAGTCTGTTTTTGGCACAATGACTCAGCAATTTGGCGAGTCGCGAGGTACGTACTTTTCACTTCATCCGGAATTCCTCAGTCCTCAAACACTCGCACCAGCTGCTATGGCAAGATTTATGCAATGTCAAGTTGTAGTTGAGATTAGGTGATGCGAGGGATTCTATGAGCGCCGCAATCCCTTGCCTAGCAGCTCATCCGCCACCTCACCTATGAGCTTCTCCCCAGGAAACGCCTTCCGCTTCGCCAAGATGGTGCCCTGAGCGTCCAGCGCTCGCAGCAGGTCGGCCAGCTCTCCATCCAACGCCGTGCCATATACCAGGTGCCCGAGTGCCGATAGCATTCCCTGTAGTGCCTCTATTGATTTGTCCTCCTGGGCGATCGCTTCTACCACTGACGCAGCGAGCTCGACCTCGTCTCCTTCAGGGAGCGTCGGCTTGGTATCGCTCTCCCTGGACCGCCGATTCGCCAGCGCGAGGTTGAACAGGAGAGATGATGCCGCAACCCTGACGTTGTTGTGGCTGTCGTCAAGGAAGCTGGATGATATGAGCTGGATGAGTGGCGTCCGGAGGTTGGCGTTGCGTAGTATCTCGTCGGGGAACAGTGGTGTCGAGAACAAGTTGCAGGCCATCTGAAGGCTGACGAGACGAAGAGCGTATGGACATGCGCTCTGGCTATTGACAAATTCGAACACGTCGCGAACTGTCTTGTGGTCCTCCTCCTCTGCGAAGAACCCACTTACTCGAGGATCTACCAGGGCGCACCTGAAGAGGTCGACGATGGTGAAAAGCGTCTCTGGCGGTAAGCTCACAACCGAATCCTGAACCAGTTTCGATAGATGTGTCATGTCCGGCACAATGGCATCTTGCGGCCCAGCTGTTTGTCTCATCTCGATGAATCGTGTCAAGCTCTGAACTTCGGGTTTCTTAGCCAGCTCATCTCCCATCTTGACCATCAACTTGGCCATAGGAGGGATCTTGGTATACGAAACAGGTTTCGTGTTGGTGCTTGAGAAGCTAGGCAGGCGTAGCTTGGAGTGCGGGTGTGTCGGATGAGCCATCTGCACCAAGAGTTGGACGTTGCCCCGAAGGGCTGTAGGGTCTGCCCCTGACCATCGGTTCTCTTCTGCGCCTTTCAAGAATGTGACGAATGTGGGTGTTGCCCGCACAGAGAACTGCTGTGCGATCAAAGACGCTTGTGGCTGCGAGATGTCGATTTTGACAAAGGTCGCACTGTCCCCGAGTTCCTCTGCAAGCTCGTCGTACAACGGGTACAGCGTCTTGCACGGCGGGCAAGTGGCGGATGTGAAGAACACGACGGCGCAGGACCGCTTTGCCTCATCGAGAAGACGTGAGAACTCGGCTTGAGTTGAGATTGACTTGACAGTCCTCCTTGGATCCGGGATTGGTGCAGATGCCCTGGCCGTGTCCTGCAGACCGAGGATCGAGCCATTTGACCGGCCTGCATTGACACCTTGTGTGAGTTGCGGTAGCAGCATGCGTCCCATCGGAGAATCCATAACCGCCTGTGGCATGTTGACGATATGGTCAGGGATGCCTTTGCCAACGAGGAAGTTGGAAAAGGAGTCGCTAAAGTTGTTGCAGTTATGGCGAAACAAGTCATATGCCTGGCACAGAATACGTTAATGAAATACTCCTGGAACAGCCAGGGTTTAGGACTCACCTCGAGAGTAAATATCGGCCGTATTGAGTCGAGGAATTCCTCGATCACGTCCAGGGGCAGGTGAGTAGTGCCGAGGGGAATCTTCTGCATGGGCTGCCCGAGGTGAGAGGAGCCTGGCACGATGGCAATGATGCCGCCGTCGTACACATACTCGCGGCCGTTGAGCTGGATAGAAGTGTGGTAGATGGCGTCGAGCTGGAAGCCGAGGATGCCCATGGACATTTGCCGCGCGAGACCGCGAGACAGGTCGTAGACGAGCAGCTGGACGTCCATTTCGGTAGCAACAGGCCGACGCCTGTGAGGAGATGGGTGCGCAGGCGATAGCAACTACAACGGGAGAAACAGTAAGGTGTGGAAAATAACGCCAAGACGTCGGCTGGAGCGTTAACGCTGGTGAGTAGCGGATTTCCTCATGTATGGCGACGTAGGCAGCAGATGGCCTACGTCGACGAAGCTTCTGGAGGATCCCTAATCGGGGGGCTTGGGGGGCGTGCTCAGGTGGTGACGCGTGCGCTGTAGCGGGTGGCGGACGGGCAGCCCAGGTGGTCCGTCTCAGCGGACATTGAACCTGGAGCGAGTGCCTGGGCGCACTGGAACTCCGCATCCCGCACGCATCACCGGGACGCCGAGCAACCATCTGAGCACCGGATCGTCCGCGCATTAGCCTTCACGACAGTCGTTCACGGGGCGTCACGAAATCAAACCAAAGTCCCGACACTTTATCTACCGCAGTCGATGTCTCTCCCGCTGGCGAAACGCAGACTTCCACCAAACGCTTGCACCACAGAATCAAGTCCAGGCAAGCCAGGTCAGGGGCGCGTGGCACTAAAATTAGGCGGTCGCCGCTGGATGCGTCCACTGGGAAGCCCCGGGCAGGAATGCGCCCCCCAACTTTGGAGGGCGACAGGCCGCCTCAGCCACTGAGCGAGACATTATGCGCGCCATGAGTGGGTGGCGATGAGCAGATCGGCCACTAACATGCAGCGTGGCTTGCCCGCCAAACCCCTTGATGGTGCATCGGTTCCAGATGGACGCTGATGAAAAAAGTCACTCCGCCGTTTGCACACGTCCGCGTCTTGATTCGTCCATCCCGCAATCCCCTTTTCGCGATCTTCCTTCAGCCATACCCGCTTCAGTCCGTGTCCTTTGCCCAACGCCATTTCAGCTTCCTGCATTATCTCGATTTTAATCCATCACACCCTCCTACGCCCCCTCGTTCGCTCCTTGCCCCTTCCCCTTCCTCTTCTTCCATCCTCCCCGCGCGTTCCTCGATGCGCGACGGCGTCACTCCTTAGACACTCCCTTCTGCCTCGGCGTCGCCGCAGCAGCACCCTCTCGCCGACCTGATGCGAAGAACGTCCGTGTCGCTGCCCACGAAACAAGTCGCACACGATCCCCACGAGAAGCCAGATCGCTACGAGACCAAAAACCCCAGGCAGGGAATCTTACTGCCATACTTTATCAGGATGAAGGAGACATTCATGTCGCAGTCGCAGAAGACGCGGTACATCAAGACCGGCGTCATCGCCTTCACAGTCCTCCTGCTCTTCTGGTGGCTGTCGCCCCGCGGCGTCGAAGTGTACAATGGCGGAGGTAAGAGGCAGATGCCCGTAGAGCGAACAATCTCCATGACATCCCGCTGACCTGGCTCTTGAACAGCCTCGCATCCCAAGGGCGGCAACGGCCAGACCCCGTCCGATTCGACATACGGCACCGACCGATGCACCAAGTCCTTCTCCAAGGACAAGCCCATCGTTCAGTACGTTCTCATGGTCGACGCCGGCAGCACAGGATCCCGAATCCACGTCTACAAGTTCAACAACTGCGGTCCGATCCCCGAACTGGAGAAGGAGGAGTTCAAGATGACTGAGAAGTCTGTCGGTGGCCTGAGCAAGTACAAGGACGACCCCATCGCTGCTGCCAAGACGCTCGATCCCCTCATGCAGGTCGCCATGGAGCACGTCCCCGACAAGCTGAAGCGCTGCAGCCCCGTTGCCGTCAAGGCCACGGCCGGTCTGCGCCTGATTGGCCCCGAGAAGTCGGAGGCCATCCTCAACGAGGTTCGCCGCCATCTCGAGATGGACTACCCCTTCCCGGTCGTTTCCAAGGAGCAGAACGGCGTCGCTGTGATGGATGGTTCCGACGAGGGTGTTTATGCCTGGGTCACGACCAACTACCTGCTCGGCAAGATTGGCGGCCCGGATAAGAGCCCGACCGCTGCCGTCTTCGATCTCGGCGGTGGTTCCACTCAGATTGTCTTTGAGCCTACTTTCAAGGGTGCGCCGGAGGGCGGCATGCCTGAGAAGCTCGCCGAAGGTGACCACAAGTACAAGCTCGACTTTGGCGGCCAAAAGTTCGAGCTGTACCAGCACTCTCACCTCGGCTACGGCCTGATGTCCGCCCGCGGCGCTGTTCACAAGCAGCTCGTCTCTGAGGTCGCGACCAAGGAGAAGAACAACGGCGATGCCTGGATGACCAAGCCCATCGTTCACCCCTGCATCGCTCCCGGCATGACTGCGGAGACCAAGGTTGAGCTGGCCGACAAGACGACCAAGACGTTCAACTTCACCGGTCCCTCCCAGGCCGCGCCTGCTCAGTGCCGCAACCTGGCCGAGAAGATCCTCGCCAAGGACGCCGACTGCAAGCTGGCGCCGTGCTCCTTCAACGGCGTCCACCAGCCTTCCCTGGCCAAGACCTTTTCCAAGGAGGATGTCTACATCTTCTCCTACTTTTATGACCGCACTAAGCCCCTGGGCATGCCCGACTCGTTCACGATTCGGGAGATGCACGACCTTGCGCAGACTGTGTGCATGGGCAAGGACGGCTGGGACGTCTTCAGCACCATGCCCGAGGCCATGGAGGAGCTCAATGACCGCCCCGAGCATTGCCTGGACCTCAACTTTATGCTGGCATTGCTTCACACCGGATACGAGATGCCCATTGACCGAGAGGTCAAGATTGCCAAGAAGATTAAGGGCAACGAGCTGGGCTGGTGCCTGGGTGCCAGGTGAGCCGTTCCGCACTCTGTCTGTGATAAACGTTTGCTAACTGATGGTAGTCTGCCTCTTTTGTCGCCTGGCTCTGGCTGGAAGTGCAAGATCCAGCAGGTCTCTTAGAGGGAGCTCCGTGCAACGAAAGCTCAGAAGCGAGAGCCTTAATGACCTACATTCGAATCGGTCCCGTGGGCGGGCCGAACGACGCCTACGTTGAGAGAAATGTATAAAAACAACACCAGCATTGCCGTTTGGTTCATGGGGGTTTGGCAACAAAGTTAGGATGGCTGGCATCGGTAGCAGTTTCAAGGGCCAGAACGGTCCAGCAAAGTGTTTGACAAGAGCGCATGGGTATACAGCTAGACTAATACAGCGGCGGAGGGCCTACAGCGGCGCCGTCACCATTTCCAGCACCTCCTCTATGACTTCTTCCGGGCCGACGCCGTCGAGTATGGATTGTACGGCCTCGAGCTTGCTGCCCCACTGCATGCTCCTTTCCTTTGCCGGCGATGTGATGCGTATGCGGTGCAGATAGACCTTTCTGGCAGCCAGCCCTACGAGTGCGGGCGTCACGTAATCGAGCTTGTGCAGAGGCGCGACGCATCGCATGAGCTTGTCGAAATGCTTCGTGGCGGCCGGCGTGATGCCGTGGTCGACGGCACGATGCATTCGGAGGAAGGAGACGACGTTCATCTGGTAGCGGATGACGTCGATGTCGGCCTGAACCTGCTGGCTCAGCTGTGCCAGGTGACTGATTTCCTGGTCCAAGGTCAGACGAAGCATCTCGGAAGCAACCTACACGAGAACATACCGATTCGGATATGGAGGGGCCAGCCGGCAGCTCGTCTTGATGCTTACTCCTGACCACGCTTTCCACCGACGCCGCGTCATCCGCCGCCTCCTCCATGTTCACGAGCCCATCTTCCGGGTCGTGCCAGTGCGCCAGGGAAAAGAAGTCGTTGAGATGCGGCGTGACGTGCGCCTCGCCGCCGCTGTCCGCCTCCAACACCGGCACGAAGACAAACTGCTTGGGAGCAGCCTGGACCGACGTGCGCGTGAAGATGCGCCGCGTGCGCAGCAGCTCGAGGGCCTGGATCTGGACAGCGCGCGGCGCGCAGTCGAGGTTCCGCGCGAGGACGCAGTTTGCGATCTGCGCGGCGGGGCCGAAGCCTCCCACGCCGCCGCCGCCGCCGGTGAGGACAGTGAGCGGCGAGATGGAGCCGCGCGAGGGTCGCGACTGCTGCTGCGGGTTGGCGACGAAGTAGCTGGCGGAGTCGGAGCGCGCCTGGAAGGACGGCGTGCGGGCGGGCGTGGTGGCGGCGGCGGCGGTGGGCTTGGGGAGGTAGAGGAGCGCGGATGCGAATTCTTCGAGGGTGGTGCCGGCGTGGCAGTTGATGACGACGCAGCTGAGGCCGAATGTCTTGCGCGCGACCTGCGTTCAGGCTGGGTGTCAGTCTTGACGTGCATCCAGGCGCAGCTTGTGTAGAAGGTCGAGCGTAGGGCATACCAGCTGCAACTCCTCGATCAGGTCGTCGATGGTGTCCGACGGGGTGCTGATGATGCCATGTTCTCTGCTAACCAGGCACAGCAGGATGGCCAGCTCAAGGTCGCTCAGGTCGTGGACCTTTTCGAGCAAGAGGTCATCCGCCATCGCGAAGCAAGGGGACGCGCTTGGCCAGCAGGTCCATGAGGCCGGCTGCCGTGGATCGCGCTCGGTGACCCGGTGGCGGTGTCGTCGTGGGATGTCGGGTACTGCTCAATGCAGCCTGGAACTCAACTGTAGGCGCCTGGAGCTCCAGCACCGCCCGCGTCCAGCTGCCCCGGCAGCGCTCTGCAGGTGACGGGAAGCCTGTGACATCAATTGGGCGGAAATGGGGTCACGTGGGGCCGTGACGACAGTGCACAACGCCCCACCGATTTATGCATTGAGCTAGGCCAGGCACGGCAAAGCAGCACAATGGGGCAGCCCGTCGCCTGCGACAACTGACTGCTCCAGCTGCCGCCAGTTGGACTTGGGGGGGGGCCGCCGGACGCATGCTCCATCATTCATTACAGTACCACCTGTGCATGCGAGACGCCGACTGCGACGCCTCCCTCTTGTCCTGATACCTAACCATACCTACCATTCCGTCGGTGCCTGTCGCGGCAGACAACAGACGGACCCCTCGTTGCGCCCTCGATACCGAGTTACTTCGCAGGCCTCCCCCCACAGGCTGAGCTGGGGCCTTCCTCGACGCATCCACATCTCGTCATCGCCGAGTCGGCTTCGTCGACGCACCACACATCACCATGTCTTCGCGTAAGAAGGTCCTCCTCAAGGTATGAACCCTCGTCCCCCCGCCATTCACCGATGCGCCTGAAACGTTGCTAATCGTCGCTCTGTCCGCAGGTCATCATCCTCGGCGACAGCGGGGTCGGCAAGACCAGCTTGATGAACCAATATGTATGGCCGCGCTCTGCCCTCCGTCCCGACCCCTCCCCATCGTCTTCGCGCCGGCGCAGCGTTAACAGTATCTTCGGCACACAGGTCAACAAGAAGTTCAGTGCGAGCTACAAGGCGACCATCGGCGCCGACTTCCTAACGCGGGAGGTCCTCGTCGACGACAGACAAGTCACCATGCAGGTACGACAACCGCGAGAGGGAACAGAGCGAGAGTGGTGCGCAAGAGGAGGCTCAGGAATGATTGATGCTGACTATCTCTCGGCAGCTCTGGGACACGGCCGGCCAGGAGCGCTTCCAGTCGCTGGGCGTCGCCTTCTACCGCGGCGCCGACTGCTGCGTCCTGGTATACGATGTCAACAACGCGAAGAGCTTTGAGGCGCTGGACAGCTGGAGAGACGAGTTCCTCATCCAGGCCTCGCCACGGGATCCTCCCAACTTCCCTTTCGTAAGTCTACGCTAGAGACAGCAGCGGCCGGGTCGCGTGACTGACGGCTTTACAGGTTGTCCTAGGCAACAAGATTGATGTCGAGGAGAGCAAGCGAGTGGTAAGCGCGGCTAATGCGACCGCAGTGCACGGACGAGGACTGACCAGCTGCAGATCTCGAACAAAAGGGCCATGACCTTTTGCCAGTCAAAGGGAGACATTCCGTACTTTGAGACGAGCGCCAAGGAGGCCATCAACATTGACCAGGCATTTGAGGGTGCGTTGTGTTCTCCCCCTCCTACTGAAGCGGCTCCCCATGCTGACCTGACTAGTTATCGCACGGAACGCCCTGGCTCAGGAAGAGTCGGAAGAGTTTAGTGGCGACTTTGACGACCCCATCAACATCCACATCGACAACGACCGTGACGGGTGCGCCTGCTGAAGAGAGCCAACGAGGGCTTTGTCACTTTCGCCACGCTACCGAGACGGGATGGAGAGTCTGAGGACCAGGATCGCAGGATCATCGCGGACCACACATACAATTTGCGCTGCGCCGTATCGATGTCCTTTTGTTGTCGTTGCATGGGTGTAGAATACCTCGCGTCGAGACCTGTTTGCTACTCTTTTCTGTTTCCTGGGTGTTTACATGGCCGTTTGTTTGGAGAAACGCTCTGATGTTCGTCGTCGCAGTTTCGGTGAGGTCTGGTAATGCTCAAGAACACCATATACCTGGTTATAGACGAGCCACTGTCCACCTTCGGCTGGCGTGTTTGTGCGAGGACCCGTGCGTGGCTGGCCTCCTCTGCCATGGCCTAAAGTGAATTGCAAGCTGAACGGTCCACGTCACAGGGATTCGATATTTGCTTTAAGTACAGGTCATGACCCGACCAATGACATCAATATTGTCTTCAGCGGCTGCGCCGTGACGAGCTACCTAGACCTCACTTCGTCTTCTGGGCGTCTGTCGCAGCTTCATGGATAAGAGCCGCAATCTCTTTTGGCTGCGAGGCTAGCGACGCATGCCCCGTCGGCAGCTCAATCGTCTTCCTCGCCTTCATGCGCGCCGCCATGAACCTCTCCGCCTCGGGGCTAACGCAGCGATCCTCCTTGGAGACCTGATACCAAGACGGCTTCACCTTCCACGCCGCCTTGGTCACACTGTCACCAAACGTAGACGCAACAGGCGCCTTCTGCGTCACCGCCATAACAAGCCCCTGCTCCCTCGTCGCATCCTGACAAAACGTCTCATGGAACTGCTCCGCCCTGATCCAGAGGAACCCATCGCTGTCCGCGACGAGGCGGCCCTCCGTCGCCGCCACGGCGGGGTACCGCTCCGAGATGCTGGCCAGGCTCTCGCCCTGGTCGGGCGCGAAGGCGGCGACGTAGACGAGGCCGATGACGTTGGGCAGTTCGCCGCCCATCTCGGTGATGACGGCCCCGCCGTAGGAGTGCCCGACGAGGAGCACGTCGCCGTCGATCTGCGCGACCATTTGGCGCGTGCGCGCGGCGTCGTCGGCGAGGGAGGTGAGGGGCAGCTCGACGGCGTGCTGGCGGGTGTAGCCGCGGCGGTGGAGGTCGAGGATGACGCCGGCCCAGTGGGCGGCGTCGCCCCAGAAGCCGTGGACGAGGACGATGGTGGGTTTGCTCATTTTGTGGATAGATCCCCTAGCGGTTGGCCAAATGTGGTTGTTATGGTATGTGGTACGGAGTCTATAGACTCTATAGACTCTAAAGGCGTGATTCTCTTGACGTTTGCTCTCCCCGTCAAGGAGCAACGCGCATTATGTACTTCTCCGGCTGGTGGGATAACAGTACGCGGGCCATCATCCTCGCCAAGTTGCGAAATGCCGCAGACATAAACTCAAACTCAGCCGTACGCAAGCCTCCGCGCTCGAGAAGCTCGGTACCGCAAGGGGAGGGAGCATCTAGTGATGCAGGATATCTTGGACTGGAGACGAATCGCCGTTCCTGGATGGAGTCTAGGTATCGTAAAGGGCGGCACAGTTCCGGCATCCACGCTGCCAAGGCAGCATCTACCGCCCACCTAGCACGCTAACGGCTTCCCAATGAAGCATGCAATGCCGCCATTTACAGGAAGGAAACCCGTAGCTGGGAGCTGGGAGCATGTAGCCGGGATTCCTGCGACCTTAAACTCAGCTTCGACGCCTTAAGCTGGAGACATTAAAGGCTGCGACGGTCAGACAGAAGCTGTTAAGTCTGTCCCAACCACGGGTGATCTTTCCGCAGCAGCCGGTTCACTAGATGATCCAAAAAGCTTAAACTGCCGTCCGGCGAGGTCTCACGGTAGTCGAACGCGGCCGCATCTTCGGGTGGAAATCCTCCGAGGCTTGCGGAACGGTTTCCATGCCTCATGCAGCCTTTGGTTGGGGTTGCCTCGAAGTGATGCGTTGCCATTTGGATGTTAAGCTTTCATGACCTCCAGCGACGGACTAACCGTCTGCGCAGGCCAGTATGTGGCTGGAATAGATTGAGCGGCAAGAGTCTACGTGGCGGGGCAGACGAGGTCGAAATGAAGGGACCTCGTGTAGTCGGGGTGACGTGATGGGATGTAGCAAGGTTGGCAGTGCCGAGGCTGCCGCTAATACGGCAATGGCTGCTCGGTAGAAAGAGGCCCGCGGGGAAGCTGGGCTGAGGCGGCTTTTTTTGAGGTACCACGGGCAGGAGGCTCGGTGTTGTAGGACTTTGACCTTGAGGTTTACCTGCCTTGCTGCCGCTTCCATATATGGGTGGAAAATTCGGGCTTGTATAAAGTCTCCTGGCTTCCTCTCCTCGTTACGGCGGGGGCGGGGGATATATGTTGGACAACCTACGTTAGATGGCCTAGACTTATGGCAACTTGATTCCACTTCGACTTTCTAGCACGTCGAGTAAGGGCTACATGTTCCAGGTCGAGATCTCCGGTCCAGACTTTCGGGCAACTGGACACTTCGGCCATCAAATTCCGGCGCTTGGGCTGATACAGAGTAACAGGCTACATTGCCAGCGTGCACTCTCGTGGTCAAGCCAGGCGGGAGAAGGACGGCCTCCGGATGGGAGGTCTTAGGGTGGGTACTGGCCGGCATTATCGAGGAATTTTGGGCGCTGGTAGTCGACAGCTATTGCCTGTGAAGTCGCACCTTTGTAGGCCTCAGGATGCAACACAAACGACTGCAACATTCAGCTTCTCCAGCTGGTTCGACTGTCATTATAACTCGAGTCGCATCCGCCGCGGATGGGCCCGGGCTAAAGCCCGGAATTCGGGCCATTGCCCTCTTCTGGCCCTCGCAACACCACCACGCACCCCGGAATTGGCCACCATCCGGGATTGACAACCAGACGTCAAACACCGCCGCACACACGATCTTCCAATACTTCCCCTCGCCAATCGAACCACCATGCGTCGATGCGTCGACGTCTGTCGGGTCGATCCCGGTCCCCCTTCGGTGCAGGGTAGGCAGAAAAAGGCGGGGCCCCACCGGGGAGCCGAGGCTGGACGGCTCGGAACTCGAGCTTTACCCCAGGAAGTTGGCGCGCGGCGCGCCCCCGAACCCCAAAGTGGCCCAAGCTCCCCCTCCAGTGCCAGTGCTGGCGAACCTCGGCTCCGCTCCGCCGGTAGTTTGGGGGGAGGAGCACTTAAGGACTTCCGTCGCACCTCCTCCGCATCGGACCCTCGCCGCGCTCTCCATCTTATCGTCGTTTGTCGACATTCATACAACATCACCTCTCGTTTTCCCTACATCTTGAATTGCTGTGACACGTTTGATTACCTGTCCGCAGCTCGTGTCTGACGAATAGAGGAAAGACTCGCCGTTGTATCCCAAGTGCTGAGGTGTCTCGTATTTGAGACGCATCCTATCCGTCATGTCGGCCCAGATCCCAGCCATTGTACGTACGATGGTCCCCCGAAGCGTCCCGACCTACTCTGGGAGAATCTGTGCTGATGTGCGTCTCAATCATAGGTGGCGCATCGCGTCAGCGATGAGGCCAAGCGGATGATTGACGTCGTGGCCAAGTTTGTCGAGGAGGACTGCATCCCGTGAGCTGCCTCTTCCGAGCCACCGCGGCCCATTGTGTGTGCAGGTATGCAAGGACGACGGTTGCTGACATCAATTTTAGGGCAGACCCCGTGCTGGAGGCGCAGATCGGCGAGGGCGACGCGCGGTGGGAGTCGCACCCGCCCATCGTCGAGGAGCTCAAGGCCAAGGCGCGCAAGCTGGGCCTCTGGAACATGTTCCTGCCCAAGGGCCACTACAAGGAGTCGCCCGGGTGGACCAACGTCGAGTACGGCCTCATGGCCGAGTGGCTGGGCCGCTCGCGCGTGGCGTCGGAGGCGTGCAACTGCGCGGCGCCCGACACGGGCAACATGGAGGTGCTGGCCAAGTACGGCAACGACGCGCAGAAGCAGCAGTGGCTGCGCCCGCTCATGGACGGCAAGATCCGCTCCGCCTTCCTCATGACGGAGCCGGGCGTGGCCTCGTCCGACGCGACCAACATCGAGCTCAGCATCCGCCGCGAGGGCAACGAGTACGTGCTCAACGGCAGCAAGTGGTGGTCGAGCGGCGCCGGCGACCCGCGCTGCCAGATCTACATCGTCATGGGCAAGACGGACCCCAACAACAAGGACCCCTACCGCCAGCAGTCGGTCGTGCTGGTGCCGGCCGACACGCCGGGCATCAAGATTGTGCGCATGCTCAAGGTGTACGGCTACGACGACGCGCCCCACGGCCACGGCCACCTGACGTTTGACAACGTGCGCGTGCCCGTGTCCAACATGGTGCTGGGCGAGGGCCGCGGCTTCGAGATTATCCAGGGCCGCCTGGGGCCGGGGCGCATCCACCACGCCATGCGCAGCATCGGAGCGGTGCGTTTCTCTCTTATTCCTTGCCATGTTGTGTTTGCCCCGCGAGGGAGGTGTACATGTCACTGACTCTTTGGTTCTGCAGTCCGAGGTCGCCCTCGACTGGATGCTGATGCGCGTCAACGACGAGTCCAAGAAGCCGTTCGGCAAGCTGCTGCGCGAGCACGGCGTCATCCTCGAGTGGATCGCCAAGTCGCGCATCGAGATCGACGCGGCGCGGCTGGTGGTGCTCAACGCGGCCGTCAAGATGGACGAGCTCGGCCCCAAGAAGGCGCTCAAGGAGATTGCCGAGGCCAAGGTGCTGATCCCGCAGACGGCGCTGACCGTCATCGACCGCGCGGTGCAGGCCTTTGGCGGCGCGGGCGTCAGCCAGGACACGCCGCTGGCCAACATGTGGGCGGGCATCCGCACGCTGCGCCTGGCCGACGGGCCCGACGAGGTGCACCTGCAGCAGATGGGCCGCAACGAGAACAAGCGCGGCAAGCAGACGGCCGACAAGATCCTGTGGCAGCGCTCCAAGACGGAGCAGCTGCTGAAGCAGTACGGCGTGCAGACGGCGCAGCCGGGCACGCGGATCCGCCACTCCAAGATCTAAGAAAGTGCGAAACAACAGAGAGTCTGTAGGTAGCAAGCAAACAAGCAAGCAAGCAAGCACAGCCCACGACGCCTGTGCCACCGCGCGAGCTGTCTTCGGCCGCCGTGTATAAACAAAAGATTGTTTACCGTAGGGCAGTGAGCATGATTCAGGAAACAACACTTGGTGATGCGCCGCCCCCCTTAGTGATGATGTCGTCGTTGAGCATTGACGTGATGCAAAGCAAACCGTTGGTCGACGGCCGTCGCGGAGCAAAACACCGGGCGTCTGTCCGCGCCTGGGCGAATCCCAGCGCTATAGCAGCAAGGAAGCGGATTATATCACGTTGCGTGTGTGTGACTCAACGAGGTTGGCCTGTGCGCGGGAGTGTTTTGTTTTGCAAATCTCTCTCACGAGACGGTAGTGTTGTTGTTGTAGGCCTGACGGGTAGGTGACTTAGCAGGCCTGGAAGCAAGGATTCGAATGACTGAGGCGAGTTCCAGCACGTCCCGTCGTCAATGCCGGTCCTGCCAGCCAGCGCAGCGGGCTCCCATGCGTCCAGGTTCCATGGCACCTGGCACCCACCCCCACCTGCCACATTCCCAGGCCCCTGGCAGCAGGGGCATGGAGGGCAAAGACAGCCCCCGGGCCCCCTGCAGCGCCCGCCGTTGCTCCGCCGACGGGGGCCACCGGCCCACGCACCCGCCGATTCGTTTACTTTCGGCACCTCTCTGGCCGCAGGGATTTGAGCAACGTCCACCCCTGCCTTGGCTAGATTTCTCGCAATCCCGCCCGCCGTGCACGCCGTTCACGCTCCCGCAAGTGCGCGCGAAGAGGGAAAAAAAAAAAGCTATATCACCCATCCGTCCATCCATCCATCCAACCCAACGGGACAGACAACGACCCTTTGTTTTTGTGTCATCGCCAAACCGCACACCCTGCTTGTGAGCATACCGCGCAAACAACACATTCCAAAGGCCGCCGTCCGTTGAACCTGCTACCCCGCCGAACGAGAATCCTCGCAACGGTTTTCACAGGCACGCACGACAGACGCAGACACCATACACAGACACACACACACACTCGCAAACAATGTCGTCGTCCCCCAACAAGGTCCTCAGCGACAAGGACGTCAACGCCCCCATGGCCGACCACTCCAACAACCAGCAGGAGACGTACGCTCAGCAACAGCAGCTGAGCGGCGGCGGTGACGCAAAGGACGTTAAGAGCATGGAGTATCACCGCCAGGTCTTCCAGAACAAGATGACAGAGGACAAGTACGTCGCGCCGCTGCCCAAATAACCCCCTTCTGCCTCCATTCACGGCGGATTTGCCTGCCTGCATAATGGGATGCGATGCTGACCGATAAACCTAAACCGCAGGTCTGATAAATACGTGTCTCCCTCGGACAACATCATGAGCCCCTGCACGGCCAAGATCAACGCCCTGCGCAACAAGCACGCCGCAAAGTCAGTCCAACCACCCCTCGCCACATCGTCTCGATACCTCTCCTCCACCCTTCCCTGTGTTGCGTTGAGTCGCAAATGGCTAACAAGGGTCCGCACGCAGGGTCAAGCCCAAGTCGCTCTTCGCCCAGGCGAGCGCTAAGAAGCTCGCCGGCGATAACCCCTTTGGCGCTCGGCCAGTCAAGCCCGAGTAAACAGCCTCCTCGAGCTTCTGTACAATCGCGCTGCATGTCTCTTTGGTGTTTTTTTTTTTGCTCTCTCTTTCATCGCCAGGGCACACTCGTCTTTCGTTTTCGCGGTCTTGCTTAGACCCCCGCCCGCAACGCTGGGTTATCATTCGTTCGCTTTCTACGTTGGCATTCGCACGTCTCGGCACAACGGATGCAGAGGCTTGTTATTGGGGCTTCGTGCCTTTTGTATCAAGAAAGGGGTTTGGGAATCGGCGTTCTTGGGACGGGGTAGTACGCCGCTGCGTGGCATCAAGGTTGTTGACTCAGGGACGGGGGCTGGGTTGAGTGTTATGAAATCATGCAACGACACGGTGTATAGTGTATACCCGACGCGGGACCACCACAGCGCCGGCGGCTTGGACGGGTCCCGACAGACTGACCAATTTACTTTGTTTTACTGACGTGCCGTCTATTCGCCCATGCCACAACATGCTAGACTACGCCCGCCAGGCGCTGACAATGTACACGACGTCCTCGTCGGACACTGCGTGGCCCAGACCGACCCTCTGCGGGATATGGCGCGCGCTCGCTCCCCATACCAGCGCATACTTGAACGTATCCTTCATGTTGCGGTGGATCCGGTCACACACGTCCTCGATGGTGCTGTTGCTCCGCACAATCAGAGCCTCGCCAAAGTCGGGGTCGATGCCCTTTCGCTTGGTGTAGATGCGAATGAGCCGCAGCTCCTTCCAGCACCGGTCCACAACGTCCTGGATGCCCAGGTCCAGCTCGCAGCTCATCACCACCGTCTGCGGCTCGCGCGCCAGGCTGTCGAGGAAGTCGAGCGACACGCTGTCGATCTTGTTGTACACGTACAGGCACTTGATGTACTTGCGGTGGTCCTTCATGATGACGTCGATGAAGTCGTCCACCGTCGCGTTCTCGTCTCGCACCAGCACCTCGCAGTTGAGCATCTTGTAGTCGCGCAGGATGTTGTACAGCATCTTCTCGTCCAGGTATTTGGGTGGCGTTTGGAACGTAATCTTCATGCCGCCCGCCTTCTTCGGCTTGAGGTAGATGTTGCTGCGGACGTCAGTCAGACGAGCAATGAGCCGGGGATAGATGACGACCTACGGTGGCTCTCTGTTTAGCCGGATGCCGACTGCCTCCAATTCGGCCTCTAACAGCGCTCTTTGCTCCGCTTTCTTGGTCGCGTCGAGAACCATGAGAATCAGGTCGCTCGTCTTCGCCGCCGAGATGACTTGTCGCCCGCGACCCTTGCCCTCGGAAGCGCCCTCGATGATACCAGGAAGATCGAGAAGCTGAATCTCCGCGCCCCCGTACTCGAGCACGCCGGGAATCGCCGTCAGGGTCGTGAAAGCATATGACGCAACCTCTGACCTCGTCTTTGTGACCTTTGACAGAAACGTCGACTTGCCTACTGAAGGAAAGCCGACGAGCGAAATGCGCGCGTCACCGCTTTTGCTCACGTCGAATCCAGCGCCGCCGCCACCGCCTGCACCGGGACCGGGCTCGAGAAGTTGAGCTCGCAGTCGGGCAAGTTTTCTGCAGAAGTCAGCATGGCGCATCGAACGTCGCAGCAGCTAGCGCGACTCCATCAAGTCTGATGGCGGAGGCAAACATACCCTTTTAGTAGACCAAGATGGTATTCTGTGGCCTTGTTTTCTAGTTGCCGGTTAGTATCCGGTTTCATCCAAAGTCATGAGGGACTATGTGGCCAAAGTCGCGAGAGTGGCCGATCAGCTGCAAGATCACGGAGACTCCGCCCGTCGACCAAACTGCAGCTATGAGACCTCCGAATAGGCCCGGGAAGAGAGTGACTTGGATCGTGCTCAACGACAAGCCGAATTGGGTTGACGTACTTTGTGTCCGCTTCATCTCATCCTCAATCCTGTGGTGACATTAGCGTATTGCGGCCTTCATTCATCGGCACGACTTACTCCTTGATCTTCTCCGTGATGTTCACCATGCTGGGCGGCTTTTATTTATAGACGGATATACCGTCTCTGAGCACAGGGGTGGAAATTCGCAACGCTGTCGTGACCTGGAAGCAAATGGGCGAGTCTGGAGAGCGAGAGTTGGATATTCGAGGTGGGGGGTCTGGGCAGAATTACTGGGGCGAGGGGCGTCGGCGTGCCAGAATTAGTCACCGCCTGCCGTTCTGAGCACAACGCCATCCATTTTCAACCCAGCCTCGCAGACGTCGGCGCATTCAGAAACGTTTCCAACATTTCCGCATCAGCATCGCTCCTCGACCACACGTCCCTTTCGCCCGACTGGCTCTTCAAATACTCGGCAACCAAACATGGCCGACCACGAGGAGCAAGTCGCTACGGCGCCGTCCGTCGAGCAGGGTGGCGACGACCAGGCTGTCACAACAACAAGCACCGACGTCGCCGCCCCGACAGGAAAGAAGGTCGTCAAGAAGATCGTCCGCAAGAAGAAGCGCCCTGCGCGAGTACAAATAGACAGCACCGAAATCACGTCAGAACCGCCTCCGCAGACCGGCACGACATTCAACATCTGGTACAACAAGTGGGCTGGCGGCGATCGCGAGGCCTACCAACAGACCAAGGCGCGCGGCCGATGCAATATCGCGACGGATAGCGGCTTCACGCGAGCAGACTCTCAGCATGGAAGCTTCTTCTGCCTACACTTTGCGCGCGGACAGTGCCCCAAGGGACAGGACTGCGACTACCTGCACCGCCTGCCGGGAACCTACGACCTCTTCAGCCCCAACGTCGACTGCTTCGGCCGCGAGAAGTTTTCCGACTACAGAGACGACATGGGCGGTGTGGGCAGTTTCATGAGGCAGAACAGGACAATCTACGTGGGCCGAATCCATGTGACGGATGACATCGAGGAGATTGTGGCTCGCCACTTTGCTGAATGGGGTAGCATCGAGCGCAGTAAGTTTTAGCCTGCAACCACTTGCGTGATCATAAACTAACATCTCTAGTCCGGGTGCTGAACTCGAGAGGCGTCGGCTTCATCACATACACTAACGAGGCGAACGCGCAGTTCGCGCGAGAGGCCATGGCACATCAGTCCCTCGACCACGACGAGGTCCTCAACGTTCGATGGGCGACGGCCGATCCCAACCCGATGGCGCAGGCGCGAGAGGCGAGGAGGATAGAGGAGCAGGCCGCCGAGGCTATTCGGAGAGCACTACCGGCAGAGTTCGTCGCGGAGATTGAAGGCAAAGACCCCGAGGCGCGGAAGCGGAGGAAGATTGAGAGCAGCTACGGCCTCGACGGCTATGAGGCGCCCGACGAAGTGCATTTCGCCCGGGGCGCCAACGCCGTAAATCCGCTGGGCCGCCAAGGGCGCGAGGTCGAATATCATGCACCGCCCATGATTGAGAATGGGGAGCCGTCGGTCGAGAACGCAACACCACGCCAACCAGAGGCGGTGGCCGAGCAAGTGACGGGAATCTTCTCGGGGAGCACTCTGGCCGCCCTGAACAAGGCCAAGGTGTCCGTGGCGGCGAAGCCAAAGGCGGCGGCAGCGGCAGGCCCCTTGGTTGGTTACGACAGCGACAGCGATGACGAATAGGCAAGGCGTTGCAGCATTTGACGGGTTTGGGCAGCTACTAGAAGGACGTCTTTGTACAACTTAATCATGATACCATATGAAATACACGCTGAACCGAGCGCCATGCCTCTCAGCTGTTGAATATCCTCGAATACAAGAGCTCGTGCCGTCCAATCCACAAGTCCATGACGGGCACGCTCTGGCCTGCCTCCTCGACGGGCGTGTCCCACTCCCTCTCGATGACTGCGTCAATCATGCGCTGCACCTGCTCCCCGGCAAGCACCTTTTGCGCCTGGTACGGCCCAAACATGCTCGCCCGCACGGCCGCCGAGATGAGCGCCTTGACGTGGCTCAGCATGAAGACGTAGGCCGTCTGCCGCAGCGTCATGCCCACGACGGCACACACGGCGCCAAACAGCGGCGCCAGGTGCGCGGCCACAAGCGGCGGCACGTCGCCGTCCCCGCCGGCGCTGCTGGTCCCGCTCTCACGCAGCTGCGCGGCAAAGCCCCTCAGCACGGCGACGCCTCCCGTCGAGGCCACCTCGGGCGCGAGCACGGGGCGGAACGAGCGCTCCCAGATGCCCAGCAGGGCGCGGCCCTGGGCGACGCTCGCCCGGCGGCCCACGGTGCAGACGACGGCCGCGTCGAGCTGGTCGTCGAGCGAGGCGAGGGCGTCGGGGTGGCGGTGCGCGGCAAGCACAAAGGGCAGCGTCGTGGCGGCGAAGGAGGACAGCGACAGGGGCAGGAAGGAGGATAGCGTGGCGCTGCGCTGGGACGAGGCGTGCGCGAGGTACGACTCCAGGCCGCTGCTGAAGGCGAAGGCGCCGACGGGCAGGGCCGAGTCGGCGAGCAGGAGGAGGAAGTGCGTGGCCGTGGAGGTGGCGCTGCTGAAGGGCGCAACGGGCGTTGCTGGTGTTGCGGGTGACGAAGTCGAACCTGGAGGTGGAGCAAGTGTCAGTGGCATGCGCTCATCGCTGTGTGTATGCGTGCGCGCGCGTGGTGCTGCGCATATGTCGTGAACAACTCACTCAGCGTCAACGCGGGCCGATGAGCGACGACGGCGTCGGCCGCCGACACCGCACCAGCGGAGCCACCACCGCCATGCAGCCGCGCCTTGGCTTCGGCGAGCCGTCTCTCGAGGGCGGCTACCTCTTCGCGAAGAGCGGCGGCGTCCTGCGAGTCTGCCATTTCCTGCCCGAATGCCATGCGCGGGCGTCCATGAGGGCAGAAAAGCGGTTTGGTCGGGCAAGCAGGCGGGCGGCGGGCTGTTGGGGTGTCAAGACTTAAGAGGTTGGCCGGTTGTGAAAGTCGAGCGAGCCTGGGGCTGTTAGTCGTACAATTACGTGGGGAGAAAGCGCCGGATGCCCGAATCGGGGAGCCCAACTTATGCTTAGTAGCTCGACTTAGATTCAGGGTGGGTTGCACGACAGGCGAAACCGCCAAACATCTTGTCCGCCCAGCCATGCAACGGTCCCGACGGGGCAATTGTGCGGTCATGAATGCAATGAGCTGTGCATTAAAAATCCCTGCAGAATTGTTGACCTGAACACCGTGCTTACAGAAATACAACATGCCACTGTCGGCGGCGCCGGGTCCAACAGCATACTCGTCGCCGGATATCCCAACACCATACTCATGCCCGGATGTTCTCCTTGTCGTACGTCGCCTTGCGCCGCTGCGCACGCTTCTTGTCCGCCATCCTCTTCTCAATCCGCGCCAGGGCCGCGGCTCGCCTCTCGGGAGGCAGTGTCCCGCTCTTGGAAGTGTTTCCCACCAACGAGCTGCCAATGTAGTCGCCGCCGGCAGAGTCTGGCCCGCCTAGACGGGCGAATCGATCCCGCAGCAGGTCGATCTCATCGTTGCCACCTGCTCGCCTAGATCGGCTGCTTCTCGACGGCTTTCCCTGGCCAGGCAGCTCCCGCGCCGAGACGTCCTTCAGCTTGCTCGCCGCCGGAGTCGCGCCTCCGTTGCGGATGCGCCTCTCTAGGGCTTCGCCGAGATATGCCCTATTCCTCGGTGACCTGGGGACGAACGGCTGCCACTTAGGCTGTTCGAGGTTCGGTCGTTCCGTCAGGACGCCAAGTGCGCTTCTTGGGCCAGTTGCATCGGCCTTCTGGTACCTGTCGCGCAGGCTTTGAGCTTCGGAGGCGCGGACTTCCTTGGAATCCCCGAAGCTCAGCTTGCGCTGGGTATGGTTGCGATCTCGTGACTTGTCCTCCGTGGCCTCCGCGGCCTCTGCAGGCCGCTCTGAGCGGGCTTGCCGGGTCCTTGGTCTGACCTGCTCCACGTCGACCGCCTTCAAACTCTTGACCTCCTTCTTAAGGTCTGCGATCTTTGTGTGTGCACGCTCCAATACCGCCTTGGTGTCGGCTTCATGCGCCTCGCTCTCCGTGCGGAAGGCTTCGAACTCGTTCTTGAGTCGGCGAATCTCGTCATCTTTCTTCTTCGACTCTTCCTCCGCCTGTTTCAGCTGGGCTCGCAGCTCACGGGCCCGAGGCCCCGCCGCAGATGCCAGGTCGTCCATGTCGGCTCGACTCGCCTGTCCTTCAGCAACCTTGACCCGAGCCTTCAAGTTGGAAATTTCCTCTCGAAGCATGTCGAGTTCTCTCAATTGGGACCGTGCCCGGCGTAGCTCGCGCTGTGTTTCTATGAGTGTCTTCTGCGTGTTCGGTGAAGGGGCGACCTGTCGCCGCCGCTGCCCCCTCCCAGGCCCATCCTCGCCCTTCTGGCGCAAGAACTCGGCCAGGTCGCCCTCTAGCTCTTGAACACGATGTCGATACTGCGCGGCGAGCGACGTTTGCTTCGCGAGTTTAGAAAGGAGCGCCGTGGGTTCGTCGTCTGCCGACTGACGCTTCTGAGAGACGATTTGAGACGCGTTTTCCGCTATCCTCTTCTCCATGTTGATGACCTTTTGTTGCTCGTCTCGGAGTCGCTCGGCGAGCTGGATCGCTTCGGCGTCTTTTTGCTGAGCATAGGACTTGGCAAGTTGCTTATACTTGAGCAGTTTCTCCATCTCGGCCTTGGCTTCCTGGTGATATTTTTCGAATTCCCCCTTCCAATAACGGCCCGACTGCGAATGAGGCTCATTCAGGTCGAGCGTGATGTCGTTTGTGCAGTAGTCATCCTCTTCCTCTTCCCATTCGTCCTCTGAATCGTTTGTCGTTTGGCGCGTGTCGGCTTTGGAGATGTCGCCGGGCTTTTGTCGCGAGTTTTCGAGCGCCTCTGAAAGCGTCGTTCTTCTGTTGCTGGTGGTGGCCTTCATCGCGTTGATCTTGCCCGCCTCGCTCGATCCTGGAACATCGCGGTCGAAGGAAACGCGTTTGCGTCGAGAGGTGCTTGTCCCGGGCGTGAGAAGAATGCCAGGCGGCTTGGACGGTGTCCCTGATCCGGAATCCGATGGCCCCGTGCCGCTCTTGGTCGCCATTTTGTCGCGTGTCTTCCGGGGATCCTCGTGGGACGCAGCGGGGGTCCCAAACAAAGCGCTCTTGAACGCTCGGGCCGCGAACACGGGAGCGGGCGTATCCGGCTGATCTAGCTGAGTCGTATCTGTGACAAGTACTGGTTAGATGCCATTTGGTGGCACATGCCATTCGTTGCATCGCAGTGCGCCTACCTCCAGCATCCGCAGCAGGCGCGTTGTCGCCACGCTTCAGCATCCAGCCGAGCATTGCAGAGGCCAACGGTGCGCTGCCTTAATGCTGATGAAATGGGGGAGAATAGCCCTCGGCATCCGCGTCGCGAAGGCAGATTGGCGGCGCAGACTGTGTTGTGGCGGGTAAACGATGTTGGCGATGGATGGGATTTGTTTACTTTGGGAGGAACACAATGACAGCTGTGGTGGAGCGTCCACCTCAGTTTGTTGTCGGGCCGCATTGGTCTCTGCGCGCGTCAGGTGCAGGTGGTGCTGCAGACAAGGCGCCCACTAACTTGCCCATGATGGGGCCTTTAGGCCAGTGGCTTTGCGGCTCACCATAAAACGCATGTCATTGGACAGAGGATTTTAGCGCCTCCCGGTACTGCACCTAGCTACCTGGGCCCTCGCGTCCCTTGTTCAGCCTTGCTGCACAGCTGGCGACACCGCCTGTAAGAGCCGCCGTCCCGCCTCGACCAGCAGCTAGGTCACCCACTGAGGTGCGGCTCGAGGCCCGCCTGGCCGCCGCTGCGTCCCTGTCCACACGGCGTCCACCACCTTAAGCTAGCGGGTCGGTTCACAGCGTCCCAGCTACCCCGCCATCCACACAAACTCCCCGCGACGCAGCGGTACCTGGCGCATCCTCTTCCTGCTCCTTCACACCACATCCTTTCCTTCATAATACGGCCGAGGCGCACGAAAAATGGTCTCTTCGGTGTAAAGCGTCACAGCCTTGGCTGTGGCACTTACCAGGATCTCACGCAACTATGGCGTGGCGGACTCCCGGGCCATGGAAGACGCCGCTCAGCAAAGACACCAAGAAGGATGACTCAAGCTTTCCGGGCCTCAAGCCCACAACGCCGGACGCGACAGCCAAGATCGAGTATGAAGAGCTGCAGCATAATGAGCTGCTTGCTCTGGAAGCCATCTACGGCGACGACTTCGTGAAACACACCGATGGCCACAGCGCCTGGAAGGTGCGTCGCTCATCTATGCCCTGCCGCGCAGCCGCCACCATGCCGCCTGCTAACGAGCAATCACCAGAAAACCGAGCCGTCCTTTGATATTCACATCAAGGCGTCGACCGACAGCGACTTTGCAGTTACTGTTGGCTTTGTCATGACCGCTACCTATCCCAAAACACCTCCGCTTCTCACCGTCAAGGGCCTGGAGCACCTGCGAGAGGCAACGCAATTCAAAGTGCAGAAGTTTATTGAGACTGAACCCAAGATCTTTGCCAAAGATGAACAGGAAATGGTCGACAAGATTGTCGAGGGTGTCAGAGATATCCTTGAAGATGCTGCACAAGCAAAGGCCACTGGCAAGCACCTCCCGTCGCTCGAGGAAGAGCGCGAGAGGCACGAGGCCAACGTGGCCAAGCTAGCTCAGGAGCAAAAGGAGAAAGAGGAGCGCAAAAAGCTGGAAGAAACCCAGGAAGAGGAGCGAGTCATGTCTCAGATGCTCCAGCAGCAGCTCCAGCGCCAGCGACAAAAGGCAAAGGAATCCAGACAAAGCAGACGACCAAATGCTGGTGGAAACGGTCAACCGACGCAAAGCACGGAATCGGATGCTGAGCAGATCGACTTCGATCAGTACTGCGACACAACCGACAAGACCGGCAACGTCCTCACATTCAGATCAGTCTCTGGAAAGTGCGATGAGCGCCGAGGCCAAGTCTCCGTTGTCTTTACTGTTCGCCCTGTTCTTGCCGGCGGCCAGAGCAGCCAAACGTTGGCTCTGAAGGAAGCTGTCCTAAAGTCAAGTGGGAAAGACTGCAAGGATCTGAAGAAGCAGATACAGTCTCTCGAGTCTCGCCTGCAAGATCTCAAGTCCGGGAAGAAGATTCAGCATCGGCATCTCGTGGAAATCCTTGACTTTAAGGTGGAAAGTGGATTGCCCGATGATTCCGCGGCTTTGAACGCCTGGACCGTGCGAGTGCTCACGCCCTTGGCTGAGAAGGGCTCTCTGGACGAGCTCTTGGAGCTGGCTGGCCATCTGGGCATCGACAAGATTCGTTCTTGGACGCGAGACTTGCTCGATGCGCTCAACTTCCTGCACAACAAGAACATTGCCCACCAAGATATCCACCCGGGAAACATCTTGCTCTTCCGGGAGTCCACGGGCGAAGTTGTGCCCAAGATATCCGATGCGTGGTACCAAAGAGAGATCCACAACGCCAGTCTGCAGAAGCAGGGCATGCCTGGGCTCAACTCTGCAAAGTCCGCATATTGGCTCCCGCCGGAAATCGCAGCTACGTCGAAACCTCAGTACACATTCAAAACGGACATATGGGAGTTCGGCGTGGTCTTCGTGCAGATGATCTTCGGCCTCGATGTCCTCCAGAAGTATTCGTCGCCCAGGAATCTCATGGAGAGCCTCACTCTCTCACACTCATTGCAAGAGCTCGTCGGCCGTTTCTTCAAAGAGGACAAGCAGAAAAGGCCACGGGCTTTTGAACTCGGAGCCAGCGAATTCCTGGCCACGGATGCCCCTGTGCTTTTGGAGGAGACCTCTGCCGTCCTGTCGGCTACACCTTCCTTAACCTCGTTGCAGACGTATCCTGTAAAAATGCGACGCGAATCCATGAACAGGAACACAGCTGTCTCTCGATACACGGAGGATTTCGTCGAAGAAGGCCGACTGGGCAAGGGCGGGTTCGGCGAGGTTGTCAAGGCGCGCAAGAAGCTGGATGGCCAAATTTATGCCATCAAGAAGATCACGCAGCGTTCACATGCCAGTCTAACAGAAATCCTCAAGGAGGTGCGGCTCCTGTCGCAGATCAGCCACCCAGCCGTTGTGCGCTACTACAATACTTGGGTTGAGGAAGTGCCCGAATTGACGGACACCGAAGGCGAGACGTCCACTGACGACTATACCGAGGAGACTCGAGAGACGGGCTCGGCTGGCATCGACATACAGTTTGCCACGAGCACAGGCGGACTAGATTTCATGTCATCCAACGCCAACATCGACTTCGGCTACGAAGATGACAGCGACGACGACGAGGATGATGATGACTCTGACGACGACGAAAGCTCCGTCGTTGACGACGCGCCTGGCAACCACCCAATGTCGCCTGGTAGGGGGAGGCATACGGCTATGCCACGGCGCCCTCGATTTCACCGACCGTACCGCACCATTCTGTACATATCGATGGAGTACTGCGAAAAGAGAGTAAGTTTTCTTCTGGACCTACGACTTGCGTCACTTTGCCGTACTAATCGGCTCAGACCCTGCGAGATCTGATATCTCGCAACCTCTACAAGAACACGCCAGAGATTTGGCGTCTTTTCCGGCAAATTCTGGAGGGGCTGGCACATATCCACGGCCTCAGCATTGTCCACCGCGACTTGAAGCCCGAGAACATATTCATCAGCAGCAGCGTTGATGGAGTCGACAACGTCAAGATCGGCGACTTTGGCCTGGCAACGAGTGGTCAGTTTTCAGTTGATAAGGCCGCAGCTAACACTCTCGAGACGGCCGACATGACAATGAGCGTTGGGACAGCATATTATTCGGCCCCCGAGGTCAGGTCGGCCGCTAATGGTCAATACAGCACCAAGGTGGATGTATGTTCACGTCACTTGTTCATCACGTCGCTCCGCTAAACACAAGCAGATGTATTCGCTTGGCATCATCTTCTTCGAGATGTGCTACCAGCCTATGCTGGGCATGCAAAAGGCAGATGTCATTGGGAACCTGCGATCACTCAAGCCAGAGCTTCCGGCCGACTTCAAGCCCGCCGAGAGAACTCAGACGGAAATTGTCTTATCGCTTGTCAACCACAGCCCCAAGGAAAGGCCATCCGCTGCGGAACTGCTGAAGAGCGGTAAACTGCCGGTTCAGATGGAAAGCGAAACGATCAGGCGCACGCTCGCGGGCTTGTCGGATCCCAGCTCGCCGTACTACTCCAAGATGCTGAGCACCCTGTTTAACAGACCTGTCGAGCCCACGAGAGACTATGCTTGGGACATGTTCGCCAACACTCCAGGCTCAACTGAGCTCCTCCACCAGAGCGTCGTCAAAGACGCGCTCACAGCCGTCTTCCGTCACCACGGGGCGTTGGAGATGCCTCGCAGCTCCATCTATCCCAGGTCGAATCATTACGGAGAGAATGTGGTGCAGCTGTTGGACCCCAACGGAACGGTTCTCCAATTGCCGTACGACCTGATCATGGGGAATGCTCGTATGGTGGCCAAGCACCCAAACACTATCCAACGAACCTTTACGTTTGGCAGCGTGTACAGGGACAGGCAGGACACCGGGCAGCCCCAGGTTTTCGGAGAGGTCGATTTCGACATTGTCACGCCCGATACATTGGACTTGGCGTTGAAAGAGGCAGAGGTCATCAAGGTTCTTGACGAGATCGTGTTCACGTTTCCATCTCTCTCGTCAAGCCAGATGTGCTTCCACGTGGGCCACTCGGATCTGCTCCAGCTCATCTTTGAGCACTGTAGAGTTCCCACTGCCTCTAGGCGAGTAGCAGCGGACGTGCTAAGCAAGCTGAACATCCACAGTCATACGTGGCAGAAGATCCGTATGGAGTTGCGCTCGCCCGCGGTAGGCGTCTCAGCGACTAGCGTCGACGAGCTTGCGCGCTTCGACTTTCGCGGTATGTTGCACAGCAGAACCACTGACAAGTCTCGGATCTGCGATGAGACAAAACTGACGATTCGCAGATACGCCTAACAAAGCTTTCGCGAAACTCAGTAAGCTGTTCGAAGGCACAGACATGTATCAGCGAGCCTCGCCCACAATCGCGCATATCAAGGAAGTGGTGGAGTACACCAAGCGGTTTGGAGTCGCCACCAAGGTCTACGTCAACCCTTTGAACAGCCTGAAGGAGAACTTCTATGTTGGCGGCATTCTATTTTCATGCCTCTATGACAGGAAGTCAGGGAAGGACGTATTTGCGGCGGGCGGGCGATATGACCACTTGATCAAGGAGCAACGGCCCAAGATTGGAGGTCGCGTCGACGAGAGGCATGCAGTAGGTTTCAGCCTGGCGTGGGAGCGGCTAGCGCGAATTCCGAAATCGGGAGGAAAGTCGTTTCTCAAGAAGCCAGAGGAGGAGATGACGAGCATGTTCTCGGGACGAAGGGTAAGTCTCTTCTCTCCTCTTCTGCTCGGAAATGTGGTTTTGACGCAGTGTGCGCCAGTGTGATGGTCTCGTTGCCAGCTTCGACACCGCCCTCCTTCGATCCACGGGCGTTGAAATTCTTCAACAGCTCTGGGCGCACGACATCAGTGCCGAGCTTGCCAAAGACGCGAGGTCTCCAGAAGACTTGCTGTCCAAGCATCGGGACGAAAATTACTCTTGGATCATCATCATCAAGCAGGACTCCATGCTGAAGATCAAGACGATGGGCAGAAGCGATGTCGCCGATGTCGATATTCCCTCATCGCAACTACTTGCGTGGCTGCGGCCTCAGATCCGCGAGCGCGACTCCAGAGTGGCCATGAAGCTTCGAGGCAGCGCATCGCAGGCCGAGTCGACGGCCTCTGGTGGCGGCGACAGGGTCTCAGAGCAAGAGGTCAAGGTGCTGGTGGCTCAGACGAGGAGCAAGAAGTTTAACCGCCGCACGGTAGTCGAACAGGCCCAGACCAACGCCGCAAACCTGGTGCGGTCATTCCTGGACGGTCCAATCCTGGCGGTTGAGACAACAGACCAGGTGATGGACCTCATCAGGCAGACAAGCATATCGGATCAGGAAAGCTGGCGCAAGGTGGACCACGCGGTCACGACGTCAGAGAAGAAGTATGTGCGAGAACTGCACGACCAGCTCGACACGTGGCGGTACGCGTACGAGAAGAAGAACGGAACGAGACACTCGTTCATCTACAACTTCCGGACGGGAACGTGCATCTACTACGACCTGGGCGACTGAGCCCACGATGACGCGTTCTGCGGGAGGCATGGGCCGGTACTGCAAGGGGGAAACGGCGCTGGGTAGCGATGTCGGAATGCGGCAACGATGGATCGTGTAGGCTGAGGGGATCGTCTACGGACGATGATGGGAAAGCGTGTGCCCGTAGCCATGGCTACGCAATGATGCAGCCGCAGTACTCAAGTATTTTAAGAAATAGATGCCACTCCACTGTGTCCTCTCATTCCACACGGAAGTCCATGGATGGTGTAAGCGACGGCCGCGGCCGTGCGCTGGAGCCAAGGCCCAGCCATGTCTGAGTCCAAAACGTCGGGCCCAACGGCCCGGATGTGGGAAGTTGGAGGATGCGCGGGAGACCCACGCCGCTTCCGCAAGGTCCGGCGAGCATGGCAATGCCATGTGCGCCGCGCAGCCGCAAGCGGCACGAGAATAGCAGCAACACCTCACTGTCAGCGAGAAATGTCTCGCCCTGCGATACAGTACTGTTTTACCTTGGGCAGAACGGCGGAGCGACAGGAATCTTCTTGCGCCCAACACCACCCTTTGACGAGAATGTACCAGAGCACAGTACCAATGGAAGAGCCTGGCTGTTGCATAGCGCCTGCGGCTGGAAGGGGCGGCGAGGCCGAGTCAGCGAGAAGACAGCCGTTGGTCCCGCGATTCATGAGACAGTCGGCCGGATGCGACGCAGCAAGACGGACGGCACGCGCTGCGGGCCGGATTGTGGGGGATGGGTCGGACGGCGTGGTGAATGGCTCGAGGTACGAGGCCCGAGGCACTTTCTCGCTTGTACGTTGTATGTTCTACGCGTCGGTGTCAGGTCCACGTTGTGGTGCATGGCGGGTGCCTTGATCTCATGCACGTCACGCAGCGATCGGCGAAGAGGACGTGGACGGAACGGGACAGACGGATGGATGTCGAGGGCGGCACGAGACCAGCGAGGACGGAACGCAACCCGGCAAGGTACTCACGTCCCCTGCCGGCGGTGGCTCCAGTGGGCGGTATTCGGCGCCGTGGGCGGCTGCTGCGTCGCTGGCCGCCCCGGATGTCGCTCGCTTGGGCACTGGAACATGAACACCACCAGCGGCAACTCGGCGTGGCCGCGCCGTTGAGCGACGCAGGTGGTGTGCTTCCCGTCTTGCCTGGGCATTGGGCTTGTCTCGACGAGTGTTTTGGGGCTCCGGGCTCGTACCTCAGGCGTCTGACCGCTGGACCGCATGGCGGATAGCGTGGCGGACCCACCGTTGTCGGGCATCCCATCCACCCATCCACGGGCGGGCATACAGGACTGTGGCGCCCCAGACAGGAGGCTCAGGCGCTGAAGCAGCGCAGAGTCTGAGGCGGTCACCTCATCATTCAACACCGCCCGGACGCCCGCCCCGGTCAGTCCGCGCGACTCTTATTACGGTGGCGGGGCACCTGATGCCGTCACTCGCCAGGCGCTGACCAACTCGCTGTACGGTGCCTGCCGTCCACTGCCGCCTTTGTCGGAGGCGATCCTTTTTAGGCTCCGCGCTCGCTCCAGCCAACACCATCCGTCTCCTTCGTCTCGCAGCCTGAATCCCCTCACCGTCTTCTCTCCCTTTTCTTCTCTCCCGCTCGCCCACTAACGTGTCTGACTGCGAAACCTCCCCCCTCGACGACCACGACCCGACTCTCGCCCCCCCACCCGTCGCACGTGCAACCACCCGTCCAGCCCTGTCTCTGACTCTCGATTGTCTCTCCCTCCCCCACGTTGTGCTCGCCGCTGCCGGGATCCGCTACCGACCAGCCGCCGAGTCCGCCGCGCTTCGAGTGTGCCACGCCCGTCCCGAGGTCGACTTGCACGGGCATTTGCCTATTTATAAACGGACTCGGAATCGACGCTTCCATCAAAGGGCCGCGCCAGGCCAGGCCGTTCACGAATATTTAAAGACGCCTTTTCTCGCCGTTTGCCACCCAAATCTCCTGCCTGGCTGACACACCATAACCCGGCTGGACAAGAACCGTCGTTACCATGGCGCAGAAGCGGCTAATGCAAGAGTTGATACCCCTCCACAAGGAGAAGTGGGTGCACATTGAGGTGCGTTGCTTTGTCTGCCGACGGAAAGACTTGGAAGCTGACATGGTTCTCTAGACAGATGAAGTTAACCTTTTGCGGTGGAAGCTCGGGCTTTGGGTTGTGAACCCTTATAGTGTTTGGCATGGAGCGTACCTGCGGGTGGGTTGAAGATCCCCTATTCCAAGCCGTCATCCGGGGTGATCGTTGTGCTAACCTTGCGGCTCGATAGGCGGAAATGAAGTTCTCCAACGAGTACCCGTACCAGCCGCCGACCTTTCGTTTTCTGACTAGGAATATCGTTCACCCCAACGTCTACTCGGACGGAAACCTTTGTATCTCGATCCTCCATCGGCCCGGCGATGATGAGCAATCTGGGGAGCTGGCGAGCGAGCGTTGGAACGTGCTCCACGGCGTCGAGTCCGTTCTGCGCTCGGTGCTCCTGCTCATGGACGACCCTGAGATCAACTCTGCCGCGAATGTGGATGCCAGTGTGCTCTACCGCGATAGCCGCGAGGAGTACGACGCCCTTGCGAAAGCCTTAGTTGCTAAGACACAAAAGGACGTGCCGGACGGCGTCATGATGCCCACCCCCGCGCAGCTGGCGCCCGTGCCACAGAAGCCCGTCGAGGACGACGCCGACTTCTGGAACATGTCGGATGTGGAGGACGACTTTGGAGGCAGCGATAGCGACGAGGACATGGGCGACTTCGACGACGACGATGAAGACGAGATGGACGAAGAGGACAAGCAGTAGCTGGACATCTATCGTCGTCCTTGTCCGTTTCGTATCCATGTTCTGAACGTCGGCTCATCCTTCGCATCTATACCACACTGCATAGCGGGTCTATCTTCTTCCGGCGTTTCTCAGCGCAGGCGTCTCAGGCCGGAAGCGCCTCACGACGGCTGTTCGTGGACCACTTTTCTTTGTTGGGGTTTGGGAGACTGGAAACGGAGTTTGCACCAGGGCATCGGGACTCGGTGACTGGCTTTATTTGCCTTTCGTGTTAGGCATTGATTTGATAGACGGCTTATAGACGTAAGCTTGCCACGCGTATTGGACCCCCGCTGACCGTTGACCGTGCCACATTGCGTGTCCCGTGACCGAAACCAAGGGCAGTGTACCCAGTGACGTTGCGTCCCCAAGTCATGGAGGCAGTGAACAGGTAGCGCAAATGCGTCGTTTGATTCACTGCATAGCTCTATTACCATGGATTCGTCATCGAGTTTTTACGCTGTGGCGAGCGGTGGCAGCGCTTGTGCCAGGGCCTGAGAAGCAGTGCGTCACTGCGTCACTGCGTCACTGCCACGGGCTTATCTTATCGGGCGGCCAGGCCCCATTCTAGCGCTGGGCGTTGCACTGAGACCTCACCTCAGCAACTTGAGGTGGGTGCAGCAAGCGCTTCCAGCACCACAAAACCACCAGCGCGAGTCGCCTTCGCGACGCTCCTTGAGATCGCCGTGTCGCATCGCGAGCTCGCTTCCCGCACTTGCTACATCATTCCTGCCGCTCTCCGCCGCTCCCCCTAAGCTACCTAATTGTGCTCCTGCGCCAGATCCCTGTCTTCGCACGTGTCGCCGTGCGCCAGCCACGACCGAAGCTTCCCTGAGCTCCTGCACTCCAGCATTCCCGCGATCCCCGCCGACCCACGACGAAGACAATCGCGAACGCCGCCGATGCATCGGTCCCGAGGACCCTGAAGCGGCTCAAGATGGCTTCCAGGGAGCCAACGGAGGAGGAGATTTCGCAGATCCTCGAGATTGCCAACTTCGACCCGCACGATGACCGGGCCATGGTCATCCAGGCGCTGAAGGTGCGACTTCCCGCTCCGAAACTCGACCCAGCGTCGCGACTGCCCTGCTGATGACGTGTGTTATAGAGCAACGGCTGCAACATAGAGACGGTCCTGATGCAGTTCTTTGACAACTCCGCCAACGTACGTCGGCCCCGTCCCCGCGCATGCATGCAGTCGAGCACGGGCTAACCGCGTTGCAGTTTAGGCAAAAGTATACCCAAGTATGGAATGAGAGCATGTTTTCTGCCGATAGAGATGGTAGCGATAACAACGCGGGCATCTGTGAGTGTCCAGCAGTCAGGCGGGCACGGTCAGGATGCTGACGCGTGCAGCTTTTCACGTCGAGTCGATGGGCCAGAACGAGGTCATACAAGGCGTCACACCTCCGCCCGAGAACTACGGCCCCGGAGCCCCGTCAAGACCGCCTTCGAGGTCAAACGATCGGTCGCCCCTCGGGAGAATGGTGGATTGGGCCGCTGGCCCAGACGCGCCAGGTACTGCCGACTTCCTTTCCCGCGTGAACGCGGCTCTAACGCGAGACCTTCTAGGTGCTTCCAATGCACAATCACGGGAGGACGAAGACATGCAGCGGGCTCTCCGTGAGTCGGCACAGGAGGCTGGAATAGCCCTGCCGGTCCAGGAAACAGGCGTTGTGGACTCGTCGTCTTCTGCTCCTCGTTTTGGACCCGCTAACCGCGGCGAATACGATCAAGACAACTGGGCTATGATCCCAGCCGAATCGAACAATGCGAGTTCGCCAGCGCCGGAGGCCAGGAAGAGAGCCACAGGAGCCCCTGCGTTTCTTGTCCAGGGCCGGTCCTCGTTCGGAGAGCATCGCCTGGGAGGCTTGCTGACCATTCTCCACGAGATACCGCTTGCTCGAAACGTCTTGCTGCAATGTGGCGCGGCTGCGGCATCCTATGGCTTCAACAGTGACTGGTGGAATGGCCAAGAGATACTGGCGCCCGACGTCTTGGCCAAACTGCAGTCGGGTGAGCTTGGATGGGGCGACAGACACGTCGAATCTGACGCCAGTCATGAGGAGATGCACCGACTCATGGCTTTTCTGGACTCGACAGAGCGCAGTTACGGCACCGTGAGCGTTTTGACTGACATCATTCCCTATTCCAGCCTCGGTCCTGAGAAACAGTTCTACGAGCAGCTCACCGAGCAGAATGGGGACTTGATCAAACCGTTGACCCAGGTTGCGACCTTGGCACGCGTGCTCGGCGGCAACATTGGCGATGACGAGGCCAAGTTCGGCCTGCTAGAGATTGAGCATCTCCGAACCGATTACAAGTACATCAAGACCCTGTATGAGTCGCTCGACCACATCATGTGGAGCGATGCTCTCGCCTGGGGTGAGCTGAACGAGGAGTCTAAGATGGCCGTGTTCAAGGAAATGGGCGAGGTCATCACCATTAAGGTTGGAGGCGATGGTCCTGCGGATTCAATCGACATCCCCCTTGAATTTTACCCGGAGAAGTATCTCGACTCGCGCAAAGATGAGGCGCGGCGGATACAGCAGGGTTGGTGCGACACGAAGGAGCAGATTAAAGACATTGCCCTGGCTCAGCAAGAGCTGCACCACTGGCTCAACGATTGGAATCATGAGTCATTTGACAAAGGAGACGTACTCAAAAAGGTAACGGCGCAGTGGACTGCCTACCGCGAATATCTCACTGGCCGCGGGCGGTTCCGAGGAATGGAGGAATCTGGATTCGACACGGACAAGTATCCAGACTACCGGGCTGCGCCATGTACAATGAACGAAGAAGAGCATGGTCATCAACAGAAGGTGGAGGAGGTCCTCGAGGCAGCGAGCCTGGCCGTCGCCGACATCGAGGCCAAGATGAAGGGTGCGTGCTCGCCCTCGAATGTCATTATGTGTCAAGAAACTGACTTTGTGCAGCCACAAACGAGCAGCTGGAACGAGTCCATGCCAAGCAACGTGCTCTCGGCAGACTCCTTACCGACCCCAACAAGCAGGGTCGACCGCGGCCGATGACGTGCAAAAAGTATCTCCTGCGCGGCGTAGCGACACCGAACGACGTGATTTACCTCTGCCAGCGCTCTGAGCCAGACTTGATTGAGTTGGACGAATCTCCCAAGCCGTTGGACCAGTGGTGGAGACTGGCTTACGCTCCAAAGGACGACAGCCTGGTCAAGGCTGAGGTATGAGGACAGATATCTTCGTATTGATATTGAATCGGCTAACAGTCACCAGAAAATCGAGGTTGAACGCGTCCTCCGTGAAATGTGGCAAGAGACGAAGAACCCGCTTCTCGTCTATGCCACTGAGGATGCACTCGAGACGCCACGGGAGCCACTGTCGGCACCCCTGGATAGGTTCGCGCGGGCAGAGAACAAGGCCTTCCGCCAGGAGCTGAACCGGGAGGTGGCAGAGGTGGAGTCACGGAAGGCTTCATTGGTCGACCCGATATCTCCGTCCAAACGCAAGCACCGCTCGGACAGCCCCGACTCCATGGACAGCAATCGAGCTTCAATCGGTAGCGTGGACCAGGGCGGCTTCGACAATCCATTTGAGGAAAACCAAGACATGAGGGAAACCGAGATGATGGACATGTCGGGACAACAGTTCTCTGCCGATGCAGAGTCGACCGACGTGACTCCGCCCGCTCCTTCGAGCCGACAGCCTGCGCTCACGGAGAGCACCTCTGCCACGCTGACCCCGAACACGCTGCCGGCTGAGGACCTAGACTCAGTGGGTGCAGTCCAGGGGCAGTCACCGCTCGCAGGTAACGTTGACAGGGCGGACCGAGCGCCTGAGATGCAGGAACGATCGCGACCACCAGCCTTTATATCACCGTCCACAAGAGGCTCTGGCCAGAATGGTGGAAGCAAGACGAGCATAGACATGGACATTGGTGAGCATGAAAACTAGCGCCCGCACAGTACGTTTTGCACAGCTAGGCGAGAGACCCATGCAGTTTGCATTCTGGAGCCCAGGAGAGCTGTCGGGGTGTTCTGTGTGAGGACAGAGGGTGTGGTTCACAGGGCTGGAGGCTGAAGGAGTCTCGGGATGAAGGCATTCAGACGATGCAAGCGTTGTCGCTTTGTTGATGTCGGGAACAACTGTAGGGCTAGGCGTCGTGGCGCAGGCGCATTGCATAGGCACAACACAATGACACTTTGTATCATTTCACCATTGAGCGTCTACGCTCGGGCATTCACTCCGTAGCGCCGCCGGGTCATGGCCGCGTGCATGTTCACCGCCAAACCCAGCGGGAACGAGAGTGAGGTTGCTGCATCCAATCAGGGAGGGTGAAGCTCATGTGTAGATGGAAGCTTCTAGAAAGTTCCATGAGTGATCTGGTTGGCATGGGTGGTTGAACACGGGATTTTCCCCGTTTTACCGGAGTCTATGAGCTCTGTGAGAACTGCCTACAGCTTCTTGCGGATTCGGATACAGATTTGGCGTTCTACGGTTGCGTTGATGCGTGATCTGGTGGAAGTGTCGACTTCGGGGTCGGGTGTTTGCGCGGCCGCTAGTCGGGATGAAGGCGGGTTGCAGGCCCAAGATCCCCCGCTGTGGGACGACGATGACCCCGCCATTGCGGCCGGGCGTCGTCATAGGCGGGCAATCAGGGCACTGCGGCGAGGCGGCGAACCACCTCGCCTGCTTGCCTCGCCGGGACGCCTCCTGTTCAATGCAGCGACGGCGGCTGGTCAGGCGTAATGTGAGGCGATCCGTGCTTCGGATTATGACTGACTCTGCCCCTCGTGTATGGGATGAGACGGAAGGATCGCGAGCTGCGTTAACTATTTCGTTTCTGACTCTGGTGGTGCGAATAGCAAACCATTTCCGGACGGGAGCAAGCAGCGGCCGTGAGCGGGACGTGGAACTGGCGGCCGGGTTTTTGCGTCATAGTTGGATAAGGTCTGCTAGCGGGCCCCCCGCTTGCTCCCGCGCTGGCCGCAGGGAGTTGCGTCGCCGAGAACCCCGGCGCGCGCTGCGATCAGGTGTCGCCGTCCGCTGCCGAAAGCCACTGGAGAGCCCGAGAGAGGCGTGATGAGGTGAGGAGGTGGTGGCCACTGGGGGTGGTGGTGGCTGCTGGACCGCCGCAGCACCCTGTTGGAAGCTTCCACAAGCTGCCCGCCGCTCCAGCAGTCGGGCGTCGGCCCCACTGAAAGCGGCCATTCACCACTCCATGCCGCCAACGTCCAGGCCAAGTTCTAAACATCCACCACCACCCCATCCATCCACCAGCCTGCATTCACTTCCCTCTCTCTTCTTGCATCCCGCACAGAAATTCAATTGCTAGCACGCACCAACGCACGCGACAGCCTCACACCAAGCAATAGCCGACACACTGCGTCGCACACCTTAATACTCTGTTTCTCTCCTAATACACCTACGCATCCCTCGACGTTAGGCCCGGATCGTCGAAACACGACAAGCTCATCGTTGCTTCGCCCGCTCTCACAAGACAAGGCCAGAGACCAATCGTTTGCGTGGGAAGCCAACTGCTGTTGGGTAGTTGCCCGCCATGGTGAAGGAGACCAAGCTCTACGACACCCTCAACGTGAAGCCAGAGGCTACACAAGATGAGATCAAGAAGGGCTACAGGTACGTTTTATACTCCCTGCGTTTCTTTCCACACCGTCGGGCATCCGGACTTTGCGGGCGCGAGTCAAGCTCGCCACTCCGCAACCTCCGTCGAAGGCGTGCTTCCCTGCCTGTTCCGTTTGCGCCCCTAGATCGTTCCATATGCTGACTACATGACTGTACAGGAAAGCAGCTCTGAAGTGGCACCCCGACAAGAACAAGGACAACCCCAACGCCGCCGAAAAGTTCAAGGAGTGTTCTCAGGCGTACGAGATCCTGTCTGACCCCGAGAAGCGCAAGATCTACGACCAGTACGGCCTCGAGTTTCTGCTCAGAGGAGGCGCCGCTCCTCCCCCCGATGGCGCCGCCGGCGGGAACCCCTTCGCCGGTGCCGGTGGTATGCCCGGCGGCTTCGACTTTAGCGGCGGCATGCCCGGAGGCGGAGGCGCCCGGACATTCCACTTCAGCACTGGCGGAGGCCCGGGCGGTGGCTTCAGCTTCAACAACCCCGAGGACATCTTTGCCGAGTTCATGCGCCAGGGTGCGGGCGGTGGTGGCCACGGCGGCGACGCCGACGACATTTTCTCCGCGTTTGGCGGCGGCGCGGGCGGTCGCGCTGGCCGTCCCAGGATGAGGACGTCTGGGTTTGGCGGCGACCCGCGGAAGCGCGAGCCCACGCCCGAGATCACGACGGTGGAGCGGCCGCTGCCGCTGACGCTTGAGGAGCTCTACAACGGCGTCACCAAGAAGATGAAGATTAAGCGAAAGACGTTTGATGAGTCCGGAAAGCGCGTGCAAACGGACCAGATCCTGGAGGTGCCGATCAAGCCGGGCCTGAAGAAGGGTTCCAAGATCAAGTTTAACGGTGTTGGGGACCAGGTCGAGGGCGGTCGGCAGGATTTGCATTTCATCGTCGAAGAGGTAAGCAGTCACGCTGACGAGGATGAAGACGGGACTAGAGATGCTAACTACTGGATTACAGAAAGAACACCCGCTCTTCAAGCGCGAGGATAACGATATCGTGCACACAGTCGTCCTGGAACTCAAGGAGGCTCTCACGGGATGGAAGCGGACCGTCACAACGATCGAAGGCCGCCAGATCAACCTCGACAAGGGCGGCCCGACGCAGCCCGGGAGCGAGGACCGGTACCCTGGTCTGGGCATGCCCATCACAAAGAAGCCAGGCCAGCGGGGCGACTTTGTCATCAAGTACAAGGTCAACTTCCCGTCGAGCCTGACGCCCGCGCAGAAGCAGCAGCTGCGGGAGATTCTGTAAAGCGGCGGGGACAGACGAACAGGAACGGATCCTGCGTATTTGGGATGGTTGTTGGTGCAAGCGTGGGGTTAACGAGAAATTGTGGTATCGATTTCGCGGAGAAGGGGATGGAGCGGGCGGCCGGAAGGTTTCTGGCTGACTGCTTGCAGAGTTTGTTACCAAGTGATGATGCTGATGATGATGACGACGGATTCGGAAGGGAAAGGCGCCCCCGACGGGCAGGATGGTGTACACGGCGTTTTAGGATTATGAGATTTCGTTTTGTGTCGGCACTTTGGCCTTAGCATACGGCATTAGCATCTGGGTCGAGGTAATAGGACCGAATTATGGAGAGGTGCAGTTTTCAGGGAAGTGAATGTGGTGTGGTTGTGAAGCCGCGCTTGTGCAACAGCAACAACATGCATTTCTCGGAGGTACATTATGCACCTCGGATCGACACTTGGCTAGTTAGAAAGTAGTTGTTGAGTTGAAAAGAAGGATTGAGACCTTTGTTCACCATGCAACTTATGTAGTCGATGTATGGGGCAAGCCGCGGACAATGGCGACGGGCCGGACCAGCCACCATCATGCGCACAAGCCAACCTCGAATGACTGCTGCCGCAGGTGCATTAGGCCCCGCCCGCTGCCGTACCTAATAGAGGTCGCCGCCTCTGGCGCGCGCTGTCGAAGCGGGCTGGCCCACCCCGGCCACGGGGCGGCCGTGCCTTGCACATGATGGGCCCGAGCCTGAGCCTCGCGCAGCCAGAACCGGAGGACGAGGATGGGCAGAGCCAGGGCGCGAATCACGCGGTCGTTGGCACTGTCGTCGGCTGGCACGAGCGAGCCAGATGACCACCACCAGATGCACCTTTTCCTTTTAGTGGGTTTTGGGGGGCCTTGTCTACACATAAGCATATCGCTTGCATATATGGTAGTTAAGTTGGCGGTAGTGATTTCTGTGTCCCGTCAGCATAGGCGCAGAGATGATGACGGGATGCAGACATGCAAATGCACGTCGGCGCTTTGGCGGACATGGCGGGGTGGGTGGTGGGCTAACTACAGCAAGCTGGTGGTGCTGGCCCCCCCTGCTGGTGCCAATGGGCAATGACGACACTCTTATGGAGGGGGAGGGGCAGCACGCCCGCCCACCAGCCCGTCCGCCTGCCCGCCTTACCATGCCTTGTTGCCTTGCATTGCCTTGCCAACTTGCCTTGCGGCTGGCTGGTGGTGCTCGTGGTGGTGGTGGTGGCATTGGTGGAGGGGCGGCGGCGCCTTGTCTCGGGGAGACTTTGAAAGCCATTCTCAACGGTTGCCCGCCCGCCCCCATGCCACCTTTCGTCCGATCGATGGAGGGGCTGGCTGGCTGGCCGGCTGGCTGGGCCGGTGGTCGGGAGAAGCAGGACAATTTGGCAACAGTCGATGCTTGCGGTATTTACCAAGCAAATGGAAAGCGCGGGCGTAGCACAGCAAATACAAGGTGCAGCAGACAACCCGCGTTCCGAGGCGTGATGATGAATGAGGTGCATGTAAATAATCTGTAGGCGCCTGCCCGCCCGCCCTGCCCCGCGAGGGAGGCAGGCGCCGCCGCGTTCCTGGGCCTCGTTCCTCCCCTAACTGCCCGCCTCCAATCCACTTCTTCCTCAACATCCCGCAACCAAAGGGCACAGCTGCTGCGTCCACCACTCTTCTTCCTCTCCCTCCTCCCCATCCCCCACCAAAAAGCAATTCTTCTTCTCGCCTTCTCGCACCACGTGTCTTTCGTCCCCTTTGCCATCTCAGCGTGCTTCCCCCCCGCTTTCTCATCTTCATCTTCCTCCTCTCCAGCTTCTCCAGCTTCTAATCCGATCAATTGCTCCCGCTGCACACCAAACCGCCAAGATGCCTGAGGTACGGCCTGTCCGCCGATCCCCCTCCCTCCCCTCCTCCCCTTGAAGATTTCCAGTGCCTGCCTCAACTATGCTGGCCCGTGTCCCCGTGTTGCAGAACTACAAAAAATGGACCGTGGGGAAAGGTGGCTGACGGCATTGGCTCTTCTAGATCACGACCCTCCTCTTCGACTGCGACAACACGCTGGTCCTCTCCGAGGAGCTGGCCTTTGAGGCCTGCGCCGACCTGATCAACCAGATCTGCAAGGAGCGCGGTATTACCGTGTCCTTCACCGGCGACACGCTGATCAAGGAGTTTGTCGGCCAAAACTTCCGCGGCATGCTCACCACGCTGCAGAAGCAGTATGGCATCGACATCGTCCCCGACGACATGGAAAAGTACGTGCGCATGGAGGAGGACGCCGTCATCGCCAAGCTCAAGGCCGCCGCCAAGCCCTGCGTCGGCGTCGACGAGCAGCTCGAGCGCCTCGCTGCCGAGCGCAAGTACCTGCTGGCCGTCGTTTCCTCGTCGGCCCTCCGCCGTGTCCGCGCCTCCATCGAAAAGGTCGGCCAGGACAAGTACTTCCAGGGCGACGTTGTCTTCTCCGCCGCCACCAGCCTTGAGAAGCCCACCAGCAAGCCCGACCCCGCCATCTACCTGCACGCCCTCAAGACGCTCGGCAAAAAGGCCGAGGAGAGCGTCGCCATCGAGGACAGCAAGAGCGGCACCCTGAGCGGCACCCGCGCCGGCATCAAGGTCATCGGCTACGTCGGCCCCTACCCCGCCGACAAGCAGCCCGAGATGGAAAAGGTGCTGCGCGACGCCGGCGCCGTCATCGTCATGCGCGACTGGTCCGAGTTCCCGGCCGCGCTGGCCAAGGTGCAGGCAGGGGAGGTTTGAAACCCCTTTTTGGAACGAATCACGCACGGCCTCTTGCTGAGGAACGAAACCAGGCACGGCATCCCGCTGCTCACATGTGAACACGATGCGGCTAGACGTATGCATAGATATACGACGAAATGAAAAATGAAAGCCTTTTCTTATGGCGGAGCTTGTGTCCTTGGTGCAGGTCGCCCCTGAGTCTAGTTTCTCCAGTCCATGAGGAAGCTATTGACGCTTTGTAACGTCTGTCTGCTCGGGTTGCATTCCGGGTACGCCGTCATGATGCCACCGAGTCTGATCTTGACGAGCATCTTGGTGAAGGACGCACCCTCGGTCGGTGCGCGGACCCTGCCCTCATCATCAAACAGGTAGCAGGACAGTGCCAGCGCCGCTCCAATGGACACGTCCTTGCCTGATTCGCACCCGATGATGATCTGTGGCCTCTGCTGGCCCTTCAGCTCCGACAGAGATGCACCACTTCCATCTTGGTCATCAGGGCCCCTCTTCTCCAGGAACTTGGCGGCAAAGGAGCATATCTCTGGGAGCGCGAGGCGCAGGTTCCGCGCGGCGGTCTTGTTCTTGCCCAGGCCGACGTTCATGTACGTGGGCGACCGGACCCAGGTATCCTTGGGCGTAGGGGCGCTGCCCAGCGCGATGTGGCATGTCGTCGGTCCGCGCCGCGCGCCTGCGCTGTCTTCGGGGGCGGGAGGAGGGGCAGTGGCAGAGGCGCCGAGGGGTAGTGCGCAGACGGAGATTTGGGGCGTGAGGCGATGGGTTGTGATGAGCGGGGTGGTGGTGGAGGAGGAGGAGGGGGATGATGCCGTGCCGGCGGTAGTTGTGGCGGTGCTGGTGCCGGTGGCAGCGGTGGGTGAGGATGACGAGGGTATAGAGGATGAGGAGGACGCAGAGGCGACGAGCGAGGCGATGAGGTCGGGCAGCGCGTCGTCCGGGGCGGAGAGGAGCTCCGCGGTGTGCGCCCAGAAGAGCGAGGGGGTGAGGCCGTGGGCCCAGTTCTCCGTGTCGTCGGCGGCGCCTTGGATGTAGCCGCCTGCGTCGGCCTCGGTGCCGGCGAGGATGCGCTTGCTGGCGGTGAGGCATATCACGGGGCGGTAGTCTTGGAAGAGGGTGCCGTCGTCGTCGTCCTCCTCCTCCTCTTGCTCCTCTTCTTGCTCTTCCGCACCGCTACCGCTGTGATCATATCCCTCCTCATCAACGACCTCTACCCCATCACCATCACCATCACCGTCATCATCCCTCCCGTCAACACCCTCATCAGCATCGTTACCAACATCAACGTCCTCGTCGCGGAACCGCAGCGCCGAGTCCTGCGTCACCCACAGGGGCCGCAGCGGCTTGGTCAGGCAGCGCGGCAGCGCGTCGCCGAGGCGCAGCGCGCGCAGGGAGTCGGCGAAGGCGGGCAGCAGGGCGGAGACCTGGGCGTGCGTGGAGGGGAGGAGGTGCGGCGGGAGGTGCAGCTCCTGGGAGAGGGGGTGGTGCGGGAGGAGGACGCGGTTGAGGACGGCGCACCAGACGGGGACGGTGGTGGAGAGGGCGTCGGGCATGCCTGCGTTGAGGGCGGTTAGTCGATGTGAGTAGACGTGTTGGAGGGCCTCGGGGTGGTGGCAGGGCGGGTGATATCGTCAACGGGTAGGGGAGGGGGAGAAGTGCACGGGAAGACAGGGCAAGGTGGGGAGGAGGTGCGGAGGTGTTGAGGAAGAGAGGACTTGACTTGCGTTTTCCGCGTCTCGTAGAGTCGACGATGATGATTCTGCGATGTGAACCAGTTAGCCCTCTCTGTACTTATATCTCCGTCTTCCATCTCTTCCGCCTGTCTCTCACAGATCCCACCACCCAGTCTCCGCAGCTGAAGATAGGTGAGGCGTAGAGGCTTGAAAAGGAGGTGTGCACACGAGAGGTGTAATACCCGTCATTCTTCTCAATCATCTCAACGAGATGCAGGTTCAGCCTCCGCGTGCTAAACTTCCACGCCCGCTCGTGCCCATCCGTGCTCTTGAAGTACGCGCTCGCGGCTTTGGCCCCCGGCGGGACGTACCAGCTGCCGCAGCGCTCATTCGCTACGAGCGGGCGTCGCTGCCGTTGCCGTTGCCGTTGTCGTTTCCCCCTTTTCGTCTTCCCGTTCTTGGTCGTATTCATAGCAGTACTGTCAGTGGTGGTGGCGACAGTGGTTGTAGAGAGCGCCGCGGCCGCGCGCGACACAAACCGCGCGTCGGCGTGGATCGAGGCCAGGCGGTTATGCACGCTCAGCGTGGAGCGCTTGAGCGAGCCGAGCAGCGAGGACATGGAGGCGTGCTGCTCGGCCGAGGGGAAGATGAGGTCTGTGTGGCGCGGCGGGCGGGTGCTGCCGCTGCCCGTGGCCGCAGCCGAGGCCGATGAGAGCCCTGCTGGGTCGTCGGATGCCATGGCGGTGGGGGGACTCAATGAGTATGCGGTGATGAGGCGGGTTGCTGCTTGGGTGTCGTCGTGTAAGTGGTGAGTGAGACGAGACAGAGGTGAGGTTGAGAATTTTAGAGCTGCTGGAGCTTGGTGGTTGAGCCTTGGACGTGGGGGGTTCCACATTAACTACTTAAAATACTACTACATGAGAGAGTCGAGATGCGCCTCAAGCTATGTGCGCGGCACTGCGGTTGGTTGAGGCGACTTGAGAAAATTGCAATCCAAGTCCCGGTGTATGCTTGATATCGTTGTCATGATTCATTGTATAAACCTCCACTTATATACCGTGCCTTGGGCTACTTGTCTCACAGTCCCAGCATGGCCAACTTGCAGCCCACCGACTTTAGCCCAGCAGCTTTTCGCCCACCAACCCAACCTACACGCTATACGATCCAAAAAACAATTTTTTAGGTGTTTAAAAACTACACGCACTTACACCAACTTCCACTCGTCGCCCTCAACGACGATGCCAACCTCGCGGCCCTCGTCGATGCTCCTCCGGCCGGCCTCGAGGATGGCCGTGGTGGCAATGGTGTTGCGCAGGGTGGGCAGGCCCTTGGCGTCGAGGTCCTCGGGCTTGGCGGCGCCCGAGTTGACGGCGCGGCAGCCGTCGACAAACTTCTCGAGGGAAATGTAGCCGTACCCGGTCTGGCCGTTAAAGTTGCCGTCCTCGTCGGGGGCGTAGCGCATGTAAAAGGGGTTGAACCACTGCAGCTGGCCGGCGGCGTCGTCGGCGACGTCGTAGCCGCGGTGGGCCTGGTCGACGCGGATCTCGCCGTTGGCGGCCAGGTAGTGGAAGTACTGGTTGGTGTGGACGCCGGCGCGCTGGGGCGCGGTCCACGAGGCCGTGTAGACGCCGACGGCGCGCTTGGAGGGGTCGGCGGCCTTGGCCCAGGTGACGAGCAGGGAGATGGTGTCCTCGGTCTCGTCGGCGCAGCCGAGGTCGGTGGCGACGCCCTTGGAGGACGAGGCGGAGACCTTGACGGGCAGGTAGCCGAGCTGCTGGACCATGGAGTCGCAGATGTCGACGTGGTGGCTGTTGAGGTAGTACGAGATGTCGGACTCGCGGCCGGCCCACGACTTGAACGTCTCGAGCTGGTACTTGGGCTGGCTCATGTAGGCGTAAAAGTAGTTGAAGTCGCCGAGGGTACGCGCCTTGAAGCGGGCGTCCGAGTAGGCCGGGTCGAAGCGCTTGTGGTGCTCGACGAAGACGTAGACGCCGTTGGCGGCGGCGCGGCGCAGCAGCTCCTGGTGGTGCTCGAGCAGCTTGACGGCGGGCTTGGTGAGGAGGACGTGGACGCGGCGCTCGACGGCGTAGAGGGCGATGGGGTAGTGGGTCGGGTCCGGGGTGAAGATGGTGATGGCGTCGCCGGGCTGGAGGCCGTCGATGGCGGCCTTGTAGGCGTCCGGGTCGACCTTGTCGTTGGCGGGGAAGGAGTCGAACGAGGTGTCGAGCCCGTTGTAGGCCTGCGTGATGTTGCGGTCGAGGTGCTCGCGGATGGCGGGGAACTTTGTGCCGTTGACGCCCACCATGCCGAGCTTGCTGACCTTGCCGCGCCGGCGCAGGTCGAAGAGGGTGAGGCCGACGACGCCCACCTTTTTGTCCGAGGCCGAGGCGCCGCCGCCGACGAAGCCGGTCGTGTACTCGCCGGTGCCGATCTGAGGGATGTGTCCCACACGTCAGTACAATTGCACAGATCGAATGACGAAGCGAGGAACAGCAAGTGAGGCAATGGGAGGAGAGGAGGTGGCTCGTTGGAGTGACGATGCGGGGGCTGGACGAGGTTGACGAACCATCAACACATTGAGGGGCTCCATGGTCGGTGTCTCTCGAGGATTTCCGTTCAGTCTTGTTTCTTCAATTCAATGGATCAGCTGAGGGAGAATTGGCAGCACGACTGCGACACGACAAGAGGCAGGACGGGGCACAATTTGTATTGCGCGTCGTTGCACAGAAGAGGCACCGCAGCAGGTAATAAAGAGGTAGTAGGTAAGCTTCGGCGTTTGGGGCGCGCGACACACACACACACCTCAGCTCAGTTGCCGTGCATTTGAGTCGTCACAGGATGCGCCGCTAGTTGGTTGGGATGGAAGGGGTGGGTGCAGCAGCTCTGACGGAAGAATTGAGGGGCAGCGCGGGGCAGAGGCAGCCACAGCGGCCAGCCAAGGGCCAAGCCGTGCTGCAGCCTGTCAATTGCCGCTCGACGACAGGGGGGTGACAAGGCCCCTGGAGCTGGGCCCTGGCTGGCATTGGAGTGGCCCGCTAACGAGACTCAGCAGCCGTCCCAGGCGATTCCAGGGCGACGGCGAGGACCGAACCAAGAGCTTGACCTCGGGATGGGCCAACTGGGATTGCTGACAAAAAGGAGCCTTTGAGCAATAAATCTGTGTCTTTTATTACAATCATCGACGTATACTGTTACATACTCTTCGTGCGTGCGTTGCACAGCCCACGTCCAATATTCGCAGCGCCACTGAAGAGAAACAGCGTCCATGGCTAATCCCGTCGGCTGTTGACTGCTGTTGGCTGCGGTGGTTGCTGCAGCGTGCAATGCCCGTGCCCGCCGCTGAGTGGTGGAAATTCCTCGCTGTCAATTTCTCCGAGCGCACCTCACCTCAGTCCTCTCGAGTCTTGGGTCTCCCCCGCCACGTCCGCCTCTGCAGCCGTGCGACAAGAAGCAAAGCATACACGTCGGGGGCAATGTCCCAGCAACAACGTCGCCTGTACCCGGAAGGGAGTGGATGGCGAACATTTGCATGGTTCCGGCCTCGTCCGCCAAGGCCATGGGATGCGCGGCCGTTGTCGGCTTCTGGTGAAGCTCGCATCCGCTTGGTGATGACGGACCTGTAGCTCACCATATCCGTAATTGCTGGGGGCTCCGGTTTATTACACGATGCATTTACCCCCAAGGCCAAGCGGCAAGTAACCAAGCTACTTTGCCATATTGCCCCCAAGGCAACAAGGGACGCAGGGAACAGGCCTCGTTCCTTCGGGTCAATTGCCCACGTCCACGGGTGTCGTGAGAACCCACATTCCCCAGCGCCCCGCCGCCCATCATCCGTTCAGGTCCTGGCGGGGGGTTGGAGCCTTGGAGGGGCCGCCGGCTCGCCGTCCCGATACCGACCCCGAGCCCGCCTGGCCAGCGCTGCCCCTCCGTCGTCGGCCATTGCCCACTTGCCCACCACCCCCTCGCCGCCCGTCCCTCTTATATGCGCGCCGCGCGCGCAGCCAGCCCATACATTTTTATCTTCTGAGACTGCTTCCAAAGGATCATCTTCAACTCGGACTCTCTATTTCTTTCGGAGCTCGGTTTTACTCGAGAGACATCGATCGTGCAACGGGACTTCCTTGCCGTAGCACAGCGCCGATCGCTCAGCTCGCTCACTCGCTCGTCCGCCCACTTACACGACTGCGAATAACCTCACCTCACTCACCTCACTCACCACAACCATGGCGCCGTCGTCCTCATCATCCCCCCGCCCCCTCCCCTGCGGCATCTACGCCCCGACAATGACCTTCTTCGACCCCACCACCGAAGACCTCGACATCCCCACCATCAAGTCCCACGCCCAGCGCCTCGCCCGCGCCGGTCTCGCGGGGCTCGTCGTCATGGGGTCCAACGGCGAGGCCGTCCACTGCACCCGCGACGAGAAGCTCTCCGTCCTGCGCGCCACCCGCGAGGCCCTCGACGACGCCGGCTTCCCCTCCGTGCCCGTCCTCTTCGGCGCCACCGAGGCCAGCGTCCGCGGCACCATCGAGCTGTGCCGCCTCGCCGCCGACCCGGCCCACGGCGGCGCCGACGCCGTCCTCGTCCTCCCGCCGTCGTACTACCGCGCGCTCGTCGACGAGGACACCATCGCCGACTACTTCGCCGCCGTGGCCGCCGCCAGCCCCGTCCCCGTCATCCTCTACAACTACCCCGGCGCCGTCGCGGGCGTCGACCTCGACAGCGACTTGCTGATTCGCCTCGCGCGCGAGAACCCCAACATCCGCGGCACAAAGTTCACCTGCGGCAGCACCGGCAAGCTCACGCGCGTCGCCGCCGCGCTCGACGCAAAGACCCCCGCGGGCGAGGGCTCCGGATACATGGCCTTTGGCGGCATCTGCGACTTCACCCTCCAGACCCTCGTTAGTGGCGGCAGCGGCGTCATCGCTGGCGGCGCAAATGTCATGCCCAAGCTCTGCACCCGCGTCTGGGACCTCGCTGCCCAGGGCAAGCGGGACGAGGCCGAGGCTCTGCAAAAGATCCTCAGCCGCTGCGACTGGCCCCTCACAAAGGCCGCCATCGCTGGCACCAAGCAGGCCATCCAGCTCTACTATGGTTACGGCGGCTATCCCCGCCGCCCGCTCAAGAGGCTCGACGACGCCAGGATCGCCGCCATAAAAGAGGGCACCAAGGAGGCCATGGAGATTGAGAAGAGCCTGTAGAACGCGCATGCTGGATCAACAATGCGCCCAAATTGCATCCCGATATAGAGCCTGCATGTAAGCGCGGTCGCTTATGCCGTGTCAAATAAAACCCATTTATCAACTCCAAAGCAATGCGAATTGTTAGAGCCCGTCATCCCCCCACAAGTGTTCGTCGTCTTCTTCCCCCTCTGTCGACTCTACGCCGTCGCAGCAAGTCCCGCAAAACAGCGTCCCGCACGAAATCGACTCCCGCAGAATCTCTTCAAACAGGCTCGCCGCCGTCGGTCGAGCATGCTGATTGTGCTGCAGCATGTCCAGCGCCCAACCAACGGCGGCATTGTCCCCCGCAGGCGCCAGTCGTCGAAGCTCCTCTGCCCAGATCTGCGTGCTCTCCGTATTTGCATGAAACGCGGGTGTATCGCTATGCTCTATGAAATGTGTCCGGAGTTCCTGCGTCGTTTTGGCCTTGAGTACCGTCACTATTTCCAAAAAGATACAGCCCAGCGACCACATGTCTGCCGCCGTGTTTCGCGGCTCCACCCGAATGACCTCGGGGGCCGCGTAAGTCATCGTCTTGCCCGAGTCTGCCGTCGTCGTTGCCCTCGTCAGATTCTCCCAGCTGTGCGCTATGCCAAAGTCGGCGAGGAGCACTTGGTCGCTGCGCACAATGATGTTTTGCGGCTTGATGTCGCGGTGTCGCACCTTGGAATCGTGCAGGTATTGGACTGCACTCACGAGACAGCCAAAGAAGCCCCTCATGAGTGAGTGCTTGTCTGGCTCGTTCCTACATCTTGTGTAGTATTCGGCCAAGTTGTAATCACCGACAGGTTCCATGAGCAACGCAAAATACTTGGGGTCAGAATATGTTGCAACCTGCATCCACGTTAGCCGCAAGCCCCTCGCGACGACTCAAGGGCCTGCCCACCAGCGATACGCAGTGCCGATGTGTCACTCTCTTGAGGATGCCAAGCTCAGTCTTAAACGCTTGTACGTCCTCTGCCCGGAGACCCCTCGACTTGCGGAAGAGCTTCCGTGCATACTCCCTCTGGCTGAAATTGCTCATGACCTTGTCCACCGAGCCGTGGGCGCCACGTCCAAGCCTCGCTATGACCCTGAACGGCAAAGGATCCTCCTTCGAGAAGTACGCGTGCTTCTGCTCGCCACTCTCCAGCTGAAACGTCTTGGACTGCGAATATGCCATCTCCTGGCGGTCCAGAAACTGGGCCTGTATTGACGGCTGGAGTGCTGCCGGCAGGGTTCTGTTTGTGAATGGAAACCACATATCGTTGATGCCTTGGCGCAGAAAAACCTCCATGGCGTCAAGCTGATCGATAACACGAAGGACAGTGTAAAGCCTTGGGGCTGTGCTCCAGGCCATATTGCCCGTGTTTCGGAGGTATGTCGACACTCGATAAAAGTCAGTGTCCGTGAACGCGCCGACCATGCTTGTCGAGGAGAAGAAGGCATCCAAGCCAGAGCTGGCCACTGTGGCTGAATCGGTCCCTGAAGGCAGTGTCGTGCCACGCACGCTAGATTCCGCCTCGCTCTCGTCGGCGGATCGGGGCTTCGGCTGCTTCATCACAGTCTCCTCATGCTGCCGAACGTCAGAGTCAACGATCAGAGCCTCATGCTTCGCAATAGCGCCACCGGCTCGACTCGGCTCTAGCTCTCCTCCGGGAGTCGAGGATGCCGGACCGCTCGCAACCCCGACTTCCGACACTGCCGATTTGAAGCCCGGCCTCTCCGTTGTGATCTCGCCCTTGGCATCTCCCGATGCTCCTATTCCAGCGTCATCCGTTCCCTTCGGTGCTTCTTCCTTCGCCACGATAGGTGATGGCCTCGCTCTGACGTCCGCATCGTCAGCTCGCCTTGTCACTGCTGCTCGACCTTCATCGGCGCGTGGCTCTGCGATCTCTCGACTCGTCTCTTCGCCAGGACCCGGCCTGGCTGTCCGAGACGCGCGGCTGCCCAAGGCGACGCTGCTAATGCCAGGTTGACCGCTTCCTTGGGTGACATTGGAGCTTCTGTCGACCATCTCGCGTGATGTTTTGGCTTCCCACCAATGATTGATCTTCGCCTCAACTGCCTTGAGCTCCTGTCGCTTGGCCACAAAATGGGAAAGTCTCGCATCAGGATGACCCTCTGCCCACAACTCTATCGACATGAAGCTTTCCATCAACCTTGGGTCAACCTCCGTTGAGACAGCATCCAGAAGTCCCTGGCACTTTGAGATTTGACGATCCAAATCGCGACGTGCCTCAATTCTGGCAGTCTCGGCTTCGTCGCTTCGCATCAATTTCTGCGCTTTCGTCTCGTTACCGTGCAAGGCACCTACAGTGTTCATCGTTTCGCGTATACGGAACTGCGTTCCGGCGATGGACACCTCGATAATGATCGCAAGCCGAACGTCAATGTCGATCGCCACTTCAAGAAGGACATTTGTAGTCGTGGCGTGAGCGAAGAGCTGCGTGAGGTCTATGGACGCAATTCGTCTATTGTCTTTAGTCCTTGTCCTGTGTCCTTCGTAGACTTGCAAGGCCCCGTGTGAAGGGATAGTTTGTGTTGACCGAGTTTGTTTCTGGTCAGGACCCGGGGCCATGACCTCCGGGCACATGTCCTCGGCGTGCCACCAGAACTGTTTTCGGCTTCTTCTCGGAATCGTGGAGTTTCTCAAGATCAGTTTTGACATGATACCACCTCTCGTTTCGATGCCGATGTTCTCCGTCGCGACTTCCATGAGCGACGAAACTCGAGGGGCGTGTGCTTGACAATCCATCCCAGAAATCGCACCTGCGTTCAGGGCGAGTCCCATAGCGCCAGCATGTCCTATGTTGATAAACTTGATCGTCGAGTGGCCAATGCCCCGCTTCCAAAGCCACTCCTCCCAGAGCCTTCGGAGCTTCGGGATCCTTGAAGACTCGCCGCCGATTAAGACGTAGTAGATGCCACGTTGGTGAATGTCCCACTTCCAATCCATATCATCAAGGTTCGACATTATCGATAGAAACAGATCCTGGCACAGGCACTCAAAAGTTTCCCGAGTAATGATCTCGAAAAAGTCTTGCCCGTCGACAAGGGACTCCAGGGACACGGTATACTGCTCTGATGAAGATAACGCAATTTTGGCCGCCTCGCTAGCCACACGTAGTCGATGGGTCGCCGCTGCGTTTGTCAGTGGATTCATCCCTCTCTGTACGGCTATCCATACGAGGTGCTCAAAGATTCTGAGACGGAAGTCTTTGCCTCCAACCATAGCAGATCCGTGCTCTCTGATATCCACGAAGCCATTTTCTCGGGTAGCGAGGGCGAAAGTGAAGTGACTGGCCCCAACTTCGAGGGCCAGCACAGTGGCCTCAGGTCTCGGTATTTTTAGGGAGTCCATAGCTGTCTCAATAAGTCCGCATGGGTTCATCGTAATATTTAGAACATTGAGTCCCGCAACCATGGCGGCTTCTCTGACCACCCATTGTTCATCGTTGTAGAAGTGGGCGGGAACGCCGATCGTCGCCTCATAGACATCTTCTTTGAGGTAAGCAGATGCTTGACTCCTGGCATGATCCAGGCGCACGGCAAGTGTCTCGACACTGTTGATCAGCCCGAGCCTCTGCTCAGGGGCATAGTACCAGTTCTTGCCGGAATGATCACCGTTTCCATATACTACCGCGAAAGGCGAAGAAAGCCCGGATGACTGTATCCAGTCTTGTCTCTGGAGGAAGCTCTCGAGGTTGGCCAAGTTCCGTGCCTCGGCTTGTGAACCAGTGAGGTACTCATCTGCGCCCACACAAATATGAGCTGGAAAGTAGTGACTGCCATCATCCATGGGGACAATTTCAACATCACGTTGGCCGGCGCGATAGACTGCAATACGGACATTTTCCGTTCCGAGGTCGATGCCGACCGCCCATCGCCGATGTGACATCTCGTTGCGGTGAGCCTGGGGTAGAATCCCCGACAGCTGCTGAGTCTTCTCGAGTCGCTAGTGCAGGTCCCGACATGAACTGGTGGCGGAATCGGACCACCGGGACATCCGCCTAAAGTCGCCGTTAGTATATTACTTGGGCGTCCCCAGCAAGGTCTCAAAGCTTGGTTGAGGTGAAGAGGAGCTGTCAGAGGTCGATTGACTTGGCCCGAGACGTTTCGAAAGGTTTGTGCGAGGCAACCTGCACAAGTCAGCCGCAAGCGCCGTAGTCATGCACGTCCAGCTTCACGCCCAATAAGAGCGCAGCTGGCCAAATGATGAGCCCAGTAGGTGCTTCTCCCGTAGATCATTGTTTGTCCACTCCAACACCCAGCCTACCAAGCCATTCTGATTTGTCTCGGTCGCAGTCAAGATGGCTGACCCCCTCAACGTCGCGGGCCTCGCGTTAAGCGTCACGTCGCTAACCTTTGAGCTCTTTTCGGGCTGTGTTAAAGGTCTGCCAGTTGTTGCCCTCATGCTCCTGTGCGGCCAAGGCTCAATTGAGGAATAGGTTACAATCTTCTGGTCGAGGCCAAAGACATGCCGAAAACATGCCGCCATTTGATCGTTCGCCTACAGATGGAGAAGCACAAACTCTTGGGCTGGGCTCTGTTAGCAAAGGTCTCGGAAAACGACGACTCGCTAACTGCGACGATGAAGTTAAGTCGCCATACCATCCACGACGCATTCCGTGAGATGCAAGTGCTTCTCTTGGACGTGGTCAAGCTGAAACAACGCTACAGCCTCCATCTCGTTGCTGAAGAAGACGGAGGCCGGAGTGAGAGTATTGATGCTGAAGACAGTCTGGCATCGCGAAAGCTTCCAGCGCACCTTACCGCGCTGGAGGAAAGGGCCGTTCAGTTGTTCGACAAGACCAGAAAGTGTCCAAGGCGGCTCCGCTGGGCATCTTTTGACAAGGAAAGGTTCGAAGAGCTGCTCTCGGCCATCGCGCTGCTCAACGAGAACATGACACACTTTCTCAACTCGTATGAGCGCGAGAAGCACTACAAGATGCAGGAAGTAACGTTTATGCAAGTGCTTCAAGTGAGCAATCGCATGGACGAGCTTCTTGAACTCGTCAAGACACTCCAGGCGGTGACCGTTGCACCCGAGGGAACGGCCAGCCTGACGGACTCCATCAAGGACCGTGGAGAAGCGCAACGACAAGGTTATGAGGCGAGAGCTGTCCGGCTTACCCGGTTCAGAGCCGTGAATCTCTCGATCAACGGCACGCGACACGACGACGGTAGCATTGGCGAGCAACCATCGACACAGACGTTGGGGGTGTCACTGGCTGACCTCCAACTTTTGCCTGCGTCTGAGCCACAAGCTCCCGGCCAGGAACGGAGGTCATGTGCAACTCTGAAAGGCGAGCCAGTATGGATAGAATGGCGATACTACCATCCCGTTTTCGACGACGAGGATGACGAAGAAGAAGAAACCGGAAGACCACCGACCACGTTGATCATACGGATCGCGAAAATGGCAAAACTCTTGTCTGACTCAGAGAAGCCGCCAGAGTTCCATATCCCCGAGTGCCTCGGATATGTCCAAGATCCCTGGGAGTGCCGCTTAGGGTTTGTGTTCAAGCTGCAGACGCTGACAGAGCCGGCGGTTCCAACATCGCTGCGGGACCAACTTATGACACGCAAGAAGCCGTCACTGACGGTTCGACTTCGAATCGCGCGCTCGATTGCCGCATCCATCTGGTATCTTCATTCAACTGAGTGGCTTCACAAGGGATTGAGAAGTGACAACATCCTTTTCACGGCTATGGCGGAGGGACCCTTGTCGGCTCCGGTGCTGGCGGGATTTGACTACTCGCGGCCTGCCGGCCTCGACGAAACGACGGAGCGTCCCACAGAAGACCCGTGGCACGAGCTGTATCGACACCCAAAGACCCAATTCGACGTGCCGCGCGAGGGCAAGAACGGCTTTCGGAAACTGTACGACATTTACAGTCTCGGCGTCATTCTTTTCGAGCTCGGGACCTGGCAGCCAGTCCACGAGGTGCTCGGCATTGCTGAAGACCAAAGGCCCAAGGCGGCGGTAGTGAAGTCGGTCCAGGAGACGCTCCTTTCCGGGGATAAACTGGAGTTCCTAGACGCAGAGGCAGGGTCGATGTTCTCGTCGGCAGTAAAATTTTGCTTGACGGGTGGATCAGACGCGGCGGGCGGCGGACGAGCCCCTGATGATGCTACCCTGCAGCTCGGCTTCTGGGAGGAGGTTTTGGCACGACTGGAGGATATTCAGATCTGATGGTGAATATCAGTCACCTGAACATGGGAGTCGGACGATGCTTCAGTCCTTGAACGTATGTCATGCTGTCTTGTGATGAAAATTTCGACATGTTGACGCGAACCAGCGGACTGTCGCTTCGAACATTCATCTCTTGTGGATTCGTCAAGCAAAAGAATTCCCTGACGATGAGCGCCTGTCTCACCAAAAGAAAAATCGTCACAACATGCAAAAAGAAAGGTCACGGTGGGGGTCGAACCCACGATCTCCTGATTCGTAGTCAGACGCCTTGCCATTGGGCCACGCGACCATTTTGGAGTTGGACGGAATCGTCCTTGGGCTGCTAGGCCCTGTTCTTGTTGGAAAGTGTGGTCATTAAAATCTACTATGAAGGGTTTTCATGAATCGATGGCTTCCTGGAGGACCCACAAGTAAGGGCGTCGCCGGCTTGTGTGTGGTGGCTGGCTGCGTGGTGCGCGGATAAGACGCAGTGCGTGCGTGGGTCGGGGATGGGGCGGCCGTCGCTGCGCGTGGGTCGGACCTCGATGGTGCAAGAGGAAAGGTGGGCTTGGAGTCGGAAGCGAGCGAGCGGGCAGACTTGAGGCGCCCGATGTGCAGCCGCGACGGTGGCGGAAGGGGCGGCCGTGGCCCATGTTTGGACTTGCCTAGATCGGCTGCGGGTGCTGTACCTGGGCTCGCTTCGTACTTCGTACAGCACCTTCCAAGGTTGCCGTATCACCGCTAAATCGGAAGGGCCCGGTTCTCCAAGTAATTCTGACAGGGTGGCGGCCCAAGTATGAAATAAGTTGCGTGAGATGTGCCATGGGAAGTTCCGGGCATTTTGCGTTCACACATAAGACTGACTGAGACTGTAAGCGGCTCTCGTGACGCATTGCCTCTTTGCGTCTGTCGGCGAGATAATCAGGGCATCCGGCGACGGTGAAGGCGACACGGCCGAGTGCGGAGTTGCAGCGGCTCTGGCGCGTCTAGCGAGCCTCCGTAGCCCCGGACCAAGTGGGAGGAGCCTCCACCAGCACCCCAGACTAGCACCCATTAGTCATTTGTGCAGCGGCTCCCCCAGCCCAGCACCAGCACCTAATAAGCCGGCCTCACGGCGACATTGCACTTCGCAACATTCCCCTCCTCGTCACCACGGGAATATCGAGGCGTAGCCAGACACCATGGCCGAAGACCGAAGCGGGAGCCGCGGCCGGGCGGACGAGGAAAACGTCCGGCCCTCGCACTCTGAGCGCACGCCCTTGCTCAAGGCCAACGGCACCGACGAGGAGGCGGCCCGCGTGAATGGCGGTGCCCCGGCGCCCGAGGCGAACGGCGTCGTCCCTCACGGGCAGGAGGAGGAGCAGACCGTGCTCGCCGAAGAGGTCTCCTTCGCGAAGCTGTCTCTCATCATGGGCACCGCCTGGGTGGGCGTGTTCCTCGGCGCCATCGATTCCACCATCATCGCGACGCTCGCCGCCCCCATCGCCAGCGAGTTTCAGTCGCTCAACCTGTACTCGTGGCTCGCAACCGCCTACCTCATCTCCAACGCCGCCTGCCAGCCCATCTCGGGGAGGCTGACGGACATTTTCGGCCGCGGCCCCGGCTTGGTCGTGAGCAACCTCTTCTTCGCCGCGGGTAACCTCATCTGCGGCCTTGCTCAGGATGAGGGCACCATGATCCTCGGCCGAGTCGTTGCCGGCATCGGCGGTGGCGGCCTCATGAGCATCTCGACGTTCCTGGGCTCAGACCTGATCCCCCTGCGGCAGCGCGGCGTGGTTCAGGGTATTGGCAACCTGTGCTACGGCTCAGGGGCCATGCTGGGTGGCATCTTTGGCGGCCTCATCAACGACCACACCAAGTTGGGCTGGAGGCTGGCCTTCCTCGTCCAGGTGCCTCCGGTCCTCGTCTCCGCCGTTGCCGTCGCCATTCTTGTCAGAGTGCCGCCTAAGCAGTCGGACAAGTCGTACCTCTCGCGCATCGACTTTGTCGGAGTCTTCCTGACGTCGTCGTTCCTGGTGCTGCTGCTGCTCGGTCTCAACTCTGGCGGCAACCAAGTGCCGTGGACGCACCCTTTGATCTTGACCAGTATTCCGCTGTCCGTCGTCACGTTTCTTGGATTCTTGTGGTGGGAGAGCAAGGCACGACAACCCATCATTCCGGTGCGACTCCTCGCAGAACGGACCGTGCTCGCCGCTTGCTTCTGCAACCTTCTCGCGACAATGGTGGTCATTGCCGGTCTGTTTTACGTCCCCTTGTACCTGCAGGTCTTGGGCTTCTCGGCAACCGATGCTGGCGTCAAGATTTTGCCGTCGCCTGTCGGCGTGTCCATTTGCTCCATCGGAGCTGGCTACCTCATGAAGAGGACTGGTCGCTATGTCGGTCTCGGCATCACGGCTCTTCTGATGGTGATTTTGGGTATCGTCTTCTTTACCATGCAGGGCCGAGATAGCCCAGTCTGGCTCACGGGCGTTGCCTTTTTCTTCGTCGGTGGCGGCTACGGCGCCATGCTGACCATCACGCTGCTGGCGTGCATTGCCGCCGTGGCCCATTCTCAGCAGGCCGTCATTACGTCGGCGACGTGTAAGCAACGCATTCTTGAGATAAAATGTGCCATACTGACGAACTTCAGATCTTGCGAGGAGCCTTGGCGGGACCGTCGGCGTCACCATCGCGTCGGCCGTGTACCAGAACACACTCAAGGCGCAGCTATGGGAGCGGTTCGGCGACCAGCCCAACGCGGCCGATGAGATTCAACGCATTCGCAATTCACTGGACGCGCTCAAGTCGCTCCCCGACGGCTGGTACGACGGCGTCATTGACTCCTTCATGGAGGCGTTCCGCGCGGTGTGGTTGACGCTGCTCGGCATGGCGATTCTGGCCCTAGTTTCCATCTCGCTGATGCGACAGCACACTCTCCACGCGACTTTGGAGCGACGATGAGGCGTTGGAGACACACGAGGTAACTATATCGCCTGCCCCTTTTCCCACGGGGCATAGACGGTGGGAGAACCCCTAGATGGGACTATTGATGGCGCATTCGAGTTGGATACACAAGACGAGGGAAGGCGCAGTGTAGATCTGTCGGTGAAGTTGTAACAGTAACATAAAATGTCGGTGGTAGATATCAGAGACTGGAGAGTTGAAGTGAGTGGATGCAGATTGCAGACATGGCTCCTGGGCGTGATTGGCCGACTTGGACTTATTGTGGGAGAACAATGATGCGTTCTCAAAGTCAACAACGTTATCCGTGCCACTATGCCCAAACATTGAGCGTCCATCGACAATCATGCGGTAGCCGCGGGTGGAGTGATGGTGAAGTGCCGGCAACAACACGCTGACGACGTGCCAGGCCAGGCACGCAGCCCGTTGCAGCCACAGGCAGTGCGCCTTCGGTGCGAGTGAGACGGGGCGACCGCTAGCGCAAGGCACCTTGGCTGCAATGCCGTCTGCCTGGACGCCTGTGGCCAAGCGGAAGCGACAGCGCCCGGCCGTGGCGCAGCTCTCACAGCCAGCCGTGGCTTGACGGGTCGCTCCATTGTTGGCGCTCCCGCACCCGGGCTGGCCAGTGCCGCCACCTCAAGTGTTGCGCTGGTCCCTGGTTGGCCCGCTGCGTCGCGTCCATCCATCCACGGATAGGTGCAGGCGAGGTGGGTTCGCTCGGGGGCTCCAGTGGTTGCCGGAGCGCCCACACAGGGCCGCGACGACTTGACTGGAGTGCCCGACCGCCCCGTCCGCCCGGCGGCTCCCTCCATTGATGAGCAACCCCCCGGCTGGCTAGGTGGCCGTCCACCACCTCAGCGCCGCGCCGTCCAGTGGCGCCCGCCAGCCCGCTCAGCTATTCTTAGCGCCTCCAGCTCCCGAATCGACGCTTCGAAGAGAGAGAGAGAGTCGACGAAACAAGAGCCCGGGGCAACCTGAATGCAGAGGCGAGCTGCGGCTGAAGCCAGACAGGCGACTGACAAGTCGACCACAAAACACGCACGCAGCCGAGGAATCTGTAGGATTGATTGCTGCTGCTCATCTTCACTCTCCTGCAACCCACCCCGTATCTGCGACCTGCGACCTGCGCCTGTAAACGCTGCAAAACACGGCAGAGGGGCACAAACTGGACCCTGTGCAACGGAACGGGGTACCTGACGTGTGCGTGCGCATGCGTTGCTCGGCCATCGGGGCTGCCCATCTCACGCATTACGTCGACAGGCGGCGCTTCCACCTCAGCTCAGCCCCATCCGCAACAGCAAGCCGATCCACCACCACTCTGGCTGACGACAAACAAGGACCCGGCCGGCCTTTTCGCTGTTTCATCACCCAAAACTTGCCGCAACTGGTCCTCCTCTTTCCAACACACACACGCACACACGCAACCAAGCGAGCGAGCCCTTTTTTAATTGCTGGCAACCTCGTTGGCTTGTCCCCTTGTTTTCTCCTCTGAGCTCCTGAAAGCCAACTCCCATCCGGGCAAAC